CCAATTGTATGAAAATACTATCTCTCTGTGCCATCTTGAACCAATAATCTATAGAACAATTCTACTCTTTCAAGTGTACAAAATAGATCAAGTCTTAAACGATATTGGATTGGATTGATTGAATTTGAGCCGCTGAAAATTGCAAAAAATACAAACTTATTAAATGTTACTGTCCTTGATTCCTATTCTATAGATTCACCTAAGAAAAAAAGCATGAACATCAGTTGACATGTTGCATTTATTTACGTATCGACGATAATATCATTATTATTGAGTGACATTAAATATGTTGTGTGGTAAGGAAAGCGCTATAGAAAACCTCGGAAATTATTTGTACAATAACCAAAAGGATTAGTTCAGGATTATCATGTTCTTCCCAGTCAGTCAGCCTCCCTTTGTTCGGATATTGAAGGACTTAGGAGGGGAGCTTGCGAGGTTGATAATAACAGATATTGGTGCCCTTTGGATATGTGGTAGGGACCCATGAGTGTACTAAAACCCTGAAGTAGTTTGACTCCATGGCCACATTTGCGCCCGCCACACCCACTCAAAAATGTCCAAAAAACGCTTTCACCCCAGTTTTCACTCACTCAAATCCACGCCAAAAATCCAATTTTACTCGGATTTTGAAATTTCTTTCACCATTATACTCCCAGATAGTTGCTTTCTTCAATCCAATATCAAACTCAATTTTTTCGAAATTTTTAGTATTTTTAAAATTTAAAATTCTGAATGAGCATTGTTGTAGTCATCAACAAAACAAATTATGTTTGCGAAATAATCATCAATAAAATTGAGTTTGATATTGGATTGAAGAAAGCAACTATCTGGGAGTATAATGGTGAAAGAAATTTCAAAATCCGAGTAAAATTGGATTTTTGACGTGGATTTGAGTGAGTGAAAACTCGAGTGAAAGCGTTTTTTGGGCATTTTTGAGTGGGTGTGGCGGGCGCAAATGTGGCCATGGAGTCAAACTACTTCAGGGTTTTAGTACACTCATGGGACACTACCACATATCCAAAGGGCACCAAGATCTGTTATTATCAACCTCGCAAGCTCCCCTCCTTAGGCAGGTTTATTCTGGCTTCCATACGACTGATTGAAAACTCGCGTGTCCCTCCACCACACTTAATTTCAAATATAAACTCCTGTTAACACAATACAGTTCCCTTTTCTGTGTATCAACTCTTGTCGTGATGATGAACCGTAATATCCAATATCTGAAGTAAATAAGCAAGTGCATGAGCTTGTCGGGATGGGATGAGAGGATTATTAGTTGGAAAACTAACTTTGGGAGAAAGTCTGGGCTTGAAAACCTGCTTGTGTTGTATGCACACGTTGGGCAGAAAATTATCTGCAAACTTCTTTTGTTAATCTTCTTTGTTCTGTGGTAATGGGGTTTAGATTAATATTTCTCTCTATTTACTATACATTACTTAATGAGAGTGGAATGGACATAATCAATATAAATATATGTATAAATCCCACAGTTTGCAAACATTTATTTGGACGATACAGAAAATCATGGTTAGATTTTTGTTTTCTTTTTTGATCATGTTGATGATCATGATTTTTATTTTTTACTGTTATCACAACCATTCTTTTCTAATAAGGCCTTCAAAATCTTAAAGCTAAATATCCAAAAATATATCCACGTATATGCATACGTATGTTCGAGTTAAAAGTATTAGACTCTAGAATTAGAAATGCCGTTAGCATCAAATCTACACGGAGGAAAACTTAAATGCTTGGCATACACTTGAGTTTGGATTTAAAAAATTGAAATGGGCAACACATCAGTCAAGGATTGAAAGGCTGACGTTGAAGTATTGAGAAATCGAATTTTAATACAGTCCATCCACTTGTTCATTTCATAATCCATGAATGGCAAATACAAATAAATAAATAAACACTTTAGACTTGGTGGAAAATATTATGGCTGTTGGCATTGGTTTGGCTCAGTTTGCTGTTTATGGCAAGAAGGCACTACTGGAAGAAGTGGTAGTGGTCTTGGCAAGCTTGCTGAGTCTATTGAAAATTTGAAATGCTGACTGACAAGAGCTGAAAAACACTTGTACCTTTCCCCTCCTTCAACAAGCACCAATAAATTCTTTTAATGAATGCCGTTCTTCTTCTGTACCTCGGCTTGCACCTCAGTCCGTCAGTAGTATTTATTGAGATGACCATCATTCCATCCCATGCTTGCCATCATGAGAATATACTCATTTCTTCACATTCTTTGTAGTCTATTGAGACTCAAGTGTTTCAAAGTATTTGAAAGCTGTTTGGCCCAACTTGGATTTTCACAAGTTTGCTCTGCTGCCATTTTCTTGCTGCTCATTCGTAAATTATCAGAATTAAAAATTTAATAGAAAGATAATTAATACTCGCTACGTGGCATTTAAATATTTGACCAACTTTTCATTTTCTACAAATTTATGTACCTGATCGCAAGCATATTTCCTAATTTACGTTAATCATGACTTATAAGACATTGAAATCTACGTCTGATAGGCTGAACCATCAAAACAAGTGCTTTTAGAAAGAATCGAACCTGTTGAGTTATTTATTGTCATGTTATTGATTCGATCTTTTTGGAAAGGGATAAACCATAACGTTCTCGAATATCATAATAAATAATACACAGATTTATAGTATACCACACCGTCACCGACACTTACATATGTACACATATTAGAATCTCACCCTATCCGCTCATCACTGACAATGCACAAGCAGGACTTGGAAACCAAACGTCCATCAGTCTGACTAAAAGAAGATTTTTATTTTATTATTTTTAGTTTGTACTGATACGATTACAATGAAGTCAGCGCCGAGCTAGACGTGAAAGAAATCCTCTTCAACAAGAAAGGGAGTGCAGGTGGATTGCTATTCATGTCCATTTTTTGATGTGTGGATAAAAGAGAAGCAGCTCTTCTTAATCAAAAGGAGTCGTTTTCAATCAAGATGTTAAAACTGGGAGGTCTTCCCGAAAGCGGAAGAAAGTTTCTCCATGTAAAATAATGATACCTGTTTATTCGAACAAGGTGGCAACGGTGAAAAAACAAGTCACGTCAACGGTGCAGTACTGAATTTTGTATTGTTATAAATAGAGTCAATTTTCCCAATTCATGTTCAATTGTGCTTTTAATGTTTGTTTTAGGGTCATGAATACAATATTCATAGTTAAAATATTGTAACCAGTTTTATTTGTAAAATTACTTACTACCAAGAAATATGCGCCAGAAAGAGAAATAAGCAAATAAATTAATAAAATAAAGACAGCATGCATGCCTTTACGATAAGGAAAATATAGATAATTTTCCAACGGGAACTTAAGCATACATATTTGAATTTAATTTTGTATGTAGATTTGTTTACTAACACAGAAGAAAATACAATTTATTTACTAATGTGTTTTGTTTCTAAGATCGCATTTACGGTCAACCAGATTAACTGTAATTTTGTGCCCATATAATTCTGACTGATTGATAGCACGTCTTGGAAAGCACAACTGTTCGAAAATGCAGGTTGACTTTAATTCTGGTTCGTGTAGTATAGTTCACATGATGTATTCATATTCAATTATTCATGTAACTGATTGTGAGTTGAATACTTCATTACATCAACAATAGTTGCATTATGACAGCACATAAATAAATCTGGTCTTTGTCCAACAGACTTAGAGAATCTAGCTCGCTCTATTGATCGGAAATAGCAACCTCTCCGAGTCTTGAAGTATGAATCGAACAAAGAAAAATATTCTAGTCAACTCATGTATGTGGCTTGCATACATTTTCAGTGAATTTATATACTACAAAATTAATATTAGATTTACGAAGACATTTTTTCATAACAATAATTACCATGAGATATGCAGCGACAAAGCTGAAAATGTTTTTAAAGGGAAGGACAGAGAATAAGCTGGGCCGGGACCTTAATGACTTATATTTTACAAGCTATTAAATTAGTATCAAATATTATATTGTTAATTAGTAGTGGCAGTGACTGCTCTTGTTTAATTAATTTTCGTTTGAAAGTCATTGCAGAAAATGGTAATATTGGAAACCTGATAAAGCTGAGAATCTTTATCTTCAAACTGTTATTAAATCTTAACTTAAGCAGTAATTATCGCATACAGTGTCGGATACTTGGATATCACTTGTAAGACACAAGTTTGAACCATAGTTATATCAATACATATGTGTATGCATAAAGTATACTCCAGATATTGTTATAAAACTTAAATGTTATAATGTTTGATATTCCAGTATCTGTAATCCGATGGAATCTAAGCAATTTATCCTTATGTCTTCATTTGTAATCCAGTGCTGACCGTTCTTCCCTAACGTGCTTTTTTCCTGCTTGTCAATTCGCATTATTGTTTACGAATCGTTAAAATTAGTCGTTCGAACGTATCCTTCTTAAGCCATTCCAGTGTAGAACAACAACCAGAGTCCTTGACCAAGAATTTGTGATGGGTTACGACTCGTATAAAAAATGATGGAGGTAATGAAGACCGGAAATAACTATAAACCAGACAAGTAGACTTTGCTACTCCTGTCTTTCACACAAGTAAACTAATTAAAGACTTAAATCGTTGAACAGCTTCGTTGAAATAAAATGAAGAATATGCACGTTAGTTTAAACAGATGTCTTTAAAGATAACTTTAACACCACAGCAGCGTGCAAACATTTTGCGATTTTTGCAAACAATATTAGATATGTAGGTGTGTATTGAACCACTTAACTCCAGTGCGAAGAAGAAGAAAAGGTATGCAAGTAATATATATGTTTTACTAATAGTGGGAACTATGTAACTTTATTTGCCACGGTGTGGTCAGCGTGCATAACCAAAGTGTGGATTACATTTGAGCAACAAGGGAGGCGCCTGTGCTTATCGTTAGCAATCTTTCATTTAATTCAATTGGAAAACACCACAAATGTTCCAACTCCATGAGTAGATTTTCCATAATTTGCTCACACCAACGTTTATTAGGATGGATTCATAGACGGAAGGGGTTAGTGTATGTCTGACCATCTTGGAGAGTGGTTAAGGTGCACATATATTTATTATTCTTGGCGTATCCGTCACACTGTGACTGTCATTCTACGATTATATAATTTTCGTAGAGTTTACAACACCACGCCACAAAAATGAGTACGCTTGCACACTTATTTTTTTAATTCGTAAACTGGATTCTAATATTTCGCTAATATTCATAGGTATATACCCGTCCATCATAGCTTTGACCATAGTGACCCTGTGGCTTCCATATGGGATTTCAGGTATTGCTAAAAATGTTTTTTGAAAAATTGAAATTATTACTAGTAGTAATTTCACCCTTAATTTAGTCCCAGGGTTTGGATGGGATCCACATCTTAAAGGCTCTACCTGCGTGGACCCTGGCTATTTTGTGAATCCTCACGACTGCACCAGGTTCTTTCGATGTGTGGACCACAGTACTTCAGAAGGCCCGCTCTTAATTCGATACGACTTTGACTGTCCACATGGGACCGTGTTTGATGAAGGGGCAAAGGTGTGTATCCACGCCAGAGATGGGATTTGTAGAGGTTGGGGTTCACCACTAGGATGGGGTGTACCCCCATTCAAGAAGGGTTGGGGATGGCCTGGACCTCTGGATGGGTGGAGCAAACCAGGCTGGTCTGCACCCAAAGGTCGAAAACCATTGCCAAAGGGGGGCTGGAAAGGTGCACCCGTTCAATTGGCAGCTGAAGACGACGACGAAGGTTCCTCTTGGGCTTGGGGACAGCCGTCCAACAGTTTTTGGAGTTTTACGCCGGGAAGTTCATACGTCGTGGTGTATGATAACCGTGGTCGCGACCAGAAGCGGTCAGTTGAATTGCCATGAAATAAATAATTATTTAATTATTCTACAACTGCAATTAGTTTCGAGTACAGTTTGTACAGCAAATATGTATGAACACAGAAGTCTCATCTGTGGTATAAAGCTTACAGCCACTTGTTTTGTATCAACTTTTTCTATTTTCCAAGGGTCCTAAATTGTTAATATTAGCAGATACGGGTTTGCTTAAAATTATGTTCAAAGGTTAATAAAACTTGCACATTTTCATCATTTCAATTCGATTCATATTACAGTCTACTTTCTTTAATCATTTTACATCTTGGGCACTAAAGCAATAGTACCTGACGATGGTTACTAAAACAAGTCATAGTTTTTCTGGACAAGGGATTTGTGTAAAAGCACATTTAACTTATATCTAGCATTCAAGGATTTGCAGATTCGCGGATCTCATGCGAAACAGAATATTCGAGTAATGTACCACATATGTACATATGCGAGTATGCAGTGTATGTATTTAACTGCTCACCCAACCTGGAAACTGGTCACGCTTTGCAACACTTTGCAACACTACTGCAATTTCGTTCACGATATAATTTTATGCTGAAGTAATTACGCCGATAATACAGACATCATATTTGCAGAACGTTGGATTACGAATGTTTAGTTTAAATTGCAAAAGTTAGAATATTCTTTACTCTGGAACTTTAAATCTTGCATCCGCGATAGCTTGTATCAAACTATTAATAAATAAATACTTATTTATTTAATTTTAAAATGCATTTTTCCGTTTTGTCTGTATACTCTACAAATCGTTTCCTGAATTATGTCAAGTGTCAAAAACTTAACGCACCAAAAAGGCTCGACAAATTTAATGATCGTAATGTGCGAAATTACACCAAAACCTGGGTGTGATCCACATAAATCTTCATATGCACACATGTTTAGTGGGATTCTCACGCTGCAGTGGGTGCAGTTCCTCGTGTATTATTTCTTATAATGCGAGTTGGTTCCCACCATAAGGGTCAAGTATCACTATAATTTATTACCATTAATTTTGTGAACTAGAGACTGGCTTTTCAGTTTCTCTCCTTAACGTGAAGGCCAAATCTTATGTGTTTGATGTACTTATTTTACCTACTTCCTAATTACCCTAATTTAAGTTACACTCGTTAAATGCGCTTCATAAATATCCTTTCTCTATAATGTGATCAAATATGCCCAGTACATGTGACTTGTTATTCTTTAAGCGACCCAATTTGCATCGAATATCAATAAGTCTTTGTCCTGTCACTTTTGTCATCTCAATTAAAACAGATATTGCATACACATAGTTGTACTCGTTTGAATGTTTAGTTGAGGTCATGAAACAGTGTAACAATACGTCTCGAAATATAGTTTCACTAAAATTGTGAAAAATCCAATGTCAACGAATAACCTGTCATTTTAAAAATTGTGCACTAATTTTATACGGTCGTTAACACAAGGTCACAAGCAGTAATAATTTTCTTTACAAATTTGTCACATGAGATAGAAATTTATAAGTACAATGTTTTTATGTGTTACTATGATGCACTCGTCACAGGGTGCCATTACTTTGGTAATGGGTTGCCTATGCTCTAGTTTGATGAAAGTTAGTTCAAAAACTTAATTGACCAATTCCATGAATTTTTACATGTGCGACAACTCGAGATATGATGAGACCCCCGATGTCCTTCAAATCCTGCCAGTTATGCATGTCTTGCCTTAAGCCAAAAATCTGCATAATATGCGTTAGTAAAGTCATGCGAAATAAATGAGACTTTAATGATCGTTGGACATTTCACGAAAGGTTACATCAATTTCTTTGTTTCAGGTTCCAAATTTTCAAGGCAACATCAATTTATTTTAATATCGACAATGTGGGAGTGCTCCAAATTTAGTTTACATATTTCGTATCTAAAGCAGATGGGGATTGTGATACCTGAAACTGGACATTCATTAATGCATACATATTACGAACGGAATTTTGTTCACAAACAATCCCAAGAAAAAAATGTTTCCGGGACCATTATGTCAACTAAAACGCATCCACGCAGTACAATTTTTAGCTTGTAATTGCAAACTACAAACAATGGCACCACTACTGGCCCGAAATAAAAACAAAATACTTGTGTAATACCTTTATGTGCCTGCCTGCCGCATGTAATCAGCATTTAATCGTGCACTACCTGAATTCCTTCAAAGTGAAGAAATTCAAAAGCTATTTTTCCTCTCAAGCATTTAGAACAAGAAGTGTGGAGTTTTAAAATGTCGTCAAAATTTATTTTGCTCCTCAGTCTACTCACTGTCTTATTATTCATACAATTAAGTTATTCCGCAAATATATTTTCGAAGGCAAAACTCCATTCAAAGTGCAAGAAAGTGAAACCCACAAAAAAGCTTGACATGGACTTTGTACGTTATTCTATAACGTTAATGAACGGCAATATTTTAATTTAAATGTCTAATTATTGATTTCTTTGTGTTTAACAGTCGCTGGAACTTTTCGTCGGTAAGACGTTCTACTTGACCATGGGGAGCAGATCAGCATTTGAGGATTTGACTGAACTATTGAGCGGAACAAGGGCTTCAGAATCATCTGAAATTGACAAAATGTGCGCAGAGGTGACCACGAAGGGGTTCAAGTCTTCAATTGAAGGCTACAATGGAAACTATTTGGTCGTTGATTGTGCCATAATTCTCGATAACAAAGGAGTTCAAGATTGTACTGCAAACCCGAGAACAGAATTCCCTGATCGACATAAATCCGGTAATGCAAATACAAATGGCGTTTGATTATATGCATGTACACGTTGGTGATGTTGTAATTTTTTTAAATATGCATTTATTCAACAGTCAGTGGAATTCAAACGTTAGCATGGACGGATAATAAAGAAAACCTCGTCGTTGTGAGGTGCAGCCACAAGGGAGACAAAAATGATTGGGTTTTGTACAGTTTCAACACGAGCATATCGGATGAAATTAAGAAAACGGTGGAACATCAAGTATCGCGCATGGGGTTTCGCCCATCGGAGTACCCAATTCATTACAGTGACTACAGCAATTGTAATCTTACTAAAGGCGATGATTGAAACCTAAATATTTCATAAGAAAGCCATAACTATGAGCCCGTTAAATTATGCAATTATAATATTCCACATTCTGTACTTGTAATAATATCATTAGTCTAACAATAATTACTAAACGTATTGTTTGATGTGCTTGCAACAGTGTTTTGAAGTAAGGTTCTTGAATTAAAGCAGACTAAATAAATATTTTGAGACCATGCCGATGATGATGCGTCATTTATTAAGCATAAGCAGGCCATACGATTTCTGATTTTATAGTTGGCACTGCATACACACATTCATAAAGTTGAAAGTAGCACCCAGTTCCGGGTTCGTACAATTCAATATTACAACCTCGGGCTTAGTTTTCAAAGAATATGTACTAACTGTATGTATGAATTTGTATGTGTGTGTATGTATTCATTGATAATTGTTTATGCAAGTCAATACATAAATTAAAATTGGTTGCTCAGTTGTATCGCAATATGAACGTCAATTATATCAATATTCATTATATTATCATTAGTTGATTGGCCACTTTGGGCTCTAATAATGAAGCACCCTTCATGGAGAAGCGTGGTTGTGTTAATAACCATTGGTGTTATCCTATCAGCTACTCTTGTGGATGCAAGGAGATCAGAAAAACGGAAATCCGGCAAGGGAAAGAATCCGCACAAAGGAATCCCCTCTTCGGCGAAAGGTGCAAAATTATAATAATTTTATTATTATTATTTGTTTACTTTATTTATTTATTTATTTCAAAGGTGCAAAGTTAGAGTCAAAGTCAGTAATTGAAGCTGGATGTATCCCAAAGAAGGCCGTCAAAGACTTAAAGATTGAATTTGTAAGCATATTTAAACTAAGGAATTACATGTCCACGATCCACAAATATTTCACGTGTGGACTGGTTTATTCATGTAACGTAATACGAAATGTTTTAATCAATTGGTAGATTAACAAGGTTGCTGCATGGTATGTCCCTGATTTGTAATTATAGCTTATAATTTTATGAACATATAAAAATATCGTTCTATTTTAGGTATGTCCCGGTGGCATCTAAATACTTTTATTACCGATGGGGTGAAGCTTTAATTAACCGATCACTGGGAGCATCAGAGTTGCCAAACTTGTGCATGAAATGGTTGTTTTTGGCACCTACTACGCCCAAAGGGAAATACAACGTGCTTGTTGGTCAGCTCAATTTTCAAAATATATTGAATTTAATCGTGAAGAATGCTTGGAACTTTCGTAAAACTCTTATAAAATGGCAGGAGGATATCATCACGCGGTCACACAACTTTGTCAGGACACGGGATACGAGACTCAAACATGTGAAGCAGTCAAGGTAAATATTTACGTGCATAGTTATTTTGTGCATGCATTCATTTTTTTAGTTTCCTGTTGAATGATATTACAAATCCATGTGTTATCTATGATTATCTAATTTGTAATTTAAACGACATTTAAGGGATCCTCGGAATATCACAAAGGGGGTAATGCTCTTAACATTACTATGATAGCTAACTTTCCATTTTTATCAGCATCAATTCTTTACTTTTTCAGCTGATAACGTTGCAACAATAGTTGCAACAGACAACAAAAAGTGGTTCATGATGGCCAGATGCATCCAAAAGAAATACAAGGACTGGGCAATTTTTACTGCAGACAGGAAATCACTGGACACAGCTTTATACAAGAAAATCATTGCAGAAGCAAAAAATCAAGGGTTTGATCCAAAATATGTCGAAAATGCAAAATATGATAAATGCCCGAAAAAAATTTAAGGTTGAAATCAGAAAGTAAATATTGTTAACTACACCGATATTATGATTTTATGACCGCATAATGCATTAGTCATTTAGTTACTATTCCATTAAATCTATTTTCGTGCAAGTTGTTTTGTTTTTATTAATTTCATTGCTTTGCTTTTTGTTTCGAGCCCTGGCCAAAAATCAGGCCATTAAAAGAAGTATGCAGAGTTACGATGCAGGTAGAGTGGAGTGTGAATGAAGGTGGTTTATGGAGGAAACGCCACAACATTTCATGGAATTTCGTCAAATTCATAAACAAATCGACGTGGCATCCCAATCCAAGGCGACCCGGCCAGAATCTCACTCGACTCCTCAGTAATCCATTGTTCACCTACTTGAGATTAGCATCCGAAAATAGATAGCCATGAAGTTAATTGCATTTGCAATTTTTGCCTTGGTCTTGTCTCCATGTTTTGCCCATGGAGAGTTTCAGTTGAGCTCTGAGGAATTGGATCCTGCAGATGGTATGGAATTGTTCATTGTTAAATATCACATGTGCAAAATGCTGGACGTACAGGTTGTTTTTAAAAATTCGGTATTGATTAAGTCACCCGTGGTCTGTATTTTAGTCTATCTACATATGTGCATATGCCGGACAATTATAGTATCACACTTTTACAAATTATTTTGATTAGAGACAAATTAAATTTATGTATCATGAACATTTGGTAGGAAAATCAACTCGTAGATTTTTTTCTTTCTTTTTCTTTCTTTTGTCAACAAGAATGCATGTATAATCCTGACTGAATGTATATATAACGTATTCTAATCGATTAATGAATAGTGGAGGAGCCAGGTTGTCCAAGAGTCACTCATCTCAAAAATATTGACCTGAGACATGTAAGTGCATAAGTCGGAAGATTCCTTATTAATATTATTGTAGAAATTGTACAAAGACAAATGGTGTAATTGAATGTCAGTTTTATGGCGAGTGGCATCTGCCTTACTTGAGCAACCATTGGATTCGATACATGGCGAAAAGGATGCATGGGAAGTTTATGAAGAAATCTAGCATGGGGAGAGTCTGTGTCAAAATGAGCTTAAAACCAATTCCGGATGAACAAATGATGCAAAATGACAACGCTTCCATCTGGATTCACAGCAAATGTCCTAGAACAGGAGTGGAACTTAATCTTGCTTGCACACCCAGCGCCAGCAACAACGCCAAGTGGTACTGCAGGTCCAAGGACTCTGAGGACCACGAAGGTACATACATTTCAGAGGTCAACGCCGACCAATTTGGCGGCGGCGGCGCGGCGCGTCGATCGACGGCGTTGACCTCTGACACATTTCAGAACTTCATGCCAGTCATCCATTGTTTCACACATATGCGTGCATGCATTTACAGGCGACTCGTGGGTGTACGTGGTTGACTCTGATGATAAAACTTGGGCGTTGGTAGTCCGCTGCTTCCCCAACAACGGTATGAACTGGGCCATCTTCTCGAAAGTAAAAAAGCTGGATGACAAGTTGGTCAAGTCTCTCTTGCTTGAAGTAGAAGAAATGGGTTTGTTTCCAACATGACAAAATAGCCAACATATTATATTTACAATAATAATAAATATGCTATAAATTTGTCGCAGGTTTCCAACTTTGGAACGTGGTTGAGATTCCATACGAGAAGTGCGTGACCAAGATGTAAATTTCAGAGCAGTTTTTCAGCTTTAATTTTGACAAGCATACGTGTCCAACTTGTCATAACTTGTAAATCTCTTGCTTCAGCCCTCTATGCATTTGTTAAACTTAGGATTAATTATTTCCATGCGATAACTTAACTTTGCTGGATTAAAATAGCATTATTCAATAAATCAATAATCAAATATTAGTGTTGTTGAGTTTGTGAGTACTTACTGCTTTCGACTGCACTGATACCAGGAGAATTTGTAAATGTTTAGAAAAAAACAACAAATTGCGACTTCGAAAGTTAATCTTGAAATAAATGCTGTGATCCTGAACTTGCACTTGTATGAGCATAATCTTGGTGGCTTAATGGATTCTTTTTCATGCATGCCAAACACACATTGCCAAAACCAACAAACTTTTAATGATATTATAATCTTTACGATTTACTCGAGTAAAAAATTTCATGCAATTTACCATTTCAAAAAATTTAATTAGTGAGCTGATCTGCTCCTCCGTCTTCAAAGGGCCTTCACAAATATACGAAACCAGAAATTTAGTAAATAAATGGAAATTTAATTTGATACTCTTCATATTTGGATAAAATATCATATCTTTAGATATCCATGTATGCAGTTCGTTCGTTCATGATAATAAATATTTAAAATAATTCTTCAGTTCTAAATAATATGCAGTTACGTATAATATTCCTGCAGAAAATATTATAGCCCAACGATTCTCGAATCGTAAAGCAGCATAGCAAATGCAGCGGCATAAGATCACAAATTCACGAATATGAAGAGATTTGGGGTTTCTTTTCCATTATTGATAAGTTGATGGAAACGGATCAGCGTGGCATCTGTTTTTACCATCCAAGTAAGATTAGTCTCTCCATTAGCAGTATTTCTTTTTTCGCATTTCTCGTTTCAGCACCAAGACGAGGAAGACCGATTTCCACGCAACCTCGCTTTGTCACTCGTTTCTCCCAACTCCTTGGACCAGGACTTTGCTTATTACACGTTTACATGAGCATGGAATACGAGCTTGATAGCAATATGGCCAAAAAAGGGATATAAATCGTTTGGCAAGTACAGAAGAAAATGTGGCTGGATAAGGAAATGTGTGATCTCTCTTGGCTGTACACTAATAAGTAAGTAGTTCTGTCAGGAGAAGTAGTCAGGTACTGACGAAATTTCCTTCATATCTCATTTTGACGTTAACTTGACATGATCACGACTGCAAATGTTTCATGTGCATTGACATTTACAATTTGGGCAAAACTGACTCGCCTTACTTGCTCTCGTTTCGGAGGTTCTGTGTATGCGATGCTTTGGCATTTTCGTTTTGCAGTTGATGAAATCCAACCAATGCCTCATTTTCGGAATGGAAATCTCATTAATGACCTCCTACTGTATTCGTATGACATTTGGAGCTTCTCAAATCATAGTCTAATTGGTAACAGAGAGCACATAAGATAATAGAGTATTTCACACGTCGCGTAACCTAAATACTACAATATTCAGCAAAGGCCAATATAATTTCTCAACTTGCCCGATTTTTGCTTCAGTACAGTAGATTATTCACAGCTCTCTATTCTAAATATTAATATTTATTCGCTACACATTTTTTTGCAATTCTAAAAGGAACATTGATAAATGATCGATGGCTAGCCAGACCATGGTTAAAAAGCTTTGTTTTTAATATTACTTAAATTAATAATTTTTAGCGACATTTTATTATACATTCTCCTACTTCTTGTTAATATTAAAGCCATCTCATCTTTATCACTATAAGATAGACCATGCATGGGATTTTATCCTGCTTCCAGTTATGTACATACGTAGATACTACAGATAATTCTGTACTTTCACGAAAACTAGGAACGCCGTGAACATGCACATACATACGCGCATAATATAGGGTAACACCAAACCGACCCCTGTCCTAGTAGTCTGGTCTGGAAAATGGAACGATTGGTCTCATATTCCTCGTCTTCTGGAAAGACGCTCTCGTGTCGTGTCGGTGGAACATGAACTTTGCGAGAAAGAAGTAGTTCCGTCGTCACTACGGATTCATCATCATTTTCGATCTGGAAGTCATCCGATGACATCAACCTCAAATTATTTTATGTGCACTACGTACTTCAAAAGCTTTTAATATTTCAAACACATTTACCCAATTAAACTTTAATACTAGACAAGTGATAATAAAAACCAGGAGTTAGTGACATTCTCAGTCAGTATGGGAAACCCTTCAGTTTTCTCTGCAACACGGGGATGCTGTGCCCCAGTTCCTTATTTCATCTTCAAATTGTTATTGTTCACGACCCTTGGGTTTCAAATAATCAATCGCTCTTCATCGTACGTGACGACTTCTCATATTTTGTCAGTGGGGGACAAATGCGACATTGTGAACAGTGAGACGAGTTATTCAAACGGAAATCGTGAAATGGATATTATCAACGGAACTATTTTTGGTCTTGATCCCCCCATTTGCGATCCATCTATGCCGCTGGAGTGTAGCAGTTCGGGCCGATGTCAATGCAGAAGAGGGTTGGTTTGACATGATTTTCAGTCTTAACGCCCATAAGTTTCAGTTACACTCATAACCACGAGTTTATTTTTTTCTTTTATATTCAAAAAACGTAGATTCACAATCAGCCGAAATGGAACGGAATGTTTAGAAATTGCCAGAAATGGATTAGATTCCCTGTGCGTTGAGAGTATCCAGTGAGTAAATTAAATTAAGTTTCGACCAAACTTCTTGATTGTATCTGTATTGATTGCATACATATTTTGAAATTTACAACTGGATCTAATTTTTAACTTATAGGTGCTGGAAAGGATTGCTGGGAAGGTTGTCAGAATGTCGGAGAGATAGTGGCAGATGCCGATGCTACGAATCGGAAACATTGCCGATTGTCTTTCATCAAGGAAGGTGTGAGACACTTGAAATTTCATAAGCTTGGTTTGTGAGATTTTTAAGAGTGAGGGGTGTGAGGAATAATGTCATATATGGTCATTCTATGCATAATCCAATTATGGAATTTATAAACATACCTTGATATGCAAAGGATAATAACTACTCGTAAAAAATATGCACCTATATTAAAAAAGCATTATGTATTTACTTAAGTCAGCATGCATAATCAAATCTCACAACGACTATGGCATAATTTGCAGATGCTACTACGGTGAAAGTCTAGGGGATTTTTGCCAAATTGACGGATTATGTGAAGCTACTACACCCAATGCCGAATGCAGAACAACTTGCCAATGCAAAGAAGGTATTATAAAAACAGTAATAAATAAGCATAAAAAGATTTTACATGAATGTTACTAATCCAAAGTATTTTTTGTATGTATTTACGCATACAGGGTTTATTCCATCCTGGGACAAATCTAAATGTTTAAAGATAGCAGTAGACGGATTAAATTCTAGTTGTGAGGAGAACGGTCAGTGTGAACGAAGCAGTCTAGGAACTCTTTCAGAATGTTATCACAATCAGTGTCAGTGTTATCAGATACCAATGGTGCCCACGGTTTTCTACGCAGAACGTTGCTACTTCGGAGCAGCTCTGGGTGATGTTTGCCAAGTTAGCCCGCAATGCACGGCAAAAACAGAGTACTCAACTTGTGGTAGAAATGGCAAATGTGGTTGCATTGACGGATACGTCCCAAACGGAAATCAGTCATTATGCCTTCAAATTCCATCTGCAGACGGGTCATCTTCGTCCCCTGGGTCGTCCGACTGTGTCGAGGACATTCAGTGCACGAAGGCACTGGGACATTTTGCCAGATGCAATATGTTGAAACGAAGATGCGAATGTTTTGTTCCGCATGAGACACATGGAAGTGGACGGAGGGAAAATGAGACAACCACATTTCCATCATCGACGACCACCGAATTCCGAGATCACTACCACGATGAATCCGTCACCTCCATGGTCATTATCGGGAGTAAATGTCACTCTGCCAAACAATTGGGACAATCATGCAAATTTAACAAGCAATGCTCTGCCACGACGGGGAACTCGGTTTGTTACAATGGCTTGTGTGAATGTCGAGAGGAGAGTCATGTTCCAAGTATGGATGGAAGAAAATGCCTGGAAATCGCAAGTGGAATGGATCAATATTGCGATGAAGATGGTCAATGTACACGAAGTTTGGGCCAGTTATCAAGGTGCAACGCGGAGACGAAAAAATGTGAATGTTCGAATATTCTTCCAGTCGTTTATTACGACAAGAAATGCTATTTCCATCGCCAACTGGGTTCACCCTGTGTATCGGATGCGGAATGTAAAGCTGGTGGAAACTCTTTTGCGGAATGTTTTCATGGAAGATGTCGATGCACCAATGGAACGGAACCCTTTACAGATCATTCCTGCCTCCATTCGTCAAGTAGATCCAGTTCGCTAGTTTTGAGGAACTTGCTACCAATAAATCTAGGAATCGCTTCACTAATTGCGGTTTCATGCAAGCAAATCTTCCAGTAATAAATTGCATAGCGATAATTGTGCATTTCTGCAGTTTTTAGAGTTTCGTTTCACCAAGTTGTTCGAGAGACCAATAATTCAGCTATACATGGGTTGAAATGATTAATTAATTACTTATGCAATAGCGTAGTAAAATATCTTTTGTTAATCTATGCTATTCTATAGTATGGATATATGTATGTACACATAATGTTGTACCACAACCCACTCTTGGATTCAGTATTATCAACTAGATCCATAATATATGACTTGTTGTGGTATTTAGTTTCATCATCACGTGCACTTATGTGCAGATAAAATAGATAAAACTAATGGTCCGTGTCTTTGAAATGCCTGGAAGGATTGTCTATGTATTTAGAACGTTGAAGCGAAATGCAAGAGTTTATTCAGATTTTCTCGAAATGCTACATGCGTGCACTGCCATTATGATTATGAAGATCATCAGCACTCGAATCTATCCATCTCCCCACTTCACCCAAAGCAAATTAACATTATGCGTATTTATATTGACCTATAAACGAGAAATAATGTTTATGGGATGTGCCACTGCTGCCTTATTATACTCGACCTACCATTTTATCACGTGCCTCGTTCAAATTAATCTGTCCTTAAAGTACCATCATGACACATAGTTTGGCCAAATATAATCCGCACTCTTTTTTCATGTAGACGTTTTTCAGACTTTAACACCTAATTAAAATTTAAAATGTCGTAGAGCCGTCCATTTTGACTCTACGTTTCTTCCTTTGTCCATAACTATTGTTCATCATTTATGAAGTTCATAAAATACAAACGAGTGGTTCATATTTATTATAAACCACTAAGGAAGCCTGAGTCAGGGCTTTTGGCTATGTGTCCGTCTGCGACACGCAAGCAAACCACTGAACAGATTTTGACCAACTTGGTGTTAAAATGCGTATCTTAACAAGCCTTGGATGAGTTCGAAGATAAGTGGGTGAGGTATTCCGCACCAAAATTTCAGAGTAGTGCTGTAAATATTTCTAGAAATTTTGGTAGGAGTCAAAATGGTTTTTTAAATTAGTCGGAAAAGCAAAGGATTTTGCATGCTTGAAGTTTTACGAATACTACCGGCATTTATACTTATTATGTATGTATAAGGAATGATATTACCCATATTGTTGAATCTCAAACCGCAATTTGGAGCCATAAGATAGAAAGGGACTTTGCCCTATAGAAGTAGAAGGGGACTTTGATCTTGACTCGGGCTAAATGAACAATAACCTATGTATCATAGGATAGGTTATTTCTTATAATATTCTATGTTCATTCATAATTAAGTCAATTTATGCAATAAATATTTGGTACTTACAAGCACGAGAAAACGACGCCGGGAATAGTAAATGCATGAATTATTCAAGTTGAATTTCAAGATATTTCATCGACCCAACATGAGTTGCAACTTTTGGACTGTTTAAGAGTGGAGATCATATCATTTGTTCATTGAAGGTTAAATCACTTGAGCTGAACCACAATGCTTTATACTATGCATACGTCATACGTGTACCGACAGACTTACGTAAGATTTCAGCTGATCATTCAGTGCATGAGAGTATTTAATATTCCTTTTGTCTGAATTATTGTAATGTAGACGTCGTGTTACAGATTGGACAGCTCGCACTTTTCGGCGAATCCACCAGATTTGGCTGTAAATAAATGTCCATTAACCCACGAGGTAAACCATATGCATTTACTATTTATTTATATGTAGGACTGTTGAAAATGTAATTATTGACACATTTGTTTACTGCAGTTTCTATCTAGAAATAACACATCCATCTTGTGTGGCTCGGATTTGACATCATAGCAAGATCTCATTGAATTGGAAATATTATTAAAATACTAGGCAGTCAAATAAATGGAGAATCCACCCGTACCATTGTCCTCAGAGAGCGTCACACCTTCTTGGGTTTCCCAAGTCTTGAGAACTAAAATATCCGGCCATGACTTTCAAAAAGAAACCAACATTCAATCTGGCTCTGGATTTCTGAGTAGCATGGTTCGTTTGAGATGTGAGGCTGAAGACGGACAGAATTTCAACATAATTGTAAAACTCCTCCCGGAGGATAGCACGATGTTGGAACTTACAGTTTCCGAAGGGTTTGACAAAACGGAAGTAAACTTCTACAAGGAAGTTGGGCCGGACTTGCTTAAAATTCTCCCAGATTTGAAGCAATATTTGTGCCATTCTTACTATGGACATATTCAACATGCAGATGAAGAGAAACATTTAAAATATGCATCGGTCCTGGTCATGGAAGACTTGAAACCACAAGGCTATTATACCATCAACTTTGCTGCTGAAGAGTCAATGGCACAATTTAGAGAAGTGTTGGAATTTATGGCAAAGTTTCACTTTGCAGGGATGGTGCTGGAGACTAGAAAGAATGCCAAGTTGTGCCAGGTGTACGACTATCTTCAAGGAGTGTCAAATTCAGGAACTTCGATGTTTTACGAGATGGCGAAAGGAGGCTTTGTGGAAATAATTCAGCTTTTATCGGATCACGGATTATCACAACCAGTGATTGAAGCTTACCGAAAAATGGCCCCACATTCTGACAGTATCATTAAAAAAGTACAAGAAGCGAGCAAAGAGTTTGCATGTTTGATTCACGGGGATCTGTGGTCCAACAATTGCCTCTTCAATGATGACCCCCAATTCCACACGAAAATCATCGACTGGCAACTGTTGGGTTATAAGGATCCTAATTATGATGTTGCAGTGACAATAGTCTCAAGCATTCCAGTGAAACAATTGACTAAAGAAAAGGTCACAGAGAGCCTTCAGCATTACTACGAGACATTTGTGGCTGAATGCACCAAGTCTGGTGATCCTGGAAATCTGATAACACGGGACTGGGACCAATTTAGTAAATTCTTTTACACGTGGGGCATGTCGTACACAATGCTTTGGTTCCTGATGTCAAGTGACTCCTTCTCTTTGAACATTCCACGACTTGTAAAAATCTACGAGTTTTTGATTTTGGAAGCAAATGTTCATGAATTTATATTGAGCCAAGTTGAGGAGGTATAATGTCCGAGCTGTGTATGTTGATCAATTTTTTTATACACATAATTCAGAATTTTGGAATAAATCACTGTATATTAATTACTTTCTGCAATGAGTTAGAGCGGATAATCACAATCGAATCATAATAAAAATGTGCTTGATCAAATGTACAGATAAATGTGCGACAAATCTAATGCAAATTCAATCACGCAGCATGTAACCATGTTTGTGCAGCCAGCATACGAATTCAGTCGTCAGAGCAGAGTAGGCTTAACCGACAATTTCATTTCCAAAAGGCGTTTGTGGATTTCTTCAACTTCTCTCAGTCTTTTCAGTGCCAATTCTGTGTCCAATAACTGGGCAGGATTTTCTGAAAATCGTTTTAGCTTGTCCCAACAGTCTTCGAGCTCTTGTTTATACTCCAAAGGTCTCAGCAATCTGGAGTTGCTAAATTAATTAAACCGAATACTGAGTGACATTAAGTTATTAAGCTTTATTTTGAAGTAATCATTTATATTTACGAAAGTTTGACTTCATTTAAATCATTTCCGAATGGAGCGGATTCTGCAAGATTGACCTTTAAATCAGGTTTGCTTCTCATCTGCATCAACTTGGTCTCGCTCCTCCATTTTCGTAAAACATCTTGATTTCTATTTTAGTTGCATTGTACGTGTGTACTTATATGTATGTGCCAAACTATTAAATTGCTTAAATTTACGGCATGTTAGACTTACTTGCACTTTTGCAAAAGAGCTTCTTGCTGAATATTCAGCCTTTTCAAAACTTGGTTGCGGACTTCTTCAAGTGATTTTTCAAACATATCTGTTCGACTGACTCCGTCGTACCTATTCCCAATTTTTTTTTGATAGCAATATACAATGATGAAACATGATAAGTACCAGGTGTACTTTTTAGCATTCACATGACAAAATTTTGAGCCTCACGGAATTCGTTTCCACAATTCCCAAGTGTAAATTAAACGATCTGCTCTGCGCTTCTTTTCTGCCACTGAAATATCTGTACTGACCGACTCCTGGCCCCTCAAAATCAAACTTGGAGTAGTTTTCTGCTTAACACATTTCATTGCAGTTTGTTTCAAGTCCTCTCGTAACTTATTGTCATCTTCAGATTCCAACTCACCAGATTCATCTTACAAAATATTACAATTTCTGATTTAAAATAACTTTATATGTAAATGTGCAATGTCACGTATGTACCCAATGGAATGCGCATCAGCATCCGGGCTTGAAAATATTCTATCATTTTTTTGCATCCTTGCTTTTGAACATTTTCTGGTGGAATTGTTAGAGGATTTCCAGTAATCCCTATTGTTTGCAGGTTTACTGCCAAAGCTAAAAAGAAATTTGAAGTTTTTAAAACAAGCAAAAATGCTAAAAGTGCAGATTACAATAAGTCAATTCATACCTAAAGTGTATGGTAAAGCTCTAATACGATTCCCTTGCAGTAAAAATACCCTGAGACACTCATGACGAGAATTAAGTGATGGAAGATTTGTTAATTTATTATCTCGCAAATCCAGCCATGTCAGAAACGGAAGTTCGTCAAAAAAGAATTCTGGAAGCTCGCAAATTTGATTATCCTTGAGGTACATAATCTAGCGAAAATTATAAAAAAACAATAATAAGTGAATTTACAATGGTACATACATAGTTTTCCATAATTAACATACAGTGATTGGAGGGTCGTTATCAAAAACAGAAGGTGGTACTTGGTGGAGATTAAGATTTGGAGAATCCAATATGCCTTTCTCGAGCTTTTCCTCAAAAGCGTCATAGCTGTGCTGAGATTGATTTAATTTTTGCTTTATCATTTTCCTGACTTCCACCGGGTCATTCTCCTCATCATATCCAGCTCGAAAGCGGGCTTCCTTCGCATATTCTTCCGCTGGAAAATTATAACGAAGATAGTAACAAATTATTTTGTAATATACTTTTTTAAATATTCCAAGTATTATTTGACCTTACGGATTTTAATAGGCTCACTCTGAAAGCAAGGAGCAGAAAGTTTCTCTGGATGATGGCGTCCAATGGGTTCGAACATATTCATCATTTCTTCCATTCGATTCGCCATCATGTCTGCCAAAAAAAATATTCTGATCACAGTCACAACGAATATTTAGTTTTCTGATATTATTTGAACTATAAATGCTAAATTTACCGAATCCAATTCCAGCTTGAAAGAAACTTTCCATTTTTAACCTTTTCTACTATGTAACGCTCAGCTTCAAGTAATATGGTTCGTGATATCGAAACTTTGTTGTGCCAATGTCAAACGAAGAGTTCCATAGTGATGCCGTATGCCGGTGAACAAAGACCATTTTTCATGTCCACATACAACATATGCACATACATGGGTTGGTGTGTTGTTATTATTTTATATTGCAGGTTTCGACGCATATTTTATTGATTAGACATGTATGCAAACAAAGCCTCAACAGAAAGAGTTTTGACAATTACTCAGAAACCAAATTGTTGTTATTTGGCATGCCTCGGAACATAAATCAAAACTTTGTACATATTCAGTAATGTGTTGCAGAGGGATAAGTGTGTGCATATCTTAACTGCATATTAGTTCACCTAAAACTACGTACTATCTAATTTATCGATCTTGCCTTGAAATCAAAGTAAATATGAATAAGCTTATAGCAATAAGAAAAAAACACGGTTGACAGTCTCATTTTAATATTTGTAAAAGGGGTTCATTTTACACTACGTGACTGGACAATTTAACTCTCCACTATTATGTGTTCAATGTATGAATATATATTTATGTATTAATGTATGTGTTACCATTTACTCGCGTATATGTACTAGCTTATCAGCTTGTATACAGTCAAAGTCATTTACATATCTAGATCTTACTGGACGTATTAGTTACATCACATCTTCATCTATTTAAAGCGACTCCAACTGTTAATATCGTTAAAATATTAATTACATAAAATTCGACATACTCAACCTTCATGGATAAACTCGTTTGCGTTCCCGACTTTGAAAAAGAAGCCCACAAGTTGCTGGATAATAACTCGTTGCAATACTACAAAAGTGGTGCAGATGATGAAATAACCCTGCAGGAGAACAAGAACGCTTTTAAAAGGTATTCGAGAGAATTTAGAACAAATAAATACTTATGTCTGTACTATGCATATTGCATACGTATGTATATTATGCATACAATACATTGTGTATTTCTACATTTATTTCTTGAAAGATGGCTAATAAAACCACGAATGCTCCGAGATGTATCCAATCGAACAACAAAGACCATGGTTTTGGGAAAGCCCGTGGCTTTCCCTCTGGGCCTTTCACCCACGGCCATGCAACGCTTAGCTCATCCAAACGGAGAATGTGCAAATGCCCAAGGTTTCGAAAACAGACTGATTTGTTACCTTTCCAGGTGTTTCAATTACTAAATGTTCTTTCACAACCATTTTCATTCCACAGCTGCAGCTTCAATGGGTACCATATTCATTTTGTCAACTATTGCCACGAGTAGCATTGAGGAAGTCGCTGGAGCAGCTCCGAATGGGAGAAAATGGTATCAGCTATACGGTAGGTATCAACTGTATACACATATTTTTTCATAGTGAAATTTAATTTATTTAAATTTTGTATCCTATTTTGTTATTATAAGTCTACAAGGATAGGTAAGAATAAACACTTATTTAAGAGATATTTAAGAGATATTTTAAGAGATTTGGAAATTTTGCATAAATCCATGTCTAAATATTTAGAAGCCTCAGTCTCAGCATGATCCAGCGAGCAGAGAAATGTGGATTCGAAGCTATCGTTCTTACGGTTGATGTAATATAGTAATTATATTGCCTATGCATATATGTATACGTGTACATGTATATTTATATAACTTATTTAACTTGTAATATCAATCTAACAGGCACCTTACTTCGGAAAGCGCAGGTCAAATATCAGGGACGCATTCAAGTTACCACCAAATTTGAGGTAGGGGTAGGAACTTTTGTTATTTGTTTTACAGGTAATTAGAAATTATACGACTCTACATTTGCGTAATTAGATTGGCTAATTTTCAAGAAAGCTCTAAGCATTCGGATGCAATGTCTGGTAAGATAGGATCTGCTTTTGCATACCACGACACCCTTCTTGACCAAAGCTTAACCTGGAAGGATGTCAAATGGCTGAAAAGGTGATGTCATTGATTTAACAAGGGTGCTGTTCAAAGTGAAATAATTATGCCTTCAATCCTTGAATTTTCTATAACTTTTACCAGTGTGACCAAGCTACCTATAATTGTGAAAGGGATCATGACTTCAGAGGATGCAGAGTTGGCATGCTCTTTTGGTGTAGCCGGAGTTTTTGTGTCGGTACTATCGTAGTATTTAAAAAATTGGCGATCAAGTTTTATTTCACACACTCAAAGTTTGTAATTGACTATGCACATTACATGATATGCAGAACCATGGTGCACGACAAATCGACACCGTTAATCCTACAGTTAGTAGTTTACATTTGTTTTCTAATTCCTACTGTCAACTATTTCTATTTATTTCAAGGATACGAGGCTAATAATATTGTTTTGCAGATTGACGTGCTACCTGAAATCGTGAAACAAGTGAAAGGACGATGCGAGATTTATCTGGATGGTGGTGTCACGACTGGAGGGGATGTTTTTAAAGCAATAGCATTGGGTGCCAACATGGTATTCAGCTAAAGAAAACCATTTCAATCATCCTCAAACTAAAATTACAACAATCGTTTGGCATGTTGTGTCTCAGGTTTTCGCAGGACGCCCATTCCTGTGGGGTTTGACAGTGGGTGGAGAAGCTGGAGCTCAAAAAATTTTGCAGATATTCAAAGACGAGTTGGACTTGATGATGGCATTGACTGGTAACCTAACTGTTTTTCAACTGAGCTATACTGCATGATTATGCACTCACTTTTGATGTTATTTAATATTAAAATTAATCATTTGGTGAATAATGATTAACCAACAGGTGTCTCATCAATGAGTGAGCTGACTTCAGACTTTGTCACAAAAGACTGGAAGTCTCACCTGTAGCAAGTTCCAATGCGACATCATACCTAATCCCAAGTTATGCAAGTGAATGTTGAATTTCTATAATAAACTTTACAAATTCGGCAAGAGATATGAACAGAGTGGAAGGAATCCATTTTTATTTTACATTTTCCACTTTTCAGTACACTAACATCCCAGGTTATGCGCACACATAGTTGTAAAAGTTTTCATATTCAATCAATAATTTATTTCTCATCTCATCCTCATCATCATCGGCGAGGAGCAGTCCGTCAGAGGGAAAGTTTTCCACGGTTTCTCAGCAAACCCGTCTTTCTCGGAGCGTGTACAAGCAGGGAAACGAGGAAACTGGGAGGAGGAAACCAGTGGCAGCCTGGTTGTTCAGGTGGGGGAGAGAGAGAGAGTCCCGTTTTCGTGGAAACAAGTTCTCCACCAACAACTCTGGCCATGAACCCCACCGACCCAGCGGAGGCGGATATGCTTCTTCTCTCTCGGACCGAAATCACACGAACAACCCGGAGCTGCTGCTTCACTTCTGGCCGAGAAATGTTGGACGGAGGAGAGTGTTCGGTTGGCTTGACTATCCATCCGTTGTCACCAATTCATCTGAAACCTTTCCCTTCCTTGAACCGAGTGAAATCCTGGAAACGGCGACAGTGGAATGAGACGCCCTTGTTGTCTTTCCTCAGTTTTTGGTTTTAGATTTCTGCCCTCCCTCTCACTCTCTCTCTATTTCTGAAGGAATCCAATATTCTATGACGAACCGATAGCAAATATCAAGCCGTACAAATCCTTGATGTCATGGCAAGAGAAGGTGATGGGGTACAAAAGCTTTCATGGGAATACATGTATGCATTTAGTGTTCAACATGTATGTACAAATAACCACGACGTGAAAGTTACATACGTGCACGTGTGCATATTGGTTTGCGACAGAAAATCATTTTCGTTTAAGAGAGCTGATATTAATGAGACGTAAATTATGGCTTCAATAACTAAATTGGTAAAATACCTTTTACCCGTCGACGGATATCTGATTTCTTTACCACATCACAAAAGTATGTATATGAAGCCATAAAAAATGTGTAGTTGAACTAACGAATAAATAAAAATGTTTGTCCTGGCATGGTTGTTGTGGGGTGGTTGTGATTCAAAGAAAGAATTATTTACAGTTCTAGCGAAGAATGTTTTTTTAAAAGCAGATTGAAACTTGACACTAAATTTTTTATGGCCATGATATTTGACTTGTTTATCAAAAGGAAAATGCATGGAAAGGATTGTTTTATATGATGATAAGAAAATGACCTCATCGTACATAAATATACGCATTGCATCGCAAATACATGGCAGCCGTTCTCACATCTCAAGTCCTTTCTGATTCGCTATGCTACTCGGTTCGACAAAATAAAACATTTAACAATAATTATTACTAGCTTGACAAATTATCCATATGAATCCTATTCAAGAAATACTGCGCTATTGCTATTATAAAGTTTAGCTACTAACAAAGAGCAACTTGAAGCTAAAGTTAAACTTGTAAAGATGACGAAGAGAAGTGGGTGAGATTTTGTGGGTTTCGTTCGTGCTGGACCAAAAAACTATTCCTATCTACGAGTGATATGATGCTGGATAAAGGGTATCCTTCATGAATCACAAGAACAAAAACAAAATAAAAACATTGTCTCATTTTTACACGCTTACTGTCTACCCCAATTTACACCCTATCAAGCCATCCTACTATTTACTGCACATCTATTTCACACCATGTCTCCAAATGCGTAATAAAAGCGTGCCACCAACTTTGTGAGTAAAACAATTTTAGGTGGTTCGAAATTGCAAGTTTCGAGGAGTGGTGTTGACGGAAATTTGGGTGTCTCATCTCCCGATTCCTTGATCCTTCTTCCTTCTTCGTCTTCACTGACTTGCTTCACTACGACTGCTTGGCAATCGTAGCCCAGCAGCAGCAGCGTCTCTCTCTCCCTTCCGTTAACCTGAGCGAGACTGCTCTAGAGAAAGCCTGCCGACGAGATGATGATGACGGTGGATGGATATGGACGACACGAAAATAGCAGAAAGGCACTCACTCGCTTCCCGCTATGATGATGAGAGAGACACAGAATCGATTCAAGTATAGCAAGCAGCACGACCACGAAGGGACTCCCAGTTTTTTGACTACTTGAGCGGTTCCTCCACTCCAGTTATTAGTTAGTTGCCTCCTATTGTTTACTCACTGGGTGCTCAGCACTGCTTTCCAAATAACGTGCAACAATTGCAAATTTAATCCAGGCCCAGTTCTGCTGGAAGAAAGGTAAGCCATCATGAACATTTTTACTGCCTCATAAAGTTTGACAACAGTCTATATCTGTTTCGTGCATGGGCAATTTGCAAATTTGCGAGGAACTTCTTGTTCTGCTCCTTGTCTATCTATCTCACTTTGCACTAAAAGTAATCACCAGGAGCAGACAACTACTCGCATTTATGCCAATAACACAACAGGACATGCACTAGCATAGTAGGTTAGTTAATCCGGAGTGAGGTAAGGATGCATTCGTGCAACTTATGAAATGAAGTTTGTTGTGGGTGAGCAATGGGAATTTTTGCAAATGCAACAGTATAGCCGAGTATAGAAAAGCTCGGTTGTTGGTTTGGTTGCACCACACCGCGCTGCTGGGTTTAGCTTATTTATTGTTCTTCCGGAGAGAAATAATTTGAACTTTTATGGTCGGATCGCGAGAGTTTGAGACGATAATTGATTTGGGATGATCAGGTAGAGGCGAGGTGAATTATATTGTAGGTTAGATACTTTAACAAGTCTGTTTTGATTTGACAGCAAAAATTAACATAGAAAACTGGAATATATTTTAAAAGTTTAATGCTTTGCACTTTTTGTGCTTTGATTGGATATTTAACTATGTACTTATCTTTTAATAGTCTTGCAGAAATGATGGCTTGAGCACCTTTGTATCTACATTCCGTGAATCTGGATGTTAATGCAATTTCCAGTCGTCCGAATACCAGATTTTGTTGGCAGATCTTAGATTTTTATAATGGTAAGGTTCCTCTTAAAATGTTGTGTATTAATAAAAATAATCCATATATATATTATGACTCATTCTTTAAATTGTAATACAGGTTCATTGAGAATCTTGGTCTTTACTGAGAAAAGTTTGGAAATTGACGACAAATAAAGATGGACCCTCAAAATGGGTCTACAAATCCACATGGCCAAAGTCAAGCGGGACAACAGAGATACTGTCCAACGCCAATTATGGCCCCTCCGCCATCATCCCCCGCTCCACCTATGCAACATCAACTAGTACCCCAACCTTCGATTTCACCAGCGCCGCATCATCCTGGCTACTATAGCCACCACCCACCGTACCCACCCCAAACGCAGCAACCGTCTTACTATCACCCAAATTACGCTTATCAGAGCCATGTGCCGCCAACACAAACTCCACATTATTCGCACCAGCATCATCAACAATGGGGAGGACATCATTCCTACTACCAATCACAATCAGTAGACGTGGGATCGACACATCCTCAACAGTCACCATATCAGACTGAAATATATCCTCCTCAAACACAGAGCCCCTACCCTCCATATGTACAGCATCAACAACATCAGAGAATGCACCATCCAGGACTGCCACAACAACAGCAACAGCCCCCTCAGCAGCAGCAACAACAACAACATGCACTTATGAACCTCTCAAGATTTGTTAGTCAGCAAAGTCCAAGTTCAAGTCCTGTACCAATGCCTCACAGTCCAACTACGCCAGTTCCAATGGGGTCACCCCACTACCACCAACAGCAAACAAATCAACAGAGCCACATGACCGCTACACTTACACAGCCAGCACATGCTCCTCCACCTCCTATTGTATATCCTCCCCAGTCACGTACTCCCCAGGGACATATGACTTTACTTCCCAACAATGGTAACTTACACCCGTCATTTCACAGTCCACCAAGCAGTGGTCCTGTTCATTCTCAACAAAATACTGGCCAAGACAACCAACGGTCACAAATTATGCCAGCGGCGAATCCTACTGGAAATACAATAAGCAATCAACCAATCTCTCCTGCACCTTCTTTCAAACCTTCTCCATCTGAACAACTAGTACAAAGCTCATCGAATGACACTTCAACAAATGCAAATCATAATCACATGCTACTCTCGAATGGTGGTGGTAGTGTTAGTCGAAGTGAGTCGACCAGCCCTAGCAGCAGTGTGTCCAGCAGCAGAGTCATCTTAAGTCCTCCTCCCACCCCAAATCCCACAGTCGTAACATCAACTTCTAATAATAATGGACATATGATTCCAGTGCGACTCGTAAGCCACATTTTATTATTATTACGACATTACATTTCTCTGGGCTATGTTCTAGGCAATGCACATATATACGAATATACGATCATTGATTGATTGATTATTATAGTATTGGTGACACATGACAAAAGACTAGAAAAAAACATTAAGCCAGTAAAAACTTTCATTTACAGACGATTCGTTAGATCATTATCATGCGATATTTTTTTATTATACTTATTATTAGATATAAAACATGTTGCATAGACGCAAGCCTTATATTACTCGCTATTTACCGGTGATGTGACACTATTTTGACATGCACCTGCCTGCCCACGACCGAGAAGGATAGAAAAGCTTATACTTGATATTGCAATAGACGACTCGCTAATTTGTGCAAATCCGAGCAATAGCTAGTGTATAGCATTAGCTGGCTCCTCCCATGACCGGCCGAATTGAGACGATCACTAGTTTGTCGTACAAAATCTTTCGTCTGCTGCATCGCATCAGCCTGCCTCGAATGTAAAATAACGTGGACTGCTGTTGCTGGTTCTCACGCAGAACTGGCTCACATTAGTGACTGACTGAGATCAATCTCGCCTTGACTCATCGTCTTGGCACAACAAGTGGTAGAAAATCTCCGTCTTTTTGGCGTTTTGGTGGCTCATAGCTGCTGTAAACCTTTGTGCAACTTCGTATTTCCATTCCAGTTGATACGGGTAATATTATTTGTACACGTGCGTGTGTACTTATTTTCCTTAAAGATATGGCAGAGTAAATGCACTTATCGCCATCCACCAGTACCAGTTAGCTATTAGTTATTGCATCACAAGGTTAAATGGTTACATTTTATTGTATGTGAATTGTTATTGTGAGTCAGCTGCGAAAACTTACAAGTTAAATGGGTTGAAAACTAAACGTAAGCAGGGTATTATCTTAGTATATGTGCAATTAATATAAATATGGATTTGAGCCCTTCTCCTGACTACTTACTGAGTGTGGGGGTAATACCACTAGTAGGTGCTCAATTTAATGGTTGTTTACAATATTTTATAATTATCTATGATACATTAATACTTACCTATGGTATATTTATATTGCAGAATATGCAGTCTGGCGCTAGAGCTAGAACGAAAGCTAGTATGCGGAAACTAATGCAAGAGCAACAGATCTCAACTAGTGGAAATCCAGGGAGTAGTGCGGAGGATCCGACTTCTGAACCAGAATCACTACCTGCCGGAAAAAAAGTCACAACGCCAAAGAAAAGTCCAAAAAAATCAAAGAAAGGTGCCGTTGAGGAAGATGTTGAAGCAGCAACATTAACTGACCCCGTTACTACAACATCCGTAGACTCGTCTGCTATTGTTGAACAACCGTCTACCCCACAAGTTATAGCAACTTCCACTCCTCGGAAAAAGGGAAGAAGGGGGAAAAAAGTTGTTTCCAAACAACCAAAATTGGCAGCCACTTTAAAAGTAAGTCCCCCTCCCAGAAAAACATCCGGAAGACGCCCCCGTAAACAGTCTACGGTAAATTCTGAACTAGAAACAACTCAACCTACAAGTTCCCCAACTCGTTCACAAGCGTCTCAACCAAAATCACCACTGAAAAATACGATCGAGATGGAGGAGGAAGCGATTAATGAGGAGCCACTTCAAAATAAAGTGGAAGTAGAGCTGGTTAAGAAACCTAAACGTGGAACTCGAAAAAAATCTTCCACTCCTCTCGCAAGAAAGTTAGCAATCGCAAGGAAAGCTAGGGCTGCTATGAAGAAAAAAGCAGAAGAAGAAAGTAAACTGGAGGAATCAGTCAACAGTGAGGTCGCAATGCCCGAGCAGCCAGAAGCCCCAATCACCCTAGAAGAAAAAGAGGAAGAAATAATTGAGACACCGACTCGACCTATTAGAATGCGAGCAGCTAAGGAGACAAAGAAAGCAGAAGAGCCAAAAGTATCGGAACGGTCAAGGCTTGCAACTAGGACTAAACGCGCTTCTGTGAGCTATAAAGAAATGTCAACTTCTCGAAGCAAATCTCCCAAAGAAATTACTCCTCCTGCAACTGCTCAGCAGGCAACCAAGAAATCTCCAACCCCCTCGTTGAAGAAGTCTGTGGCTGTAACTAAAATGTCTCCCAGACTGAAGGTTGTTGAAAGCCCATCTCCAAGTCGGTCGCAGAATTTGAAAGATAAAAGTCCCTCCCGAAGTAGGCGTGGAAGCAAAGCATCCAAAGAACAAGAACAAGTAATTCCAGAAACTCCAAAGCGTGCACCTCGAAAAGCAAAAGAAAAATTGACACTAGAAATGAGTACGGTTGCAGTTACTCCTGCCGCTAGTGAACCCGAAGAAGCTGGTACAATAATTATGTCACCTCCGTCTACAAAAAAGAATACCAACAGGAAAACTAAACGAGAACCAACTCCAGTCCGATTGCCTAGTCCCCGTTTGGCGAAAGAAAAAAGTGTTACGCCCACAACGGCTGCAACAACATCCGCTGCTTCTTCACCCTCAAAATCAACTGCTTCTGATGCTGCTGGCAATGAGGGCGTGTTGAGTGAGAATAAAAGCAAACCAGTAAAGACGAAGGGAAGGGTTGCTTCGAGAAAACCACCACCCACATCTTCGTCAAGTAATAGAGGGAAACCGAAAATAGTGAAAAAGAAAATGACACTCAATTCTAGAAAACTAAAATTTCTACGACCTCTGAAACACGAGGCTCCGATAGCAGCACCAGTGGTAGAACTCCCAGAAGCTGAGACAATTAAGAAGAAGGCAAAAGGTCGTGGCGGTAGCTCAAGACGATTTTTGGTATCACGTAAGCGAAAAAGACCTCTTCCAGTAAAATTGTCACAAACAAGAGTTCCACATGTTCAAGAGGGAACACAAATTATTAATCAATCTACTAATGTGAATACTTCTGGCTCACATGAATTGCCTACAACTGAAGCGTCTAATATTATCATCACTAATTCCTCAGCGAACCTTCCATCTGAATCTACATCACATTCTGATAAGGGATTATTAGCATCGACGTCGTATGCAACCCAAGCTATGAAGTTGCCAACTGGAAATCCTATGGTGTTAGAGTCTCGACGAAGATCAAAATCTCCCCGTCAAACTCTTGATGCTGCGTCATCCTCGCTTCCTGCTGTTATCGGGAATGCCACTTCCACTACTACTATTGCTCCAATGGAGATCATGCCCAGTCAAACAATTGTTACCAGTGGAACTCTAGATTTGAGTTGTAAATCTGAACAATCAAACCTTGGTCACAATCAAGCCAGTAGCAGTGGCAATTTGGTTGCATTTCCTGTTGCACCTACTTTTGATCTCATAAATCCTCTAACTCTTCACACCAGTCCTACCACCTCCAACTTGCAGCTATTGTCCGACTCGGTAAATTCTATAATGCAGTCTACATCAAAAAGCACAAAGCCAAGAAAGCCACGAAAACCGAGAGTGTTGGTGCCCAAACCAAAAATTCCCGAGGTAGCTGCAACTAGTAGTACCAAGAATAAAATCAACCCTGGTAGCAGCGCAGTGGTGCTAGATCAAGTAGCAGGTGCGACTGAGACGAAAATTAATACTAAGAAAACAAAGTACGAGCTAAAACAATTGGAATTTAAGCGAAGAAAAGCTATTTTAGAATTGGAGGTGGCACAAAGTTTGTTAGATATGAAGCACAGCAGTAAGAGTCCCAGTCCAGTTAAATTGGTCGAACCAACACCCACAACATCTTCACCTCCAGTGGTGTCTATAGATCTATTTCCTTCTCAGGAAACAACTCCCAAAAAAACAAGCAGACCAAGGAAGCCCTCAGTCCAAAGTAGAAAGCGAAAGCGAACTCTAACTGCGGAAGCTCCTGGTGATCTTCAATCTACAACACCATCAACTCTTCCCCTATCCATGAGTCTACCTTTACCATCCACGCTTTCACCAGACATTGCGACTCCGTTACCAGCCCAGAAATCAAGAAAAGGAGTTAAACGTCCTCGAGTTAAAAAGCCTCGTCTTGATCTGCCGCAACCACTAGTTATACCCACCACCACTCCCACTATTCTTGCGGTCCCTCAAATAAACGGAAATCAAGGTTTAAACTTTTCCATGAATAACAGCATATCGTTTCTAAACACACCAAACAAAACGGGTCCTGTTAAAGTTGCCAAAACTGTAATTCCTCCAGGAGTTGCAGAAACAAAGACGTCAACAATTGCAGACATAGAATCGACTATTGCCAGTGTCTCCTGCGGTCTGATACCAGTTTCTTCGTCTTCTTCGTCGCCCCAAGAAAAAGTAAAGCCTAAATCAAAGCCACGGCCAAGGAAACCAAAAACGACAGTAGTCAAAAATCTTCCCACTACTCCTGCTGCCACAACAACAGAAGGAATCTCTGAAACATTGGTGCCAAAACCAAAACGTCCACGTAAGAAGAATTCCACTCCCGCAAAAGTGGCTGTGAGCTCTACAGTTCTTTCCACGCCCATCACCACGACCATACATGACACTTTAGCGGGCAATAGTTCCATAGATATTACAACTATTGCTCCAAAAAATTCAGAAAATTCAATGGATCTCCTTCCTGCTGCAGCTGCTGTGACCCCAGTCAAAAAGAAACGAGTTTACAAACGTTCTCCTTTTAAGCTAACTGTGAAACCACTTCCAGTTCCAACCGTCTTCGTTAAGTCGTCTCCATCTACAAATACAAATGGACCGGGAGCACCCATCGCTAGTACCAGTTCCTCATCGGACAAGAACAGGGTTAGAATTGGCCCAACATTAAAGGTCATAGCAAGAAAAACTCAGTTTTTTCGAGGTGGAGAGAAGGAGGAATTAGATACTGAGCCACCAACACATAAGGTAATTGTATTGCTAAAAAAATGAGTGCATACCGATTCATGAATATGTTTCATACATATTAGAACAATTGTTGTTATCGTGTCATTCATGCAGTTATTTATTTCAGCAGGGACAAACTCAGTTTGACAAAAACGTACCGTGGTTATGCTGTTTCTGTAACTTGGGCCCGCATGCTCAAAAACTGGGCGATCTTTTCGGTCCATATTACTCTGGACCAGAGGCAGAAGCTGGAAAATTAAATTCGACTGGAAGTGGTGAAACTTGGATGCATTCAGGTTAGAGTTGGGATAAACAACAGTTTTATGCATATCATACACATTTACATATTAATTAACAGTACATTAATAATTTTCTTGTGCATACATACATCTAAACTCGTATGACCTGTGTTTCATTTATCTCGTTTTTTTAGAGTGTGCATTATGGACTAACAACCTTGTTCTGATTGGAACTCAACTTTATGGTCTTGAGGAGGCACTGGCAAACTCCAAAAAATACCTTTGCACAACTTGCGGTAACAAGGGCGCAACAATAGGATGCCTCGAACGGTAAGTTGCATAATTGATAATTATTATTTATTCACTTAAATGAAACCCACCTAAATGATGTCTGTGCATCTGTGTTTAGGGGATGCAAGCAAGCAGTACACTTTCCGTGTGCGACCAGAAAGTCATGGAAGCTGGACGAAGAATCTTTTAACTCTTTTTGCCCTGCCCATATTTCGTAATTCAATACTTTGTTTCTTACTGTCATTATATATACCTTTCGACATTATCTCAAATGTTGTTTGTTGGTGAAATTATTATTATTACGTGAAAATTATTTTGTATTTTTACATTACAGTTACAGTTAAACGTGATAGTTAGAAAGTTCTGCTGATTGATACAAGGTTTTATTTTATAAATAAAAATATGCAAGTGGTATTATAGGATACGAATAAGTACATACATACTACGTGGTACTCGAAACAAAAACAGGCAATCTTAGTCACTGCCGAGTGATTTATTTATTTAATGTTTAGATATTGTATTGTATGTCGCGACCGTGACATAAAAGTTTGCGGTACTGGCAAATTATGCTTAAAAACGGAAACCTATGTACCAACCTCCAATGTTATGGGGCATATGTAACTAGCGTACTTTGTCGTTGCTTGCTGTGAGTATGGGTAGGTGTAATAGTCTTAATTTCGTCTCTCTTAAGTTAGTGACAACATTCCCAACCAATTTTTAGACGGTTCATTGTGGTGGTATAGTATTGTAAAGAAAGTAACAATGAATTAAAACTTTGAGATCGTTGTGACAAAAAATAGCATTTGTGTAAATTTTCATCAGTCTGGATTTATTAACCTCATTACAAGTTTCCATCTAGAGCACATGTCATGGTGAATGCAAAATACACTTCTTCTCCGGCATCACAATTAACATAATTTACACATGAATTGACAGAAGAATTCCTGACCACTATTGCTAAACAATTTCCTTCAGGTGAGACAGTGAGTAGATGATCTCCATCATCTGTGTTGTAAATCGTCAATCCTCCCCAATTTTCGTTCCATTTACTTGAAACAAAATATATAAAGTCAACCAAATTGGGACCTTCGTCACTCTCATTCTCGTCATCAGCAGAATCTCCAACGTCATTACTCTCGGCAGCAGAATCTGTATTCTGTGTGACATCGTCTTTCTCTTTGACATCACCTGTCTGCTTAGCCCCTCCCGATGTCAAAAGTGAGTACGAACCCTTAGCATATTTTCTTATCGAACTTGTCCCTCTAAGCAGTTGTGACGATGTGAACGGTAGTTCTGTCACCTTTTCCACTAAATGAAAAAATTCTTTCGAATGGAATAACTGGCGAAGTCCCTGAACATTTTTGGAGAGTGCAGCTTGGCCTAATTCTGCTGATAGAAGTACGGGAGGGCCTTTGTCCATTTCTTGGTAACATGCCATATTTGGTGGCCCCACTTGCACAAACTTTCCAAATGTGGCATCTTGATCAACCATATCAATGCATATAGCTTTATAGACATCATCCTGCAGAAATCCTGCAATTCAAGAACTGATAAAGTTAAAGGATCCTTACACTTATATAACCAAATGTAGTATCATCATAGGTTATAATCTCAGTTATCTTTGTTTTGCACCAGAAGCCAAGCCATAATGATGGTGGTTTGGCGTGGCTTCTTTGTACACAAATAGTACTTGATAAGAAAACGTGTTGATTGTGTACTCTGTTTATATGAACAAACCTGGGATTAAAACTTGTGATTCTTCAGAGACCTGTTCATTAATATCTTGTAAAGTTGACTCATCAGAATAGCTTTCGGAACAAAATTGAGTGATTATCTCCTAAATTCCACAAGAAATGAATTATATACAATAGAAATAGACAAATATATGCATAACTACAATTTCATACCGGATGTGATGTCATAATGTCGTTCAATAAATAGCCATGATCTTTTGGAAACTCAATTTTAGGTCTTGGGACAGGGTCACCATAAAACCATCCGCTTAAAGCTAACCGTTTTACACCCTCTTCAGTAACTTCACTTACCTGCAAAAAATGTTTAAAATGTAAGTTATAAAACCAAATAAACTGGATAATATGGCCAAAACTAAATACTTTTGGTTAAATTAAATAAAACTGAAATAACTAACTTGATGAAATGATGTTGCACCGACGGAAAAAAATACAAACTTGTTAAATTCTGGAGTTATGGATTTCACAACGGAAATAGGATGAATATCTTTTGTGGCCGAAAATAAATCCAGTTTTCCACCAAACTCCGCTTTCCACGTTTTATTGAGATATAAAATGAATGCAATTCTTCTGGAATCTAGTTCATCATCATGACATAGTAGGAAATCTAAATATGAATAATTACATGAGAATGTTAAATGTCCTCATGATTATTAGTCTCAATTCATAATGTGTACCATTTTTTCTATAGTCAGACAAGAACAAATCAATACTTCCATTCAGTGGAAGTCCAGTCACATCCTTCAACCAAGGAAGTATACTATTTGTAAGATATTCCCTATAAAAAGACAAAACAATTCATACAATTAATAGCGAATTTAGAAGAAGATATATATTTCCATGATTCTTTCTTGACAAGTACTAATTTATAGCTCCGTACATTAAAATGTAAATGTGAGGATCCACAAATGACTTCAAGTCATCCGATTGTCGAAACTGGAACAAATCGCTTTCTTTGAGATGAAACTCAAAGGTGTCCATCTTTTCCAACAGTTCTTCAAGGAATTCTTCATTATCCACAAATGATTTGCACTCACCATGCTGAAACGGTGTACTGCACAGGCTTAGTAGTTCGTCTGAATAAATTATAATTTTTCATTCAATAACCATTTCACCTTTATAATAAATAAAGGTATTAATTTTTTATAATATTAAGTGAACCTGAATAGTTTTCCTGGTTGAGCCAAACACTTTTGAGCTTTTCAACTCCTTGACCTATGACTTTTGACGGAACGATACTGCTGCATGCTGTTCCCGAAGAGGACTTTTTAGGGGCACTTTCATCATCAACGACCGACTTTCTTTTATTTTTTCCGTGTGGCATTATTAAAGTGTGGAATTTTATTTAACAATTTCAACAACGCACATACATGCAACATGTGCTTCACAGAATCACACTTTTGGGTTCAAACTTTTTCCTCTCATCCTCAATCCATTCCTCATTGAGATTTGTCTATTATTACTTATCGTCTCAAGTGACTTGAGACTTGAGTCAAGTCTCAAAGTTTGAGTCTCTTTATAGGTATTCCTTAGATCGATTGTCTAATTACTAATTAACCATAATGCTAATAATTAATGGTTATTAGTATTATGTCGAACTTACTTGCAGTACGTTTGTATGCCAGTTCTTGAGTCCATAATTTCTAAGAAATCAATGTGCAAGAATTTTTGCTAATAAATTGAAGTTTCATTCTCATAAACCATAAATATTTTTTATCTTGACATTTCTTTGGGAAGTGCTATTGCTATTTTAGGTATATTATAAAAACATGATATATGTAACGTACAGGGTCAGGAGGTACTGAAATGTGCAATAAATACATCGCAGGTTAATAGCTATAATATTATGTATAGGACCGAATGAATGGACTCTGTATACGTGGACAGAATAAGTTACTGAGAAAAATAAATATTTATTTATGTTTGTCTATTATAACAATTAAAAACAAGGAACTCGTACCCTGAATTTGCAAATAGCAATATGTTCCACTTGACACTATAAATTAAACTAAATCCGCTGTTTTTATTTTAAATTGACCTTAACATGCAGGTTACACTTTTACTAAACTAATATCACTTTTCATCATTTTTCGACACAAATAAATTTTGCTTGGGTGGATAAAATGGCATTTATAAGTCTACAACATATCATTTTTTGCATATTATCCACCACATTAATTCCGGTGACGCTTGGTCTCGGGAACCACATAACTCTCCAAGAACATAACAAGATTTCCGAGTATTTGACTAAAGAAATAGCCAAAAAGTACCCGAGTGATGGAGAAGATGCCCATTCTGACACTTTGACTCAAGTTTCGAAAGGGAAGGAAATGCACTACCACCACGGAGATGAATCTCAGCCAGTTTTCCTCACAACGGACTTAAACAACAAAGGAAAGAAGGTTATCGTATTGAAACGGGGAGAAGATTACATAACTCCGGAGGATACAAACACGTTCGTAGTCCTGAGACAAAAGAGTGGTGGCAGTTCGTACAACGTCCATCTCGCCATGATCTAGTAATGCTTAGTTTAAAACAAAGAAACGAGTTGAAAATCATTCTCAATTTCATTGAATACAATGATTGAACCTTAATACTTTCCTCATGCTTTCTCAGCGATATGGGACGACGCCAACCCAGCGGAAATAATTCCATTTTGGCTTGGACAAATGGAAGAGTAGAACAGCGTGCTAACATTACTTCGAGTTTGAATCTGCTGGGAAATCGATACCTACCACGACGTGTACCATTGGACAGAAGGTAATAATTTGATAAAATTGTTTCTACTAATTAGTTACATAAATCTGCCACCTAACTTACAACAAATATTTTGTTTCCTAGACCTAGATGCGAGTGGGTTGCTTCCGTACTGCTCTGCAATGCAAAGAAGGATGTCCAATCCCCTCAGAGGACTTTCCCTCCAAAGTTGGCTACAAGCAAGCCTGACCCCGACAAAGATGATCTCTGGGGTGCTGGAAATGGGAAAAACCAAAGTGGTGGGGCTAATGAACCTGCTGAAGAAAGTGGTGGCGATAGGGCGAGTGGGGGAAATAATGACGGCGATATAGATGAATCATCCGGAGTCCCTCCAGGTGGAAAAGGTGATGGAGAAAACGGTAACAACAACGACGGGACCACTGATGAAAACGGAGGTGCTGACGAGAAAGGTGAAAGTGGTGATGAGGGCAAGACGAAGGAAGAGGAAAAGAAGCCTGAGAAAAATGATGGGGATGATGAAACGACGGGCGACTTATTAGACGAGGGTGGAAGTAATCCTGAAACCAAACCGGACGCCGGTGGGGGCGGTGGTTCGGAAGAGCGTTATATCCCTGTAAAAGGTGGTGGGGAAAAATCAAAGCGAGAAGGTAAATCATCAATGAAGAAGAAATCCACGTCAGAAAAGAAAGATGCAAAACATATCAAGAGAAAGCCGTCGAAAAAGCCAAGCGGCAACAGTGTTACACTGAATAAGAAATATCCAAAAAAGCGTAAATAATATCTAATAGTTATGTTTCTCTCAATCTCGAAAAACGTTTTCTATAAATTCTTAGCGAAGAATTATTATTCGAATTTTTGTATTAATTTGTCTAATAAAATGAAATGTGCAGGAATAAGGGACAACTAGAATTTTGCGTTTACAAATAAATGATTTTGCTTTCACTCATTTCCTTTCTAATTCGCTCAGCTTTTTCAAAAGACTTTCGTCTGTAGTCTGAATATCTTCATCTGCAGTAATGTTGACTTCTTTGAACTGTACTTCAAGAGGAATGTATTCGTGGGTTATTTCTTTTTCCGAGACGTATACTACACGAAATCCACTTTTAGTGTCGTCGAAGGTTCCACCCACTGCTGCGGTCATGACATGTTCGATCGGTCCAATCTGGCTAATTCCGTTACGGTGAGTGTGACCATAAAAAATGTGCTTCACACCTGCAAATTATTCACACGATTTATCAATTTAGTGCACATACCTAAGTACTATTGCTAGTCCAATGAGGGTTTTATTTATTTACATTAAAATAATATTACCTGTAGTTCTCATTGCATTCAAAACCTCGTGTCTCATTGGTTGATTGATGTTCAGAAATGAAATGTCGATTTCATCCTCGCTCTCTATGCACAAAGGAATGTGCTGGAAAACCACTGCAATTCCCAGGATACAACAAATCAGTACTTTCACTTAAGAATTCAAAATATTAGTTTGGTAGATAAATCTTCCAACCGTGATGGAGTGCACCATCATCTCTCGTGTTTTGTAAAAATTCCATTTGTTGAAAAAACTCCATCTCCAATAGCTCTGGGAATTTGAAATACTGACTGAAAAAAGGAAAGTAGGTGGTTGAACCTCGGTCAAAGCGTGTTCAATTTCCCCCAATTTTTACCTGTTGAGCACTGTGAATTTTACTCCCCCATGCCAAAATGTAAAGTATTCCGGGCCAAATTCATTTCTGTACACGTCCATCGTAGTAAATGTGGGCATGTCTCCAACGTCATGATTTCCACACACAAAAACTGCTTTAATATCTGGATCTAACATGGTGTCAAAGCAATCCTTCAAATCCTTGTACTGCTCCGAATGGATTCCAAGCGTCTCGACATACGGCGGCGTGTCTACCATATCCCCTCCAACCACCAGAAACTTTGGTTTCGGCTGAATCTCGTTGATCATTTTTATTGCACATTTTAAATGAGTAAGGTCCACTTTCCAGCCAGGATTGTCTTTCTTGAGAATATGCTTCTCAATTAGACCTGATTAATTACATAAAGGAATATATTGTTTGGTTTCGTAAGGGGAGGGGGAGAGCCAAGCAAGCGAACAAAATAAAAAAATGACTTGCGAACGCTAAGGAGGAGGGACCTCTACCTTTCACCATCTGATTTTGATGCCCTTTGGATACATATGTTGTTGTTGGGCGCAAATGGAATTAAACCACTTGGGGGCTTTATGTAGTAGACTCATAGGGCACTACAACATATCCAAAGGGCACCAAAATCTGTGGGTGAAAGCCGTGAAAGATAGAGGTCCCTTCCTCCTGAGTTTGTCTCTCTCTCTCGCTCTTTTTACATATTATCTAACTGTTCACAGCGAAAAGTAATTTTTTTGTTATACCAAGTTGAGGGTCGCAGGCATGCACAAACGTAAATGAACCTTGCCAAACACGTTCTTGTTGTTGCCTACATTCCGGAAAAAGTGTGGATAAATTCATTGGAAGTCTGGAAATGATAGTGGACCCATTATCCCCATTCGATGGAGTATTCTCGTCATTTTCAAGCACTGTGTTCATCTATGTAGCTTCGCGTAGATTAGATTTCCTAGTAAAAGTTAAAATAAGCTAATTATCCAATTAAATGTTGACCAAAAAAAAATTAAAATTAACATTAAAAATTAAAATTGCCAATAGCTTTCCCCTTGTATTCATTCATGGTCATGGGAACTGTGCAAGGTCACATAATGGGACTTGTACTGCTTTACTTCTATTTGCATATTTTGTCCAGTTGTATCGCGATTATGGCATCTAAACCCAGGAAGCATAGGTCAAGCAAGACCGACAATGAATTGGAAACCAGCAAGTTCGAATTAGATTCATCCGTGCAAAACAAAATATCGGTATATGTTTGCTTTAGTCTTCTAATTTCGTATGCGAGGAATAATATGTACGGACCAACTAATTCGAAACTCATAACATAACAATTCTACAGAAGTCTGATGGGACAAAATATTCTTCCAAAACTTTCCGAGAGTCGTCACAAGAAGATGAGAACGAAGAGGTGCCAGCCAAGGGTACGCAAACGGTACGCACTTACGCACTCCACGTTAGAGAAAATTTGGCAATGCATATCAAATTTCTTGAGATATCGCATATTTTCAGGCCCCAAGTCATAGAGATCAAGGCAGTTCCACAAACAATAATTTAACTCCTATTGGAACTAAACAAACTAAGATTGTCGAATCGGGATCGACTAATAAGCGGCGACCCTCGACAACCCGACGACCACTTGTTCATGATATTATTCATGCTAATGATGTCCCTTCAGCATCTAAAACTAACGAAATGACAACGCAAGCTGACTTTGAGGATGATCTTGATATTGACGAGTCTCATGCTGAAACACAGACCGATGTCTCAGGAGAAAGTGCGTTGGAAAAGGAAAATGTTGAGAACGCTTTAAATAATCCATCAGAATCAACTCACTTAAATGACAAAGAAAACGAGTTCGAGTCTGATACTATTTCCCCGTCAGAAAAGGCATCCAAATCAGATTTGCTACCTGAGCCGGCACAGACTTTGGTAGTAGGGACTCCATCACCGGAATGCGATAATACCAGTGCAGCTAATGAGTGTCGCTTTAGAGCAACGGAATATAATGTATACGTCACAATTATTTGCATTTATAATTATGTTTGTAATCAACAGACGTTTGACAATAATTGTCAGATACATGAAATATGCATACTTGGCGTTATGAATGTATTACAATATTGTTTTCAGGATTTGGAAATAGACCAACTAGTTGGAGTTGCTGCTGAATATTTCAACGAAGCCAAACACCTTGGATGGTATTGCCTTTCGCAATGCCTAGATTTTATGAATGAGAAGGGTAAGGATACATGTGACCCCTGCAAATTATCAGCAACAGAAAATCAGGGAACTGCAACTTTGGTCTTGGATACTGACGCCGAAAAGTCATCGGTGGTCGAGATGAGTGTAGACGAGACGGCCCAAAACAATCATGATGAATTGACATTAAATCCAACAATTGATGATGACAGCAGCATGACCAAAGATGAAACAGTTGAAGTTCTTGTCGTCAACCAAAGTACAAGCACGGTTATCGATGACCGTGATGAAACGAGGAATACTAATCAAGTTGATAGCACGCGTATTACCGAGGATGACAATCAATAAATCGGTTGAACAGCAATTTTGCATTGTTCTACACGTAGCCAAACGTCAACATGCTTAGTTAAATTGATTGACCCGGAAGACAAATAAATTTCGTGCTATTATTGTATCATTCTAAAATACCTACGCAGACAGGGCTTGTGTTTATTTTGCATGTGTATACTGCACTGTACTGTATAACATGGATCAATCAAAAGATTTAAGAAACCAAAGTTCAAGGCATTGTACCATCACATTTATTGCATCCATGCTTACGTCAGCCAAGCTCAGTAAAAATTTAATTATTCTAATTAAGTTGTCCTTATTTGTTAATTTGTTTAATATCACTGTTCCATTAGAGACAAAAGAATCATCATCTGATATAGATTTAATAGAAAAATCAGCCAATTTTTTCCCATCGCAGAACAATTCAGGGTTTGAAGAAGTTATCAGAAAGTTCAACGAAACAGAAGATGCAACTTTTTTCACCAGTGTCCACATGCCGGACCATGTTATCCGCCACAGTGGGAACGATGACGAAGGAAAAAACTTAGTAATTTTACCCAGTGACCCAGAATTAAAATTACCTTTCTCCAATGTAACTACATTCGTCGTCCTCAGAATGATTGCTAACAAATCTTCTCGCTATACTTCCCATTTAGCGTATTTGAGGTGACGAAAAAATCATAGTTTGAAATTACCGTGTGTACGTAACTTTAGTTGTAAAGCACAATTTACTGATCATCAAAAATTTGATAGGAAATTTGGAGCAGAAGCTGCCTCCGTTGAATGGGACAGTTATTCCTTCCATTTTCATAAGACCAATGGGAGTTTTGCTCAAGCATTTTTCCCTGTTCGGGAAGGTTTTGCAAATAAAAAATATTCTTTCAAGCAATAATATAATATGAAATGCATGCTAATGTGAAGGTCCTGCGACCATTACCATTGGACTGGGATATACTCTCACAAGATCACGAAGAGGAGACGTACCACCAAACTCCGGATCACTCCCTCCAAGTTATGCAAGTTACAATAAGGGGCTCGGTCCTGGGAGTATTAATAATAAGGCCAACCTGTCGCCTCTTCAATCTCCTCAGAAGAATGTGATACAAGGACCCCCGCAATTAGTGCCATCAATCCAAAACTCCCAAATACAGAGACCTCCTCCTGCACTCATGGCACCCTCGTTTCCAAAGTTGCAATGGAGTTTGAAAACAACAGAGCGTTATTTTGGGATTGGAGACGTGACAACCTCTGGTGACAATGCGGACGATGCCACAACAGAATATCCAATGTATGGGGAAGTAGCGGAAGATCCCAACACATTTGGCTTTACGACACATCCCCCTTGGTCGGAATATCGGCTTCAGCAGCAGGGCTTTGAGGTGACCACAGAGGAACCTATCAAATCTGTGCATTCTCGCCATAATACAAAACTATGTTTTGGGCTACACCGAAACTGTGGAGAAAAACCGACAGTGAAACGAAAGGTTGTTAAATCTTGCATGTTTGGGCGTTGCAAAGAAACAAGTTGGATGGATCGGTATGCTGTTGGGACCTCTTCATCAACTACTACCACCCAAACATCAGTATTGTCAGAAGAGATGGATATCGAGACCTCAACAAAGAAGGGAAAGAAAAAGAAGAAAAAGAAGCAATATCTATCACTGGCAGACTGTGAAGAAGCACAAAGTAATTCAAAAGGACGATCTATGAAAGTGTCAAAGACGGCGATCAGCACCCCACATAATTTCTCCACAACAGAAGTTGAGTTGCCAGTCTCAGAACAACTTAAAGACACTCATCAATCCATAAAGCTTATTTCAAAGTCATCTATTTCCACAACTTTGAGACCACCAAACCGTAAGTGCTTTATCTGCTCAAATATGTATATAACTTTAAAATAACTTTCTAATTTTGCCCCTATGTATATATGTAACTACTTCATCTTCTTTTACAAAATTGAAGAGAAAGGACGGAGAAAAAAACGTGCCATAAAATCAAAAAGAAGGAGTCAACTTGGGACTAGCATGTTAATAAGTTCTGGGCGACAAAAGCGGAAAGTTGACCCATGTGCAGAATACAGAACTGATGATGAGAATCCACTCCTCGGAGAAAGCTTAATGAACATAGAAGACACCGAAGACAGTGCATCAACAACCTCATCATCACCCGAACCCATCATCAATAGCACAGAAAATTCTAACAACGACGATCTCTACACAACAACAATGGCACCTGACGTGAAGGAAGCCGTCAATCCATTTTCCAATAGCTTAGGGGAAGTGGACTCGACTCCTATTCAAGCAAATAGCACAATCTGGGACGATACGGCACCTGACCCACCTGCTGTAATTTCTGACGACGGAGGTGGGAGTCAACTCTCTGTGAATGCCAGTTCGAGTTCGAAAAAGAAACGAGAGTTTGTCTCTGAATTTGACGATAGTTCCGACGCCGTCGTACAAAATAGGGAAATGATTTCTGAACTATTGGAAGTCTCAAAGGATGAAATGAACGAAGGGTCCAACAACATGGATGTGACAAAGGCAAATAAAACAGATTCTGATCCCAAGGATTTGTACAACTTGGATGTACCATACATTGGCGTAGGAGATTGCGATTTTGTTCCCCTCAACTTTACTTCCCCTCTGCCCACCGAGAAATTACAATTGATCAAGTTTTTCACGTCTGTATTAAGAGCACAGTGTTTTCCAGATATAGTAAACAAAACATTACAATTATTTGATGACAAACTAGTGACTTTCGATTCAGTAAACATTGTCCTAAATAGAAAGAATTCTTTTTTGTAAGTACTCGAGACCACAAATGATGCCGTATGTTCATCATAATACCATGCATAACTTAGGACTAATGCTATATTAATTTAATTAACGTTTAAATTTACAGTCAGAAGAAAATATTTGGTGAAATGGAATGGATTGATTTTGCCTCAGCGGTCCTGCTGTCTGAATTCTCCAAGGTTTTCAGAGAACAGCTCGACAAATACAAGTCAAACCACACCGACAACAAGTCCCCTGATGGAAAACGGATATCGGGAACTGTAAAAACGTTAACTATTCTATGTACTCGAATTCTTGATTCCATCCAAACAACCGAGAAAATGCATGCAATAAAATTTGCCAATCTTTTGCTCGTTATTGTGCAAGCCCAGCGATCTGAATTGGCAAATTCGCCGAAAGTCGACGAGCTGGAAAAATGTACAAAGTGCATCGTGGAAAAAGAAGTTTATTTTAATGATAATCAACAACTGTATACTCTTATGAGGTTTATTGTTGATAAATTACCAGATATTTTTGTATCCTCAAATAGGACAGAAGACATGTTCAACAAATTTTATATCAGCAATGCCAGTACAATAATGAAGCTTGTTAAAAATAAAACTCCATTTGTGTACTGAACAAGTAATTAATGGTTAATAATATGTAGATACATAATTAATTTTTAATAGGTGTATGGTCCACAAATAGTAAAATAAAAATTAATAATTATCGAGCGTAATTACATTCGGTCTTAGGAGGAGTGTTTCCGTACTTGTCAGTAACCGATTTCGATGCCCTTTGGACACGTGGTAATCCCCTATGAGTCTACTGAAACCCTGAAGTGTTTTAACTCCATGTCCACATTTGCGCACGCCACACGCACTTAAAGGTACCCAAAAACGGTGAAAGTAGTGCTTTCACTGATTCAAATCCACACCAAAAATTCAATTTTACCCGGATTTTGAAATTAGGTGCTCCATTATACTCCCAGATAGTTGGTTTCTTATATCCAACATCAAACTAAACTTTGAAATTTTTACTATATTTAGAATTTAAAATTCTCAATGAGTATCGTTGTAGTAATAAACAACGCAAATTATGCCTGTGAAATAATCGTCAAAAAAGTTGAGTTTGATTTTTTGGATATAAGAAAACAACTATCTGGGAGTATAAAGGAACACGGGATTTCAAAATCCGAGTAAGATTGGATTTTTGGCGTGAATTTGAATGAGTGAAAGCACTACTTTCACCGTTTTTTGGGCACCTTTGAGTGGGTGTGGCGTGCGCAAATGTGGCCATGGAGTTAAAACACTTTAGGGTTTCAGTACACTCATGGGAGACTACTACGTGTCCAAAGAGCATCGAAATCGGTAACTCACAAGTACGGAAGCACTCCTCATAAGCACTCAACAAAAATGAATGGATCAACCAAAAATTTCCATTTACAAAAGTTTTAGAATTGTCATGTGATAATAAATGCATACACGCATGCATATTTGAATAATTGCGACCACATAGCATACACATACTTCCTGTTTATGCTAATTCCACACAATAACACATTCAATATTCAAAACTCTCATATTGGTATCCAATACTTTAAATTGTTATCTTTCGCCAAAATACATTTGTAATACACAAAAAACGGAGGCCATGTCAAACGGAAAGCTTTTCTCAGTTGTCGTCTTTTCCAGTATCGTTTCGTCCATTAAAGGCCAATTAATGGACCCTGGTGATCAACACATTGAGCTCATTTTAAAAGCTGCCAAGTTATTTTCGACACATAGTGATTTGATCCACGAAGGATACGAAGTATTCGAAAAGCAACAACAGCGAATAGCTAAACAAGAGGAAAATGTGCTATTATCCGAACAATGGCCAAGTAAAAATTTTAAGATAAATGCCTTACAATCCTTCTTGGATAATCAATTGCTAATCATTGACAAAAGTCATGACGGGCTTCACTTCAGCGAGACAAACACGAACATCATTCTCATTCAATCGCCAAAGTACAAGCAAAAGTATACAGCACATAAAGCCTACATCAGGTGTGTACATAAATGTTAAAAATAATCATGATATGATCTGCCAATGATGTATGTCAATTATGTGCATAGCATCAAATATTAGACCACCAACTATTATGGGTGGATTTGCATCAGTTTATTAACCTGCTAGGTTATGCATGCATTATGAATGCATTAATTGTACTTGCTTATATACGACATGACTTGATCTTAAATAAAGTAGTCGCTAAATGTACTCGTTGAGCAGATGAGCTAAACCCTTATTTTGAACACGTTATCAGCACGGCTCTAGTTACTGCTCAACTTAATCTGAAAAGATTAAAATGTGAAAAGTTCTACTATATAAAAAAGTGAAACTGAGACCAAGATCTGAAAAAGACTTGTGACTAATTCAACATTGTTAAGTTGTTCTAATAGTAAGTCAGAAAATGACTTCGACTACAAAAATTTCCATGAGGAGATTTGATACTTCATCCATCTCCAAGTTAAACGGAGAAAATTACACGGTTTGGAGGATAAGGTTAGTGTGTTTCTTTAAAACTCATCAATTAATGGAAATTGTTGACGGGACACAAATACGCCCAGCCGCATCAGGACCTGACCAAGAAAATTGGGACGAAGGCAACAACGAAGCCTTAACGGTCATGTTATTTACTATGACAGATGAACAAGTAGAAGGGGTATTTGGTTGCAAAACTGCACCAGAAATGTGGGATAAATTGAGTTCCATATATCAAAGCACAAGCGGAGAAAATAGACAAGCCTTGTGGCAAAAGTTTTACTTGATTATGGCTGATGAAAAATCGCCAGTTAAAACCATGATTCAGATACAGAATATTGCTTCACAGCTCAGAAGCTTAGGAATAGTAATTGATGACGTAGCTGAAGTGGCCAGAGTAATCTCAAGCTTAGCGGGAGATAAATATAGACAATTCAGGGAAGCCTGGAGATCGGTGGACATAAGTAAACAAAGTACTGGTCTACTTTTATCACGACTAAAAACTTTGGAGCTTGAAGACGAAGAGTCAGATAAAAGCAAAGCTAATCAGTCGTATTTTGAAGATGAAAGTGAGAGAGCTTTTAGTGTCAAGAAACCGTTCAGTAATTGTGCAATTGGATCTACCCAAAATGTTTGGATTAATGACTCTGGTGCTGATCGACATTACTGTGGTCGACTAGATTGGTTTTATGAGTATGAAAAATATTCGCAACCAATATCTGTCAGTCTGGCAGATAATTCCTATATGTCTGTAAAAGGCACGGGAAAGGTGAGAGTGAATGCACTCGTTAACAAGAAGTGGAAAGAAATTGAAATTCACAATGTTAAATATGTGCCTGGAGGTGCCAACCTGCTCTCTGAAAATGTTTTACTTGACAAAGGATTTGAAGTCAAAAAGAAAGGAAATGATACAATCGTTTATTACCGAAATGGTAAGCGAGACATTGAAGCTGAAAGAAGAGATGGGCTTCAAGTTATGAAATTTAAGCCGATAATCAACAGGGAAATGATTTGCATGATGGCTCACCATAACTCTGAGTTTTTAAACAAAACTGCAGATACGAAAGATGTATATGGACCAGAAGCAATGAAAAGTACCAAGTTCAAGGTTGATGAATGCATGAAATTCAATTCTGAGATCGTAGTTGAAAAAACTGTGATATTCGGAACCGGAGAATTAACAAAAATCTCAGAAATTGAGGATTTGAATTGTTTTGTTGTGACTAATGAAACGCCCTCATTCTGTAAACCAGTAATGAATGTGAAAGATGAAATTATTGCCACCAACATTACAGAAAACAATGTTAAAATACCGAGATATAAGAATGGAAAAGATTATCAGAGTCAAAGGTTAATCTCATTTGCCCCGGAGAAAGAAAATATGTTTTGGCTGAATGAATTGCATACGAGTCATCGAGCTTTGAAATATGCAATAAACACTGATATTCTGCACAGACCTCATCGTACGAAAAGTACTGAGGAAGCCCCACCTGAACAAACAGTTATACCTGTCACACGACGAGATGATACTAAAAAATCAAATCACAGAAACCCAGGAAAAAATAAGAAAAAGAAGACGAGTGCACGTGTTTTAATTCCAAAGAATTATTACAAGTTTAATGCACCATGGTCAGAAGAATTTGAGAAGTTAAAGTTGTTTTGCAGCATAAGAATTCTAGCCCTGATCACATTTCATGGAAGGGAAGTCATTTTTCGAAGAGAAAAAAGAGAAAAAAGGACACACTTCCGTCAGTCCAACTATGTGCTGAAAAAGCATAACATAAGCGAGTATCAACCTCGGCTCATTTTAATGCAGACCTGTATGCAGTTTAAAGGGAGCGAGCGTGCTACTTATGAGTTTGCACTCATTGTTTTACTTCTGTGCATGCATTCGAATGCATCAGAAGGAATTTCCCAATATTTAAAAAGGAGAAAATCTGTGAGCATTATTTATGGGATTGGCCTATTCAAACTGATAAAACTGAAAAGTTTTGTCCAAAAATGTGAACTAAAAAGGGAAAACCTTTTGTGGAGTTTTATTATTTTGGTGCTCGTTCTCAGCAGCAATGAATATGTTGAGGAGCAGCAGCAGTTCAAGGAGCAGCCTACCCTACTATGGAGCTTGGTGATGGAACGACCCGGAGAATAATATTTAATTAGATCATATATGTTTAAAGGGAGTGTTAAAAATAATCATGATATGATCTGCCAATGATGTATGTCAATTATGTGCATAGCATCAAATATTAGACCACCAACTATTATGGGTGGATTTGCATCAGTTTATTAACCTGCTAGGTTATGCATGCATTATGAATGCATTAATTGTACTTGCTTATATACGACATGACTTGATCTTAAATAAAGTAGTCGCTAAATGTACTCGTTGAGCAGATGAGCTAAACCCTTATTTTGAACAATAAATTCATAAATATGTTTTATGCACATGCGACAAATGTCCATTACCAAAAATATTCAAATATTAGATACGCTTAAATTCATTATGTTACAGAACAATTAACGGAGAAAAATCGGTGGAGTGGGATTTCTATCAAGTTCGGAACCAACTGACGTATAAAAATTTTTTCACAGCAGTCACACCAACAGAGTATTTCCAAAGCAAATTAGGTAATGACGATACTGGTGATGCAGATGAAAGTACAAATTCCAGTCGTGGGCGGATTTTGGGGTTCTTGGCACATTTGAAAAATAGGATTAAAGACGTGGCATGCTTGGTGACTGTGTTTATACCTCAGTGGTGCAAAAAATACGAAAAATCACAATTAGACCATGAACAGCGTAACGAGAACGACTACTCTGGAGAAAGTCTGAACAATTACGATGAGACCACGAGCATTTCAAACGAAGAAGACGATAATCACAGCAGTTCAGAGCTGTCTAACCCAGATACCACAGGAGACCAAAGACAAAGAGACAGCAAGGAAGAAGAGTACACGAGCCCCCAACCAAAATCTGTTCCAGGGATCAACGAAGCGTCGTTTGAGTCAAGCGAGGAACCGTCATCGCCAGCAACACAGAAGAGTTCAATAGAAAATTCAAATACAATTGAAGAAACTGAAGCAAAAAATAGCAATGAACACGAGTCTCATCATGGAAAGTTTGAACATAATGCTGTCAAAGAAAATAAAACACAATTGCTGGAACTGGGCTCGTCATCGTCAGAAAGCGACGAAGGTACAGATGCAATAAAACCAAAACAAGGAGGGCGAAGTATGACTAAATCTCATAGCCAAAGTCATGATCAAAATCCGTCAGATCAAGTACACAATAAATTTATTTGTCCAAGAGGCAGTGGAGCTATCTTAAAAGAAAACCGTTGCTTTTGTCCAATGGTCAGTTATTTATGGTTTATTCCTAAATCCGAAATCTGTTGAACCATGCATTTCACTAGAGTTTAAGTGTTTTTTGATTCACTTTAATATTCTGGAATATAACAGCATTTTATAATTGAATCGGATGATAATCGAAATAATTGAAATACGTGCATTGTCTTTCATTTAAACGAATTCTACGCAAATCGCCAATTGCAATCACATGTATTTATTGAAAGTACTTAACAATTCACCTTTTCCGTGTCATTACATTACTACACATATTTTTATGTTCTCACGACAGGGGACAGTTCTTCAAAATAGAAAATGTCTGAACAAAACTTCCACAGGAATTGATGACAGTGAAAGCTTGGGATCTTCAGATGGTGGACCAATAAAGAAACATGGAAATGAACCAAAGAATCTCAAGACAGCAGATGTTGCTGAGGCTAATAACAATTTGGACGATGTTGAACTAAAATTAGCGAAGCGTGCAACGCTTAATGAAAATGAGCATGATGTCCATCAAAACTACAGCGTCCCTTCGTCCCTTGGTCCATTTTACGCAGAGTTGCAAAAGGTTTATTTTAGCAAAGAGACAGCACGTGCAATTATGAAAAAAGTACCCCAGAAAGCGTTCGAGTTTTTTAAAGACCGATACAAAATAAGAAATAACAAGGAAACTGGTCATCCGGAATTCGAATCTTCGAAACTTCCGTTCACAGGAATAATGAATTGCGAATATGAAGAAAAGAAACTAGCAAATTTTAATGGAACAACAGAAGAAAATATTGTTGACTATTTTCTCTATGCTCTAAGGGCTCAGTGTCATCGTAAACTTAGAAAAAATACGTTAAAGCTATTTGACTCTGACCTTGTTTTCATGCGTGATAACATTCACCATCAAATTATTGAACTGAACACAACATCAGAGTTGATGCAAGTACAAATACATATATTTACCTGATTTATATATAGTACATTCTAAGAGGACAAACACAAGGTTCATTAACTAATATTTTTCTCTTTTTGACGTCTAGTGAAGCAAAGATACTAAACAAACTGGACTGGCAAAACTTGATCTCTGCAATTTTTCTTTCAAAGTTTTCTGAAGCCTTTTCCGAACAAAAGGAAAACTTGGACAAAGGAATTCAAGACAATATTTCACCAGATAGAAAACGTATCCCCCTCACGCTAAGAACACTTACAGTCATGATTGAAAAAATTATGCACCTTCTAAAACAAGAATTTCAGTCTCACGCTGTAAAGATCACAAAAGCCTTGGTGGTGACCATCACAGAGTACATTCAAAATTTTCATAAGCAGGAATTTATTGTGGACTTGTACTGTAAGGGGTGCAAAGCGGAGCATGTTTTGTACCATCAAGTTATGAAACAACTTTCCCTGCTTTCTGACTACGTCATATTCGGTTTTCAAGCCATTATACAAGAATCTCTCACCTTTGATGACTTTTACATGAGCGTTGCCAACATTAATGAATCAGCTGAAGCTGATTACGACTACAATTCATCACAGACTGAAGAAAATGAAAATCTTTAATAAAGCATGTAACGTTTCAGTAAATTAATCGCTACATAATTCATGTTTATTGGCTGCAGGAGGTAAGATGAGATTGTAAAACAAGACAAACATTGCAGGTCTCCCCAACTCACTGCGAGCGAAAATCTTCGGTGAAGATCAACGTGCTCATAATTTCATATTACTTTTTACATTCATATTCTGTCAAAAATTAAATTTCCTACAGTAATTTACTTTGCTGCTAATTACTTGAGAACCAAGTGGTAATTTTGATCTGAGTTTCCAGTCATAATTCTCGTAGCTAAATTCCGGCTTAATAGAGTACCTTTCGAGGGTTTAACAGCTTTTAATTTTTGTAAATAATGAGCGCTCCATCTCCGAAAGAAAATGTGGCAGTGTCCGAAGACGAGGTGAAGAAGTTGGGTGAATTCTTGAGGAATGAGACCAATCCGTTAAAAGCTCGTTTCCGAGCGTTGTTCACCCTTCGCAATATCAACAATTTACTTGCCATCCAACAAATTGGCGACTGTTTCTCTGACCCATCCGCCCTCCTGAAGCACGAATTGGCATATTGCTTGGGGCAGATGCAATCCCATGAAGCCATTCCAATTTTGGCCAGTGTGCTCAACAATTTGGAGGAACACCCAATGGTCAGGCATGAGGCAGGTATTCAGATTAGACATAAAAAAGCTAAATTTACAAACATCTACAGATATATTCATAGCTCGTCATCATTCATCGAGTGATTCATTTAACTTTGTATTTTAATTAATTATATAGCCGAAGCTCTTGGTGCCATTGGAGGCGAAGACTGCTTACAAATATTAAAAAAATACTCTCAAGACAAGGTCACCGAGGTTGCAGAAACTGTGGAGTTGGCTCTTGCTAGGATTTGTCACGTACAAGAGTATGCAAACTTGAAACAGTCGAGCCCGTACTTTAGCGTGGATCCTGCATTTCCCTTGAAAGGATGCAGTGACGTTGAACTACTTACAACGATGTTGATGAATGAAAAATTATCATTGTATCAAAGATATCAAGCAATGTTCACTTTAAGGGACTTGGCCACACCGGAAAGTATTGAAGCAATTGGGAAAGGTATACGTTTGAAATTGGGAACATATTATGACAACTGTAAATTAATTACACTAAACAATACTAGGACGGATTTAAAAGTACAGTTCACTAAAGGTGTATTATAAATAATTGCAGGACTCAAAGCAAGCAGCGCCTTGTTTAGACATGAAATCGCATTTGTTCTGGGACAGTTACAGAATTCACAGTCAATCGAAGTATTGACAGAGAATTTAAAAGATTTGGGAGAAAATGAGATGGTACATTTCAATATTTTTTATCGTATCAGTTAGGCGATTTTTTCACGACGATGATACACATTCGAAAAAGTATTCATTCCTTCCTATGTTCTTCCAGGTTCGTCATGAGTGTGCGGAGGCATTAGGTGCAATCGGAACAAAAGAATGCGAGGCGATCCTCAAGGAATTCTTAGCTGATGAGAAACGGGTGGTGAAAGAAAGTTGTGAAGTTGCGCTCGATATTTGTGAGTATGAAATGAATGGTAATTTTCAGTATGCAGATGGATTACAAACAATTTTGAAGCAGAGTTAAAATAGTTAAACTATTTTAAGGAATAATATGATTTTCAATAAATATTTTGAGTTTTTGACATGTTCAACTGTGCAACTGTTTTACTCTCATATTGCAAAAGCATGTTGAAAAGGTAGATGATGTAAAAAATGAAGTATGAGTCACCGTAGTTTTTGTTTTGCATATTTTAAATTATGTACACTTGTGCATATTGTGGTACTGTAACTGCAGTTATGAATCATGATAGAAATCCAAATCCCCCTTTTTGCATATTAAAACTCAGTATTGTTATAAGATGCGTATGACAGACACAGTACCACATACGATGGATACAATCTAGGATTTATTATGTGCATGCATTTTTCATTTAGCACTTGACTGTATATATAATAGTCAAAATTTAATCCTGATCAATGCATATTTTCTGCATTTAGAGTATCCTGGTAATTTTCTGCGCAATCCTACTGGTTAAGTAGTAAGTATAAACAAAATGCAATTTCTAATCCTACATACTGTGTTATACATATAATTGAAGTGTGATAGGATATCACAACCATCCATCATCAATGATTGTACATGCAAGCATTTTTCAAAAACATTGAACATTAGTCATTTAAATCAGGGTCTATCATGGAATGCTGTATAAATTGGTCAGAAACTGGATACTACGCATGACGTTGCGTCACAGAAAAAATAGCATCTATACGAAGCTAGAATTTTTGACAATACAAATACTTCAATGTACATGGTGCACGTTATTAAATTAATAATTTCCGTTTATTAAACAATACCAGTTATTTAATTACAAAAACACTAGTAAAATAAAACCTGCTGACGTTACTTTAAGTTAAAGTGCACCTATAAAATTGCAATTGTGATTAGTCGAAGGACAAAGTTGAACTCTTTTCAGCTTAGAATTGCGTGCCTTCTTCATAGCGCAGAAATGCATGTGCAATTATCATAAGATCATCGTAATCGTCAATCGTGGCACCTCCACATTGTTCTTTTGTTAATCCCACATAACCCTCCTCTTGAGAGAGGGCAACGTCCATTCCAAAGTGATCTAATTTCTATATCAATTTCCCATATGAGTTGAACTCTGTTATTAAAACGGAATCTCACATGTATTTCGATCATATTTGAGAATGAACAAGATAATTAGAATAAAAATGACAAAGAAGATGATTCAATATTATGAACTATGCACATTCATTATGCCCAAAAGTTACATAAAATGGTTATAATAATGCTGAAGCTGTGTTACTCTTATGCAATTCATGCATTCGAAAGCATACCCGCATTTCTAATAATCCGAAATCTGGGCAAATGGTTCGAGTTGAGCAAAGGCTCGAACTGTTCACAGCCTATTCCTCATCCCGTATGTATTATTAAGTACGTAATGCGATGTATACATACATTCAGTTTCTTGTTAGTCTCAACCTGATGAACATACAAATCTCGTCGTGTGCCATTATCTGTCTTTCTTTTTGTTCATGTGCAGGGATGAGCACGGACGACCTCCTGCGTGTGCATCTTATTGGCATGAACCTTCCATGACCAAATACACAATGCAGATGAGATCAACAAGACAGAACATTAGCCGCATAATTATTATGTACAATCTTTGATGGTGGCACAAGCTAAAAGTTGTGCTTTGCTTGTTCAGTATCAGTTCAGTGTTCATCTTGGCTGCTTTGATTGAGTCATTTATTATTCGTTTCATGTAATCAGCATTATTTTGTACTCATCGTGCTACTCTAGCTTATGTTTCATTCTTAAAAATAATTTTTGTTATTGGGCTCTAGTGCAAAGTGACAATTTACAAATGTATGGATAAAATTATCTTCTCATGTTCAGAGTTCAAGTTCTTAAAAAAACTGTATGCAGTTGAACCGGGTTAGGTTGGCTCAACAGTTTGTTGCATGAAACCAATAGCTTCCGGAACAAGCGAATCTGTGAACGTGTGTTTGGTTGGTGAACAGTGCAGAATTTTTCAAGAACTGTTTCCGTTCTGTCTGTCTGCCAATTTCTGCCAATGTGCCAAATCTGCTGCTGTGTCATGGATATTACATAAGCTATATGCTTTAATGCATTAACGCCTCACAGTTAAAGGCAAGTCAATGCCAATAATAGTCATATGTTGGCGAAACAGAGCTTGAGATTTGTACTATAGCTCAACTAGTCCAACCAAACGTGCATGATTTATGTGGTCACTGACTATTTGAGTGTGTGAACTGAGATTATCCAGTGACTCTAGAAGCACTGCTTGTTCACACTCAAGATATCTGAATCGCTACACAAATTAGTGCTGTACACAACGTAGTACTTATTGTTAATTACTATTGATTTGGTCCGTTTGTTTAAGCGACTGAATTATGAAAGTAGGTCTCATTTCTGGTTCTCTGTGAAGTGATTGTCCATTATTCTATCAGAAAGTTAAATATTGTTACAATGAGACAAATCCTGCCTTATTATGCTCTCATTAATCTTTGGTCGACAGAGAATAAACGGTGACGAACAACGGTGTATTTGTGCTCCTATATAAGTGGTTAAAAATTGAATGCTATATGTTTTTGTGAATTTGTGTAATTTTGTTAGTTTTATAAAATTATCATGCGTCAAAGAGCTGGCTGAAATTCACGAAATCTCCGAGATGAGTTCCAACGTAAGTTTCGCTTTAAATCTCCAGTCGGAGGCTGGACAGAAAGCAATCATTGCGCGATTGGAAAGTGAACTTCGTGTTTTGGAGAATCTCAAGGTAAGGTTACCACAAAGTCCCTGTGCAATATATAAAAGTGATTATGACCCTGATGAGAGACTTTACATTGTTTTTTAAGAAATTCTTGCAAACCCAAATCCGTTCTGCGAGAGATTATTCGCAACTTCTTGGAAATGCTTCTTCAACGGCAATGAAAAACTTGACTGATGGGAATCCAACCAGCAATGGCAGCACCTCAAATTTTTACACCAGTGCAGATAGTGTGGTTAACAAGGTGTGTCTCCACATTTTAGAAGAGGCTCAATCCGCTGCGACCACAGTGAAAGAAAATGCAGAATTCTTGCAATCAACTACACTGATCCAATTAAATGAGCTTATTCAGGACAAGAAAGCATTACTCAAATTGTCCCAAGATGATTTCAATAAAATCAAAGGGAAACTAGAGCAGGTAGAAATTCTTTGGTACTAATTTATGGTATTTTTAGCTTTATGTAGGATGAAAGAGGTTAACTATTTACATTTGTTTATCTTAAGCCTCAAGCCTTTGCAGTATTCGGTTAGGGTAGGGACATATATGTGTAAATACATTTATGTAGTTCTTAACGAGCAGTAAATATAAGTATGCTCTTTCTTGGCTGTATACCTATATTTAAATCATAATTCATTCGCAGAATTGACATGCCATTATATTTCCGATAAAAAAATAAACACGGGCATGTGTGTACACAAATTTTAAAATCTGGGTTAGAGTGAAATTGAAGAATAATCCTATATCTGTAAGATTATTCTACGCTTTTGAAAATATGATTGTGATCGAAATAAACATATTTTTAGCAATATCTCATACTTGTTTCTAACTCAAAAACCTAAATTTTAGTTTACGGAATCGGTCTCAAAACACCGGAGTGAATATTTAAAAAATTTTCAATCCTATGAAACTGCTCGAACCAAATATGAGGAGCACTGTTCGAAAGGTGAGTTGATTTGTTATTTTTATTTTCAATCTACAAGTCTTTTAAATAAGGGGTGTAAGTCATCTTCACGGCATACATTTTAGCATCACTAAAAAGTAAAACCTGTGCATTTAAAACCAAGTACTCGTAGTACCTTTTAGTTTCTGAAATATTAGGTTCACTTTAATGTTGAAATTATTATCTTCAACTTTTGTTGTACGTGTGTACATACATATACTTGCATCTTCGCCAAATAGATGGTTTGTTGGGCCAATTTATTTAGCCATTTTATGGTATTGTACAAAACAAGCACACGCCATGATTCATTCATTCAGTTTTCATGACAGGAACCTGTTTTGTTGTGCATAATTTTAGCATATTGAAGATTTTGAAGGTTATGGAAGAAAGTGAAGGTAAATTAGACACTGGATTCACCATTTATGAATTGCTCACCTAGCTGCAAGCAGTGACTGTGGGACATGTATCTATTATTTTATAGATATACACAAATGTTATTCATGGCCATGTATGTATGTACATATATGCAAAATTTAATACATTGTGTACAATACTTGCATTTATTTTTTATACGTACTATATTCTTATTTTATATTTATATTTAAAAAATAATTTGACCAAAAAGTGGTTAATATTTCCATATTCCCGTTTCAACTAATCGGAGGTGAATAAAGAAATGATAGAAAGTACATATATACTTTTGTGGTAAAGTATACTTTGTTATAAAAATGGACATACTTGAACACATATGCATACATACGACCCATTAAATCAATCCGTAATTTTAAGTATTAGAAACTTCGTATTAAAATATTTCATCTGGTGACGGCAACGAGATTGACAGTAATATAAACGGGTGACGGACAACGTTTCTTAAAAAAAAATTGCGTTGCATCTATGTTACGTTGTGAAATAGTTGGCTGCACCTCTGGCAGGTTTACTTACAAGTTTCATAAACAACTAAACTTGTAACGTTGTCATTTCGTTATGTCATCCTTGTCAGTGAAGATAAATGAATGATATGCATGTCTAAATAAGTGTTTCTCCATTAGCGTATTTATAATGTTCATAATTTCATAACATATCGCAAAATTTTCTCTACTAGGCAGAGGAGGAAGACGGTCTGATGACACCAGGGAAAAATTTTATCGAGCCAGGTTGTACTCAGATTATGACTCACTAAATTTTTCGTTTTTTTCAATTTTTCTGTCTTATATATCTCCCTTGAAGGAAACGCTTAAACATTTCACACGCAGAGTACATTTTGGCCATTCACGAAGCTATCGAGTATGACCGAGATTATAGGACAATGCTACTTCCAGGTCTACTCCAAATTGAGCAAACTTGGTGGGTTGACAATTTTAAGAATTTTAGCACTTGGTTCATCAAAATAGCAAGTAGTGTGTTTCTTTTCTTGTTCAGGTGTGAGAAGCAGGTTGGAAAGTGGCGTGATATTTTGGATCACATCTGGAACAATGGTCTTTCGTCGCAACAATCCTCGTCCCAAGGAACACTGAAGGACTTTGAATTTTCCAAAGAGTACCTCGAACTAATTTCCAAGCACAAGTACTGCTATTATTATTATAATTATTATTGCAAAAACTTGGTTGGGTTATGATTTGATAAAAATGTAAATGATGACAATTTAATGATCCTGTTTCAATTTAAGGAGTGTACAATAAGCAAGCGCACGTCATGTAATTATGCGAATTTATTGTTGTTCCCTCATGACAGGTCAAAACCCTTGCAGCCAAAAGATTACAAGTTTGATCCAGTGAATTTTGACAGCGTCCCAACATCCCAGCCAACAATTATCGTAGACTCGAGTACGGTAGAGCATCTTAAAACTCGCTTAAACGACGTCGACAAGCGTTTAAAAGCTAGTGAGGCACACTTGAAAGAGAAGGAGGATGAACTCGCAAAACTGAAACCTTCCATGTGAGACAAAGTTATAATGAAAATTGTAATCAAATGTGAATGATATTTGAGAACTTGCATGATATTTGAGATGATTGGCCATGCTTGTCGTCGTATTCACATAATAAGAATAATATAAATAATAACGTGCAATATTAATGACTCATGAGTTATATAATTGAACAGATAATAAACTTGCAGGCAAACAGATCTGAAAGGTGCAGAACTTTGTCAGGCGAGATGTGAAACGGAAAGACACCGAAGCCTCTTGAATTTCATTGATGTTCAATTTAAAGGCCGAGCTGCAGACAACATTTCCCAATTAGATGAGACAATATCTTTAATTAGTGAACAATCTCTCAAAAAATCAGCAACCAGTAGGATTGCCACTTTGCTAAGAAATGTTCGAGGAAAAAAATCAGTTTCATTTGACGAGGAAGCTTCCGTTATTAATCTCAAATCGGATCAGACTGATGCTGTGTCCATTACCACACTGGATAAGAACATGGCTTCACTTTTAGAGGAAGATTGGTTTCATGGGGTGTTGCCCAGAGAAGATGTCGTTCGCCTGCTTAAAAAGTATATATACGCATTAGACTTACCTACATATGAATTAAGCCAATTATTTATTACTGTGCTGCTCCTTCATTAGAGATGGGGATTTCTTGGTCAGAGAAACAATGAAGAATGAGGAGAGGCAAATTGTTTTATCTGTATTTTGGAGTGGGCCTAAACATTTTATCGTACAAACGACCGCTGACGTAAGCCCTACTTTTGATTTTAAGTTTTATGATAAAACTTTTATCCGAAAACTAGATGCAACATTTTACAATACATGCAACCATTTAAAAAAAACAGTCACAAAAGTGATGTCATCATTTTAAAGTATATTCATGGCATTTTAGGGGCAATTTAGATTTGAAGGTCCACTGTTCCCAACAGTAAAAGAGTTAATTGACCACTACATAGGAGTGAAAATGCCCGTGACCAATAGATCTGGAACTGTGAGATAATTTGTTTTTTCTTATGAATTAAAATAGACTAAATACAATAATTTAAAATTATTAGTAATTAATGATTTTTTTCCCTTCTAGGTGATAAAAAAACCAGTAAAGAGAGAAAATTGGGAGTTAAATAATGACGATGTTGAACTGATTGAAAAAATCGGAAGGGTAACAAAAAACTTGTCATATCCCAAAAATTGTCGCGTTATTTTAATAATAGAACCTGACCTGTAGGGCAACTTTGGGGACGTGTTCAAGGCTTCATTAAATGGGACTCTGGTGGCTGTAAAAACATGTAAAGTTAACCTCCCGGACGAACAAAAGAAGAAGTTTCTGCAAGAAGGTCGAATCCTAAAACAGTACAGCCATCAAAACATTGTTCGTAATAATTTGTCAGCAAATACCATTATTGCCCCTCGCCCTCCACATTCAGTCTCACTCGCTGTGTTTTAGGTCTCCTTTGTCGGGATTTGTGTTCAGAAACAACCAATAATGATTGTGATGGAACTTGTACCTGGTACATATTCAAAATATGCTAAAAAATATTTACAAATTATACATAAACGAGTTCAATGTCAATAAAATTCATTCTCTAAATTTCATACTACTACTCACTCAGGAGGTTCACTACTCACCCATTTGAAAGGAAAGGGAGCTGTTTTGACTACTCGACAGCTAACAAAAATGTGTTTGGGTGAGTTTATGTTAATACATTTTAATGGGATGCGATGACCTTCCGTTGTATTATAAGTTTAGAAATAATGGCAAGGTTTACTTTACTGCTAATTCAAATGTAGATGCGTGTGGAGGAATGCGATATCTGGAAGAGAAGGGCTGCATACACCGTGATCTGGCTGCCAGAAATTGTCTACTTGACAATCTTGGGGCAGTCAAGATATCAGATTTTGGAATGTCAAGGGAAGAACATGAATATGTAGTCAGTGATGGGCTCAAACAAATTCCTATAAAATGGACATCGCCTGAAGCTCTAAACTATGGGAAGTATACAGCTCTTAGTGATGTTTGGTCGTATGGTATTTTGGCGTGGGAAGTATTTAGCCGAGGACAAACCCCATACGCTGGGATGAGCAATTCGAAAGCAAGGGAAATGATTGAAGCGCAATATAGGATGCCAGCACCAGAACATACACCAGACGTAATGTATCAATTAATGACACGATGCTGGCAATACGAACCAGAACAACGACCAAGGTTTTCAGAGATTTATCCGGAAGTAGAAGCTTTTTTAAATTCTGATTTAATTTAAGCTTGATAAAAAGATATATACAAAAAATCTCCATAATAATGTGCCATTGTAACGTTCCACAAATGTGTGTTAAATTAAATCGAATAAAATAAAATATTAGACCTTCAGTTGAAGGAAATTTTCTTTAAGCTGGTCCATTTGACCATCCGAATTACCGACGGAGGCACTATTGAGTGCATTTTGAATATTTGTTGTAATGACGTTGAACAAGAATTCGTTACGATCCTTTGTAATTTGGCCAGAGTGTAATAGCTTCAAGTAAATATGTAGTAACGTAGAATTGCTTTCTATTCCAGATGTCAAATATTCAAGAGGTATCAATGACTGCAATTTTTGAAACAAACTGATCAACTTTACCCATTTACGTATAAAAAATGTAAAATGTGTACCGTCGAATTTCTGATTTTCAAAAACTTTATGGTTTCCATTATCCAAAAATTTGACCTTAATCGAGCATCTTCAGGAATCCTTAGCGGAAGCATTAAATAATTGGCAAATACTTCATTAAAATATGAATTTTCCGAGTATTCACTAATCAAATCCGGATAACTGTTGATAAATAAAGCATTCTTTAAGATCTCCATATTTCATTCAAGTATGCAAAACTTTTTCAATGAGAAACTCACAAATCTAGAAACATATTTGGTAGTCCATGGATTTGACTGTGCGTTGAAAATATGCCTTTGGTTTCGAATTTTCTTACGACAGAACATGTCAACAGTGAATTTAGGATTCGAGCTAATGTTGCACTTATATTTCTTCCTATGTAAATTCTAGGGTCACCTAATGAATGTAAAATTATACCACAATTACAATAGCGTGCATTTAAACATTTTTTACTCTTAGTAAAGTTGTAAGAAGAGGAGAAATACAGGGTTAACTTGTGTATTACCCATGAGAAATACTTGGCACACAGCACAGTAAACTTCCAGAAAGTCCTTTTTCGTCCGGATAACAAAATCTGAATATTTCTGAAGACATTTATCAATTAGTTGCAAACAAATTTTGCATTGCATTTCAATTTCTTCAAGATTTTTTGACAAGAAGCCTGGAGCGCTGGATACTATTGTACGAATTCTTTGCATGGGTTCCAAAATCCAATACGTCTCAAGTGAACGTTCTGACCACTTTTCAAATAGAAAATTTGTTGTGACTGGTCCATCGTTCGCTTTCGTATCACGAGAAAATTTGACCTTCTTCTTGGGCACGCCTGCTGTATCATCGTCGGAAGTTTCCGTTGTAGGAATCGATGGAGATTCGTCCAGTAGTAAGTATCCACCATAAATTTTATTGCACATTGGTATTTCACTTTCGTTACAACTTGAGCACAATGCAATTTGAAACAAGTTGTTAAACAATTTTGAGCAACACTTTGGTGCTTCAGAGGCGGCTCTATATGCTAGACAAAATCGTATAGGTGAGTTTAAAGGGTAAAGCTCAAGAAGCCTCAGAATAATTGTTAATTCATATCGGACGAAAAAACTAGGTGGTAATTTTGACAGTGTTGAATTAAGCAGGTCGTTCACGTACTCGTCCACGTTTGCATTTATAACAGTTGATAATGGGATTCTATCGGTAGTGAATCTGATAAATCCATATATCGAGGTGAGGAGTGCCAAAGCGTTCCCAAACACAATTACGGGATTGCAATTTCCTCCAAAATATAGTGCATTAACCGATGCGAAATTACTGGGATATCTGGATGATGTGTCCTGAGAAGAAAGAATAACAGAATGTTCCCTGAAAAATAAATAAATAAAAAATGTTATAATCTTTCATAAGGAGCATGATTCGTTCAGTCAGTTTTCACAGTACCTTAGTTGAGACGTGATACGTCCATAAACTGTTGTACTCAAAAACAATTTCATAACATTTATCAATGCTTCCGAAATCTTTTGATCTGAGTACATTGTAGATTCAGTCAAGAACAATAATGCTTTAGAGAGAGACCAAAATAGCGTTGTCTGGAAAGAAACATAATTTTTCATGTAGGTGAAATAATTAATCGGAGATAGATAAATATAGATTAGCCTTACTTGGTCATAAGTTGCTTCAAGATGAGGGGAAGAAATAATGGTTATCAATTTAATGGCCGTTTTTTCAACCCATTCAACACAATCTTTCACAAGCGTCCAATGAGAATGTTTGTCCTGTTCCCTGACATCAAATGCTTCGTCTCGCATTTTCAAAATTGCCAAAAGTAAAGTAAATACGTATCCACTATGCACTAGGTCAAATGACGATAATTGATCAATAGATTGATACAAAACAAAGAATTTCATCAGTACAGGGAAGAAACTCCTGGAAAAATAATAAATTCATTTTTAGCGTTTTCACAAAGGCTTGAAAAATATTATAAGGTATGCAATTCTTACCTATATTCCTCAATTGCAATGCCATGTGAAATAAAGGCAATCCAAATACGAAACGACTCGACTATAATGAATTGAGGACATTTCACCACGAGAGACTTCCTATAAGAAGAGACATAATAATCAATGGTAATTTGTGTGACACAAATAGAGTTGTACTCAAAATGCCCAAAATGCACAAGACATTTAAATTAATGCCTCACAAGACCAATCTTCTATAACTGCACAAAATGCCTAGGGTATTTAGGGTATATGAGTACAACTCTACATACAAAAACGTTAAGGTTAATATATTACCAATCATCAAATGCCAAATAGGAAATTACAGATGGAAAAATGTTGTAGTGCTCATAAATTTTGTAAGCATTGGCTGAACTCGAGTCTATGAGAATTCTAAAAATTTTGAATGCCATCCATACAGGTACGCCTTGCAAAGTGGGAGCTGTCATTTTCAAATAAAAGATCAAACTAGTTTTGATACAACAATAACAAATCATTAACTTAATATGATGTACCTGAACTATAAATCAAAATTGGAGAAATGTAGTTCTTGACTATAATACTCAGAACTTCGTGATCAACAAGGATATTTGGAGAGTGACGTGCAACTCGTATCAACATTTTAAAAATTCCAGCCATCCCTTTCTCACTCAGACAGTCTTCTCCCTTCAAAAAGTACGCTATTCGATCCAACAAGTTTGATCTATTTATAAAAAACTCCAAAAAGTCAATCTTGAGCATTTCTTCATCCTTAAGATCAACTTCATCTTCGCCAGGATCCAAGGAGTCTGCAAGATTTCGAGATTTTGTTGAAATCCAGGGATATGGCTTGGAATACTCCCATGAGTGCACAAAGTCCAAACAGAACTATAGTAGAATAAATCACTTTAGTGGTGCCCACGCCATAACATGTGCCAACGAGAGCCATACCATCGCACTCAATATAAGCATTAAAAGAAATTAAGAAGAAACTTGCCTCCTCTTCCCAGGGGTACATAATATTCGATAAACAGTGTACTGCTTCATTAATTGAAGTTTTATCCCCTTCGTCCAACCCTTTTCGAAGAGCATACACAAAGTCCATGTGCTCCCAAAGTTCAAACAAGCTCTTTTCCAAAACGAAGTCATACATTCCTAGTCAGAACACAGATCAGTATTACAAAACCAAAAATTATACAAGCTTATTAATTTGTATACAATTCTACAAACCTACCTGTGTGTGCATTTTCATAAATGTTCCCAATGGTTAATAACGCTTGTGCCTTCTGCTGGCTGTTCACTGAACGAGACAATGTTAACAGTTCTTCCAGCGTGTATCCAGGTTTTTCCATGTCTTCCCCATGATGATGTAACCCCTTTTCGAAAGTATTTGTGTCTTCCAAATCTTTTCCTGTTAACAGCATCCCTCGAAAATCAAATCTCGCATTTTTTCCTTCTCCCAACTTGTCAAACTTTTTCCTGTTTTCCTTCACAACCCCAGCCCACTCTAATTTTTCATATTCTAGATGGCCCATCCCAGGAAATGAAATTACACTTTTTGGGTCAATTGGCAAATCAGATTCGTCCATGTCGTGATAATTGGAAATAGTTGGAAAATGAACATCGTTCACAACTTTATCCGAGTTCCTTGATGCTGGTCTCTCCATAGGCAATGCATATCCTATCTTATCGTTGGAATCAATTATTATTTGCTTTTTAGCTTGTCGTGAACGGACGAATTCCACAAGTCGTGGATCCAGAGTTTGAACCAATTTTTGTTGTTCCACCATTATTTCAGCTTGCGTCATTCCAGCCAGGTATGGATGAATCATATCACCAATTACAGGTGGCTTTGCCTTACCACTAGAAGGGACACTTTCAGTTGATAATTGTGTAGTACTACTGTCAACTAAAGAAGAGGAGGCTCCAGGTGTACTTGTGTCATGATTATTTTCAGAATATCGTGCATCAAACATTTGAGCAAACATGCTTTTACGCGACATCTTAGAGTTCGGTAGAACCGCTCCCTTGGAAAACAATGACTTTCCAACCGTTTTAACACTTCCTAGGGGTTGTTGTTGTGGAGTGGAAAACACCAAGAGTTTAGAAGCGTCAAATGTTCTTTCAACTATCGTGTTTTGAATGACAACTTCATTCTCGTCCTCTATTGCTGAGGCCTCTGTCCCGGTCCCCTCAATTTTCTCATCATCGCTCTCACATTCAACGTCATTTTGATCACCACTGGTTTGTTTTTTTGATGTGGATGAGGTTGTTTCTACTGGACCTGTCATATTTATACTCTCATTTGTCCCCTTCTTATCTTTTCGAACTGCTGTAGCTGCAGGTTTGAATTTGCCTTGTCTAGACTGGACACTCGAAATAAAGTCTTTTTCGAGGGCGAGAATCGCTTCCTCGTCTTCTCCAGGTTTGGGGCGCTTCTGCTCGTACATTGTGGAAACTACAATTTTAACACTTATTTAGTTGAGTTATTGCGACTATGACTGTAAGAAATGTAATAAGTACGTACTTTTAAAGATACAAACCCTGCTCCGAACCTCGTCTTATCCGGCGTATATTTATTTTTTGGAGTCAAAGAAAGTTCGGGCGAAAGCATCAGCAGTGGACGAACTTTTGTATTTAGTCGTTCGTTGTTCGTTTACACTACTTTACACATGGCTGAGGTCCTCCCGCGAGCCATCGCTCTCGTCTCACTTCCGAATTATTCCACGTTTGTTTACTCTGCTGCTGTTTTGATCTTTCAGTCTCCTCGTCACTCGTCCAGCTGAATTTTCAATTTCAGTGCACTGAGTCAGACACAAACCGGAAAGGACGATCCGCCAGCTTCACTTATCGCCTATTTTTAGTATTTTTACAAAAGTTGAGAGAAAATTTCCTGTAGGAATTGTTAGTATGGCCACAATGTAGAAAATGTCCATGTAAGTCAGTTCAGTGATGGATTCATCAAGTTTGTTTATCATTGTACTATACATGCATATGTTTGGTGTTAATACTGCAAATTCAAAGTTTACATGTAAATTTTATACTATTTTTTATAATTTTTTTTAGTGCAATACGCTGAATAATCATAAATCGGGAAGAGAACACCACCACAACTACCACCCACCCTTCTATCATCTATCACGAACGGCGTAAATTATGTTTAATCATTTGCTTGCGCATAATTTGCAGTGGTGTTTGTGACCGTGAACTAATTTTTACTTTTGTTTAGTTGCCCTTTAAAACCGGCTTACTTTTGGTGCGATGGAAGACCATGAGGTAGCACCAAGTCCAGACACTATTCCAGTAATGCAATTAGTTGACCATCCAGTTTCAAGTCCGGCTGTGCCTTCAAGTGAATCCACGCCGACTGTAGACAGCTTGGAGGAGCGCTACAACAAGTTGAAAGCAATAACTCTCAAGTACAAAAAGAAACTGGCAGAACAAACTGCAGAACTTGAACGCCTTCGAGAAAGACCAGGACTACAAAATGCTTCAAAAATTCAACAACAGTATGATAAAGCGTTAGATGAAGTAGAAAGGCTCAAAAAGTTAGAGTCGACTCTTCAAAAAGATCTTGAGAAAACGGTTCAAGAAAACGTAGAGTTAAAAATCAAGGAGTCAGAATCCACGTCACAGATCCAAAGTTTGTCGTTGTCACACAAGATACTTAGGGATAAATTGGACCTACTCGAAAAGGATGCTGAATGCACTGATGAGCTAAAATCAAAAGTGGAGAACCTTGAGAAAGAATTACAAGAAGCAAAAGATGACCGTGCAGACGCACAACAAGAAAAACGTCAACTCCAAATTCTGTCTTTGGAAGTAACTGATTACGAGTTAAAATTACAGGATGCTTCTGGACATTTAGAAGCCAAAAAAGTTGAATGTGATAAGTTGCTGGCAGAACTTAGTAATCGGGATCAGAAAGTTAAAGAGTTGGAATCGATAATTTTAAACTATAAAGAGTCCGAAAATAAACTGATTCTTGTTAAGGACAGTCTGCAGGTATGTACGTATATGATTAATTGCAAAGCTTTCTATACTATTATAATGTTTCGAAATGGTTCGAAATTGTATGATTCATAATCTCTCGAACTTTATTGCCTTCATATTGTATGATAACAACAATATAGAGCATTCTTCTCATTTTACAGGCTGATTCTGTTAGAAAAGCCGAAAAGATCATGTTTCTGCAAGATGAAGTTGGAAAATTGAACGATCGATGGAATGAAAAGAAAATAGAGTTTGACAAACTTCATCAGGAGTTTGAAACTGCTAAATGTACATTTGTATTACAAGATAAGGATATGACAGAAAAGCTCAACAATTCCCAAAAGTCCATAGCTCATTTAGAACAGAAGGTATACATTGTGAAGTGTGTGCATGTGAAGAAATTTGACTTATTATTCTTTTGCGTTTGCCAGATTTCCCTTTTGGAAGAAAATAAGAGAAGTCGAGAAACACAAATTACCAACTTGAAGTTGGAAATGCAACAATTAGAATCTGAGCTAAGGTAATCAATTTTATTATAAGCTCAACCGTCGGTGGTATGAAGATATAATTTTTGAAACTTTTATGTATCATTATCCATTCAACTTAGAAACTATAAAGCGAAAGCCCAAGCTATGCTAAAGTCTCAGAAGCCAACAACGTTAATTGACAATAACGAGGAAATGGAGAAACTACAAAAAGTTATTCAAGAATTTCACTCCGAAGTTGCCATATTGAAGTATGTTTCTACACCATAATTTTAATGCAACTCACCTGACCAATTTAAATATGCTGGGTATATGTTGTTTATAGAGTGGAACTACAAAAACAAAAACTTGAGAATGAAAATCTATTGTCGGAGCGAGCAGAGTTAAACATGCAGCTCTCTGAGCTAAAGGCTGACGGTATTAAAAAAGACGTGCAACTCAATGCAGAGTTCCAAAATTTGAAGCAAGACCTTCGAGATAAGGATGATTATTTGAAACGTCAATTAGAAGAAAACAATGTTGTGTGCGAACGTATAAAATCATCATTTAAGGTAAGCAGTTGGCTGTGGTCCTTGTTATCAACCCGAAAAATTATTTGACTTTCTCAATTTTATTTTACAACCAAAGATTGAAATCGAAACATTGAAGAATGGATACGAAAATCAAGTTCAGTTACTGCGAGAACAATATGAGCTTCTAAAATCCGAAAACGAAAATACGAGTACATCTGCTACTGTCAATTTTGAAAACTTGGAAAGAATACTGGAAGGGAGCACTTCATTTCATCCAATGTCCCGACAATATACAAGGTCCTCGTTACCAACTCCACCACCACCAAGTGATCATCCTTCTACACAAATGGAATTTAATAGGATATCCAATCCATTGACAATTGATACCAGTGATACCAACGGTATAAGTTTTGACCAGCTTAGAATGATTCCAAGAGGGGAAGGGGAGGTAGGTACATATGTACGCATGTACGCACTGAATGTTAGTTCGATTGAATAAGCAAATCTTAAATACTGCATTTTCTGGTTGCAGGGATCTGAAAGCGTTACTTCTGTGTCAGCCTATACCCCAAAGATGATGGATAATTACAACGTTACATTCGAACAACTTTTGAGCAGTAGCTTTGAATCATCAAAAGGTAATAACAAATAAATTCAATTGCATGATGTAGGTGCATGCACAATATTTCTACGCCATAATTTTAATATGTGGAATCAATTGCTACAGGAAATGATAGTGATCAGGACAGAACCATCAGAGACTCACTGCACAAAGAACTAGTCAGGTGCCAAAGTCAGGTCTCCCATTTAACTTCACTTCTCCGTGAATCTGAGTCCAACTGTGATAGGTTAGCTCAGTTAAGCGACGCCCTTAAAGAAGAAATTAGAAGAATTGAACGAGACAAGGAGCGTCAGGAACACTTGAAAGAAAACACAGAGTATCTTAAGAATGTTTTACTAAAGGTACACACGTATTATTTTTTACATGAAGAATTTGAACTTTATTTGATTCTTTGTACTTATTTTAGTTTATAACATTAACCGGCGATGCGGAGCGCAAGCGCCTAATTCCAGTATTAAAAACCATGCTAAAGTTGACAACTGAAGAAGTAGATAAGTTGGAAGGAATTGTGAATGGTGAGTGAATTTGACCCGCACTTGATAACGTTGAATGCATTTTAATCTACCTCAATGTATGATTATGTAGGTGGGAAAGAAGCCAGGGAAGGTGGTGTTGGCAATGGCTGGTCGTCCTACCTTCCCCTGTGGTCTGGAGGGGGGTCCGGTGGATAAACACTAAATGAACTGTGATTTTTTAATGTCCATTTACTACTACTGCACCTAAAAACGATTGCATTGTTAATGTTTACTGTACTGCACGCAACTGAAATAATAAATGGCCAATGGTGCTTCTAAAATACTCTAATTGTGTTACATGCACTTTGTTTAAAATAAAATCTATAAAAGCCATCTCATTTTCATCCCATTCTCATTTCCACATGAAATCCATTTGGGTCATATATGAGCGATCTTGTACGGATTGCTATTCCATGCATTTGGGTGAGTCAAACGATTGAGAGAGTTAGAGGAAAGAAGGAGGAAAGTGAGCTCTTCTTCAGCGCGACCCAGCTTTCAACATCAACTTTGATTGATTTCAGTTTATAATATTATCATCACGCTATAAAAATGGTATAAATTGCTAGAAATTTTGAACAAGCCAACTGCGTTAAGTCTGCGATATTTTGCCAAATTTAACTGCCATTATCCGGTCCTGGGGGGAAATTTAGTTGTAAGTTGTAAGCTTAAAAGTTTATGAATTTGTTTTCTTAGTATTTAGTGTTTTTACGTCATACGTACAATACGTTACCTACGTTCATAAGAGCGTCAAAACTAATGAATAGGTTTTAACTTTTAGTTAGTGGATAATATATTTGCGAAGTTTGAGAACATTTTTTAGAGCATTTTCTGGAAATTTGGACAATTGTTCAAAAATTCCGGATAGTTGAATATTGTGATTGTGTATGCTACTCATACTCACTCATGGCCTCATGGGCCATGAGTGAGTATGTACATCTTAATTTTAATACTTTATATATGAAATAAGATAAAATACTATACTATACTTACATATACCTTATTTCAGAATAATAATGGATTCCCTAACTAGTCGACGACGTCGAGATTCTAACGATGAAGCGGGTCACTGTACGTCAACGCCTTCAAGCTCTTTGTCATCATCTTCTTTGTCCCAGGGGAGAGAAATTGTTCCCGAGCTTTACAAGTCAGCTGGAAGGAAACGATTCCGAGCGGAACAGCCCGCTAATGATGAGGAACGCGAGATGATGAGAAGTCTGCCTTGCGATACAGAAAGCGCACTCCTCCTCCTCAGAGCCCAGTTTCCTTCCCAAGTCTTTCAAGGACGCCTGCCTCCGATTATCATGTACTCTCAGCTGGGAGCCATCTTGGACAATCAATTTCTCATTGACACTCAGCTCACAAAGTTGGCCAAAGACAACAAGATTCTCACTTTTTCTAGCTTTACCTCGTCAAACTATCTCATCGTTTTCCTGGATGACTTTGCTAATTTGGAACGAGAAGGAATCTTTAAAAGATTTGTTACTCAAGCTGTTGCTGCCTCTATGGATAATTCCCGTGGAGAAGGGGACGAGCTTAGAATTACAAGATCTGTTGAAAACTCTAAATACTTTTCCAAAGAAAGTCTACGGAAGAGATGGAAATTTGAGGAGGACGAAATTCGAAAACTGGTCAATGGAGGATATCTAGGGATAAAAGATAGCGGCTTGTATTGTATTAGTTTACCGGGTGCTGGCGAATTCGTTAAATGTTATGAGAAGGGGAAGAAAAGCGTACTTGGGGCCATCAGAAGGGCGAAATTTGGAGAAATATTACAAACGGTTAGTTATTAATTATCCCATATGGTCAGTTACTTGTATTATAATAATACAGGAGTAGATCAGGAATAAAACATTTTTTAAATCGTAATTCTATTTTTCAAAAAAGGAGCTCGAACAAAGACCAATGAAGAAAACAGCTCCTCTTGGTGTCCAGTACCACACGTTTGATTTAATTGGATCAGGGGAAATCGTCAGGTAACTGTCGAACTAAGCAATATGCACATGCTACCAAATTACATGAATAAACAATATTATATGAATTTTGGTAATTGATTGATTGCAGAATTGCTACAACATCTGGGCCTTTATTGCGGGCCAAAAGAAAAGTTTAATTCTACACTAATTGGAGCAGATAAAATTGACTATAAAAAATCGGCTAACATTGACATTTATACTGTGATCCCAATGATCTGTTGTTGTAATTCTTACATACATAAGATATATAGTTTTTGTTACACTATTACTTGGAAATAAATTTAAATCTGTTTTAACTTTCACGTGAGTTGACTCAATTATCTACATAGTACGGTGATGACTAGTATCGGAAGCATATGCACATGTTTTAAGTCCATGATTTGTATTAACCCGTGTTAACAATGGCACAAATTACATGCATGTTGTACTTTATTGCTAGCGAATTATTTACAAGATGATTTAATACGAGGCCAAGGATTTAATATTTTACGATACATAGCATGACGGGCTAACGTCATACTGATTATTCTTGGTCTGCAGCGAGATCAGATCGAAGAAACATATTTTAATGTAGAGAATGAATGTCAAGTCATCTATTCGTATCAATAACACGTCATTGCATGTATACGAGTCCCAGAAATATATATAATCTTTCATGATCCAGCATACATTTTTTCAGTATGACTTTACTATGTACGTACACAGTTACTTATTCAGTCACTTCATGAATACTTGCAAAACTTTTGTGCGCATACATGCTTAACTCATATGAGTTGCATGTTAAGCTTAACATCATCCCAATGCAGTTCCAATCCCAACTCAAATCCAATGTCAAATTTATTTGGTGTTTGGCAGAATCATGCAGAATGGAAGTTCAGTGTATCATATCATATCACAGTTAAATGTTCATGAATTTTGTCTGTGAATCATCATTCTTTTATACTCATCACATAAAAACTCAACAAATCAGTTGCACCAAATGTGCGTACAGTATCGTCATGTCATATCGCAAATATTCTTTCTAATATTCCTGGCTTTCAAGATGCATTATTGTGCTCGTGCTCAAATACGTATATGTATATGAGTTTTAAGTAGTTTGGTGACGTGACAATTTACATAGATTTCGAGTTTGTCTGGAATTGATATTGATTGCGTCGGAGAGTTATGCGGCTTCCAAAAAGAGAAAAGGTAAATATTTACGCAATATCAATGTACATACACTGCTCATTATCTGACAAGGCTGCGCATACCGCCGTGATCATAGTAATACATTCTAATCATATATGTAATACTGCGTTTTACAAGATTACCTACACCGAGGATGAGAGTTTTGGCAAGGGAATAGATACGATTAACCCAATCCATTTCATGGTTCACATAGCACACACGCCACATATCAACTTTCTTCAAAGATCGATTTCCAGCTTTTCATCCCCTGTTGATTACAGAGAAATAACATGTTCATCATATTCGTAGAAATAAATTCAACGAATGTCTCATCTACAGCCCAGACAGATTGGGTTCAGTTTTGGTAAATATAGTTTCAAATTAGCCAAACGGGAGGATGATCCTCTTTATAATTCTCCAATGTAATTATTATACAGAAATTTGTTGTAATTACATTTTAGCATGTGCCACTTTTCATATCTCATCTTTTGGAGTTTCCTTTTAACCGAATATGTGTTTATATATGTAGCACCAAATACCGTCATCTTAACTTAACTCTGCATAAATAAAATTATGTTGATTTATCGTAATTACCCATCAACTGCATAATGTAATAGTGAAAGCAAAATCTCTATATATAATCCTTGTCAGCATAACACAACATTTGTTAATATTCCGTATTATTCATAATTATGCAGTCAGCAATACATAATTTGCAATATAATGTGCAGATTAACAAGGTCTTAATGTCAAGAGAGCGTGTAATGTACTGAAGTGAAAGTCACTTGTAGCATTGCCAACTAGCGTTTTTTACGCTGGTTAAGTTTGTCGGCTGTATTCCGTCAGAATTTTTGCGTTTTACTTTATCACATCATCCCAACATTAAGATAGCGTGTAATATAGGATTCTGAGAGATACAACAAACCGAGTCAAACCGAATTTAGGATACAACTCCGAAGAGAACTGGGAAACGGAGGCAGGCTGAAGCGAAAGCAACAACCACCACGGGCAACAAATCGTTCGCCACTCTCCATCCAGTAGTATCTACCAAGTTCAGATAAGGAGAGGGGCAGACCTGGTGAAACTGCCATAAGCTTATTCCCTCAAAAGTTTACTTTCTCTGCTTGTGTATATCTGTTGAGCAACCTTGTGATTTCTCTCCACATTTCTTATGGATCTTGGAGTTGACACACGTTAAGCTCTCTTGGCCACCCTTGCACTGCTAGGACAGACTACACCACACTTCTCGCGTACCAATTACCACCACCTTTCACTTGAGAAACTTTCACCGACGACATAATGTCTTCCATCCACTTACTCTGATCCATCCTCATCATTTTCACATCTTGTCAAGGAATTGCCCTGCTAGGCTAACAAACATTCATAGCGTAATAGAGGAGCAACAGTGGAGAAAGTAATATAATATTCCTAGTCTAACGTCGTACACAAGTGGACCATATGTCTATCTACACATTGAACCTTGTTCGTTTATCAGATAACATTTGGGTCTTATTTGCCAACAATACTTGCCAACGGAATCAATATTTAGGCACCACTCTGGGTAAGTTCTTCCTTCTGCATACAACCAAACTTTACTTTCTTGCAACCACAAGTGCCATATGCATAAATTATGAATGCTTCTAGTAACGCATTTAATTGAAAATATTATCATGCTCTCATACATATTAAAGTTCATAGCCTATAAAATTTCAAATGTTCTAATATCCGTGTTTGTTTGGAAAGACATTAGTGTTAATTGTTCAAAGCCCAATATGTAAAACTTAATTAGGTCACCAATTAGCAATTTCTTTAATTTCCTACTCATTCCTTTGTGTATTTCATGACTTGTTTTCTCTGTCCTACATATTCTGGCATCATTCATCTTTCCTGCTTATGTAAATAGGTCTCATTCCATTTCACTTTCACCTTATTGCAAGGATCTGCAAGAACGGATGATTAGGCTGCTGCTGTCTGTCTGTCCATCTTCATCATGAACATGCAAAGCCATTAGTCTCTGACTTTGAAAGGCCCTTACGTCACTATTTCCTTTCCCCTTCAGAAATATACAACTTGGAATTAGGATTCCAATCCACTCAAAGCTTATTGGTTCTAGAACCAAATCCAGTACAAAGTATGGGCTGGTATGCAATCATCGCTTTCCTAAATTAAGTCGTTGGATGAAAAGTCGAATATCTTCATTTGGATTCGTTCATTACCTTTTCTTTGTGTCCTTTTCTTTATTTCATAATTTCATTTTTCTCTAAAGGAACACAGGATATCCAACACGCAATGACTTTTCCACTCTTTACGAGGAAATAAGAGAATAATAAATACTTATCATATCATCAAGTTTTCGAACATTGTGCCGCCGTAAATCAACATTGATTTCATCTTATCGAGAGAAGAAAGAAGTCTTGATTTCTTCATATACTGAGTAATCTCTTCCCTGGGGTGACCTCACTTCTCATTTCAACAACTTTCCCCTCTGCACAACAAAGAATAAAACCTTGCTGATTTAGATCTCATTTTCCTTGGGATTTTTTTTGTAAAAACACTGAAAAGAAAAGAAGCACTGTTGGTAGCAGCGTCTGTCTCACTCAATTTCTCGTCGGTGTTGAAGGAAGCAACCACAATTTTCTAAGGACAAAATATCTCAATAAACTCGCAACCACGTCAGCCACATTTGACGCCGAGGACTTTCTGCTTGATGCAGGTAACAAACAATAGAATCTTGTGTTTAATTTGCACTGCTCAACTTCCAAAATGTATACAATATGTACTACAAATAAAGTTTTGTTATATGGAAAAGCGCATACATGGGAAGAAAAACTTTCCAATTAAACCAAGTATATTTACTACTTTCCCTGAGTATGTACTAGTATGTAGATGCTTATATATATGTACATATGTACACGAGTAGCAGAGTACTACTTCAGCAGTAGTACTTCTAAGGTGAATTACATAATCTTGTTAGCGATTTACATGTTTCTCAACTTTTCATAATTTGAGATTAGATTTTATTTTTCAAATCGATATTTAGCAGGAACAACAATGTGCACGACTGTACATATTTATTTGCAATGTGATTTAAAATAAACATGAAATATATATCAGAGAACATTCGTCAAGTATTCAGGTACAAGGCATTTCGATTATATTTAGTTGCTGAGAGAATAATGAATAGATTAAAGCTGTCCCAGGAAATGGATGCATAAATAGGTGCAAAAATATGATACGTATCTCTTTGTGATGGAAGCTGGTCAACTTGAGACTAAAATGCAGACGTTAAATTTTATCCTGACTAAATATGTTTGCTTAGAAATCTTATATATACATTTGTACATGATTCGTCAAAGTCATGAAATTGTGACAGCACATTTTTATGACTTTGAATGATAGCTTCTATTTATCATTCTCACATTGCACCTGCAAATCTACATATTTAAATGGTCACTGGAAATCATTTTATTTTTCGAACTTTTAAATAACATATTGCATATCTACATTATAATTCTGGAATTTCTATTTCATGCACATACATAAATGTGTGTATATACATGACGGTTAAAAGTTATGCCCTAGATAACTGAAATGACATGACGATTTAGTGCGACTTTCCCTGTGCAAACATTTAGTATCTGAAACAGCTGAATTTTTCACTGTCAACAATAAATCGCTCAAATTGTTTTAGCTGTGGAATTATTTTGACACTTTAATTTTATATAAAGACATTTGTTTTCTCTACCTAACCAAAATGTTTGTAGGTACCTAACACAAAGTTTACTTTATTCAACATTTTCAGTTTCTGAAAGGCTCATTCAGTCAGCGTGTGCATTTCTTTAATAGAGTGATAATAAATGGAAACTTTTGTACGTTTTTGATCCATGTCGGAAATTAACCGATGGCATGAATGAATTTAAACTGACATAAAATTGGAAATATAAATTGCACCTCTGGGAATATCTACAATTCTTGTATTTCTGATTGACGTTGATCATTTCTCGTTGTCTGCATGTACATCTATTCCTGCATATAAAATATAAGCACAACTGATCCTGATCCTGTAGATGCTTTGCTGTGGGGCATAAATTCCCACAGGGGAGATTAAAATTTTATCCAGCAGCAGCTTTTCAAGTTTGCTGTTCATGGTTGCAATCGTTTAATGGTGATTTCATTGGCCTACTTAGCTTGAGCCTTTGCATAAGTTACTGCCAAATACCCACATTTCTGTCTTTAGTCCAACTCTCGTGTCGTGGACTTTCCCCAGACCTAAAACTAAATACGTGAGAATTCATCCTTATTAGAAATCGTGCTGCTTCTTGCTTGTTGTCTAGTACACATTATCCATTAGAACCCAAGGCTGAATTAAAATAAGTTCAAACGTCTATAGTGGGGATGGCGGAAGAAAGGATGAAATGCCTTAGGATGTTCGTCACTGTTGAGTCATGTAACTCTCATACAATGCTTTTACTGGTTACACTTTATGTTTCTAAAAATACATATCATACAAAATCAGACAAGAGCAAAGTGTTACAAGTGTCTCCTGCCTGCTTTTGTAATTAGGCCGATATGTAGAATACTTCATTTCCAGACGTCGATTAAATGCACACTTCAAAAGTGGATGGCGAGATGATCTCGCCATCCACGTTACGAGTGCTTACATGTTGGACGTTAGAATGCAATGTATAATAACTCACATAAATGCATAACCTTAATTGATTTCCCCACCGATCGTATAAGGTGCTCCTCTGTAATTTCCGAGAAATTGTGCAAAACAACCTCGGAGAGATTTAGGGCGAGATAAACCCGACGAGCTACATATATTTATGACGTACGACATCGCCTAAGCTTTCTCATATTATCATGTTTATTATCTAGAATGAAATGAGGATGCGTATTCCAGCTTCGTGCACATAAAACATTTGTTACGTGCCAATTCCCTTCAATTTGCACATTTGCATCTACATATTTCACCGATTACATCATTTGACCAATAGGTTAGAGCACCTATTAAATTTTGATATATTATCAATTCTAGTGATACATGGACAGGTTTCAAAATAAGTACATGCTATTATAAATGAACACGTATTTGATTCACAAATTAGTTGTCTGCTAAATGTTATCTGCATTTACAAGCACGTACCCACCACATAATTTGACTACTTAATCAATTTTCAAATAAACTAAAGGCCACCCCAAATAAACATTTTGGACCTTAATATCACAATTTTTATCAACGCGTTTCATCATTACAGCCATTAATCAGCTCGTAGTGTGTGGCTAATGAAAATGAAATGCCATGAACTTGGCCGTTAAATACTGTTGATGTCAACTTTCCCCTATCTATATAACGATTATACACTCATAAGCTCTTTCACCATCGTGTTTGTGTGCTGGACCCATTAGGGTTATGTATAGAACACCAAGTTCCTGTTTATGGTTAATGCACATTTTTATTTGTTTTCACTAAGCCTGGCATCAAGATGAAGCACAATTTTCCAATAACAGCTAGCGGAAATTGCGGTTTGGTTGATTAACCAATCTGTGTCTATGTATGAGCACATGCCATTTAAACAGTACGATAGTAATCTAATATCTTTCAGCTAAAAGCCATATCCACGTTGGGATTTACATAAAAGATAAGCTTATTAGTGGTTCTTTCTCATGGTTGAAAATATTAGGGCCAGAGTACCACGATTAATGTGGTCAATTATCCGTAATATTTGTACGCTCACGTACAAACCAGAGCATAAAAAACTAAACTATGTAGTTGGTAAGGAAAGTAAATCCATAAATTTAATTTCCGCTTCGATTTTTCCGACAGTTTAAAGTAATATCAATAACATGTAAAATTTATAATCACAGATTACGTTCAAAACAATACATGAAGTATTATTTTACTATGATACGAGTGATTTAATTGACTGATTTCAATTATTTCTCGCAAGTTGGTTCTCAAATATAAATAGCTAAATAGTGAATTAAGTAGTTCTTCCTTGTGAAACTCAAATTCGAGTTACATTTCCGATTAGTGATCATTTAAATAATTCTAATTCAATAATAATGATTGGCGAAATTCAAAGGTGGATAGAAGGTATATACATATATGTACATACATACAAATACTCTACGTATCTACAGTGTAGATTCTACACATGTTAGAAATGATGAAGTTAACATACATACTTTTAGTGTACATTTTTATGCTGTTTTTCTGTAAACTACGTCATGTTATATTTACCATGTGATTAATAATGTCTCGGGTTGATTAATTGAAGGAAGAATGGCCAAGTACAAACGGGCCGAGCTGATGGAGGAGGAGGACTCTGTGCACCTGGACCACATGAAGACGCATGTAATTCCTATTCAACCTCCTGGGATTTGGACCTCATGGAAGTCTCGAAGTTTGCTTGAAAAATTTTTAGCCTCGCTTTCTGCCCTTCTCGTCCTTCTCCTAATTTCAGTTTTGTTTCTTCTGTGCAAAACCTGGAACTCTTGGTACATTCTCCGAGTTGAGCATCAGACCACGGGTAAGAAATTTATTGAATTTTGTTTATTACGTTCACTTGGTTAAAACGCCAGACATAAAAGCTCGCACGACGAACGAATTTGAGGTTTGTAGTCACACTAAAATCACACATGACAAGCACTTGCATTATTTCCAAAAGTAGCAAAATCCGATTAGTTCTTTCTTGCGGCTGTAAGTACTTTTTATTTTGTTCAATTGTCCAAAAAGTAAACCATATAGATATTTGTGAGGAATGCTTCTCCGCTATTTCTTATAAAACTTCGTTAGCCGACTTACTAATTGAATGACATATAAAGTTATACAACGAGCTTTTTACTTTCTCGTTCCACAATTGTATTAAGGTTTCAAATTTGAACACGCCTGACGCCATGTTTTTTTTTCTCTTACGTCAATGACTTGAACTTTCTAATCTCAATCAGTCTGAAAATCCCGTTGTCTCTTAATTAAGCTACCCTACCAGTGCGCAAGCGATAATTACGTAGAATGATATGGACTTTCGCCACACAGTTGCACACTGAATAATTGGGTGCTTCACTTTCACGGTACAAAGAGAATAGGGATTTTTTGACGTCACTATGCAAAGAAATAAAACCACAGTTTCATCTTGAATTTGTAACGAAGCTGAAAAAATTTATTAAGTACTCTCACCAAGCACTTGATAATCCGACATGTTTCTCAATGAGCATAAAATTTGCTTAATGAAGAAGGCTTTATATGGTTTTCAATTTCTCAGGATATTAAATAGACTCTATAGCAATGCACCGTAATGTACGTTCCCATGTATGAAAGAGGGGATACTGCATCTAGAATTCTTAATTTATTCAACATGGAGCAGGCAAATTATAATAAGCTAAGTAAAAGCTGCTTTCTTTCCTCTCAGACTTATGCCTCACTCCAACTTGCATAAAAGTATCTTCCAACATACTCACTTCGTTGGACACTACAATGAATCCTTGCCAAGACTTTTACCAGGTAGGCAAACTCTTGCATATGTGATATGTAACTCTTGAATCCATGTACGTTCATCCTACATACATACTTATCACTCATTACAAATATTTTCAGTATGCGTGTGGAGGATGGATACGCAGTAATCCAATTCCAGGTTAGTGTGCATTGTGCAATATTTTTTAAACGTTTTATTCATGTATAATGTGCATTATGCTTATTTCATGTACGTTTGGCAGAGGGAAAGTCTACTTGGGGGACCTTTCAAAAATTATGGCAGCAAAATCAACTCGTAATGAAAATTTCTTTGGGTACGTTGATTAAAATGGTTTGCTTACGTGATCAAAAAACTTAACCTGCTTATTTTCTTCGTCGAATGAAGACTAACAACGATTGCAATCTCGTTAGTACAACATCATGATTAGATTCTAGCAGGCTCCGTTAATGACAAAGTCCAAATTAATTTCCTGTAATTTTGTGGATTACTCGTGTCTAATTTGTTTGCCTCGTGAAAATGTAGAGAAGGAAGACCTCAAGAAGAGTAAGGCAGAGATGAAAGCAAGTCTATATTATCAGTCCTGCATGGACAAGGATGAAATTCAGACAAAGTTGGGAGCAGAGCCATTGATTAAATTGCTTGCAGAAGTCGGTGGTTGGTACGTCAGCAATTTCTTTATTAAATAACCAAAGATCACACAGACAAAATTTGTGCATGATAAGATATTCTACTCTTGAATTATTACACAAAACAAACCAGAGCAGTATTTGCTATGAGATGAATGCATGCGCTATCAGAACTATATAAGTATGTGTACATGCATATCAAAGAGCATATAAGGAGATTCGGGAATCATCACTAAACACCAAAAAGAGATGGCTATTTGATTTGAATATGGATTTTTGTACCCAGGTCTGTAACTCCCAGTGGCTTCAATGTTTCTACTTTCTCCTACCAAAAGCAAATGCAGATTTTGCACAATGACTACAACATGGGAGGCTTCTTCACATGGGCCGTGGGTGAGGATGATAGGAACTCTACCCGTCATGTTATCCAGGTATTAAAAACTTACTAACAAATCCAGGTTTTATTCTACAGAGTAAAATAAACATGCTTTTTAATACTGTGAGTTTTATATGGGACGAAAAATTTTGAGAAAATAGATGAGAGTGAGAGCCGAGTTTGTGCTGTTTGAAGACACAGCACTTTGATTTCATTTCATATAATGATTTTGCATCCATTTTGCATTCATTCCGTCCTATCATTTAGACGCAAAGTGACAAACCAATAACTAGAAAACTCGTTTAGTGTTATTGATTGGTGTCATGCTTTAGGGGTAACTTTCATATATGTGTAAGTGTTACGTAGTGAATAATGATGGTAATTTTGAGTGTCTGACGATGAATGAATTCGCGTATGTATTATATTTTACTTCACAATCGATCGTGAACTTGGTGCTAATTTCAGTTGGATCAAGGAGGATTAACATTACCTACGCGAGACTACTACTTGAACTCCACTCATGAGAAGGTAATTAGAAAAAATCAAAGGATACATAAATTCAAATTTTATGATTTAGACGATGACGAGTTGTGTAATCGAATATATAATGTCTGTTAGGTTCGGGAGGTTTGCATCGATTATATGGTTAAGGTTAGTGAACTGTGATCATGCGTCAATTATATTTTGTGAATGTATGCCAATGATGATGAATAGATGAATCGTTGAAATATTTAACATTTGATCATTGTTACAACCGAAATGACTAAAATCCTTCAATACAGTTGTCCACCCTCCTGGGTGCAAGAGACGAGAATAAAACACGAGAATACATGCAAGGGATATTAGACTTTGAGACTGAGCTGGCAAAAATTACAAGCCCATCTGATGAAAGACGAGACGATGAAAAGTTATACCATGCCCTAAATCTCACTGATTTACAAAACCTAGCACCTGCTGTAAGTTAAGCTCTTTTTTCTCATGACATGCCGAAGTTTATTTTGTGCAGCTTACATATTTGTGATTTTGTTAATATACTTAGGATTATATCCCCCAATATCCCATAGGCTCAATATCCTTTCAATTCATAATCGTGTAATTCATCAACTTGATCCTTATAGATTTCTTGGGAAACGTATTTCAACTCTGGCTTTGACAAGATCAACAGGACCATCAAACCCGATGAGACGGTCGTCGTCTATGCGCCAGAGTTTCTCACAAGCATGTCTCAATTAATTATGACCAAGAATGCCACTGCTGAAGGGAGAATTATCCTCAATAACTATCTTGTTTGGCATACTGTGAAAGGTTTGTGCAATTTAACAAGACGTAAACATCAGTATCACTTTAAACTACTCGCGAGGCATGTTGAGACAGCGTTACTTCTGCTTGAGCTAACTCATGAAGAAAACTTTCGGATACATATTATGATATTTGCACCCCGATTTTGATATAATTTGGATATTGTAGAGCTTAATGACTGAAAGAGTGAAGGACGTTTAAGGTGGTAGCCCGCATTAAAAAATTCACCAAAAATCCAGTTCTTGTTGGATTGTAACAATTTGTCATTCTTTTGCCCCAGATAGTTTAATCCAATAGCGAACTTGCGCTTTAAAAACATTTTTTAATGAGAAGGCTGTCTTTAATAAAGTCATAAATTAATTAAAAGTTAATAACTACATACTGAATTTCAGCTATGACATGTTGTCTCTCTAAACCGTTTAAAGATGTCGAGAAGCTACTGAGAAAAGCAATTCTGGGGTCAGATGGTGAGTGCTTTGGAAGATTTCATACGGTCAACTGTGCAGTTTGATATTATGTGTATTTAGAAATGCTGATTTTGCCTCAGCGTAATTAACGAGCGACAAAACTGTTACCGTTATAGGGACTGAGGAACAGTGGCGTGTCTGTGTTTCTGATACGAATAACAACATGGGTTTCGCCGTGGGGTCGATGTTTGTTCGCGAGGCATTTCACTCGAATGCCAAACCCTTGGCACAAGAAATGATTGAACAAATCAGAATCGCTTTCCAAGACAATTTGAGAAATCTTGCTTGGATGGATGATGAAACGAGACAACTGGCGAAGGAGAAAGCAGGTTAGTTTTGAAAGACACAACATGTACGGTGCTCACTCTTTTGTAAGTGGAGAATTTTTGGTCATCTTTTTTGGCCAAACGGTAACGCCAATGCACGTTAATAGTCTCAATCAATCAATGTCTACATTTTTTCTCCGAAAGATTTATTTTTACATCGAACGTGGTATCGAACTACCAGCCAAATGTTTTTTCATTACAAAGTAGCAGTTGTTTGACTAACATCGATCGCGGTTGGCTTTTATGTACTCATTAATTGAATTATTCCAAGCAATATTTTACATTTCGATTGTTTCGCTACATTTTTCTACTCGTATGATTTCTGCGCTTAGGTCATCAGTTTAATTATCACTTGATGAATTGCAACGGATCAACCCGCCGGGATGATCTCGGATAATTTGATATACAATTTTCGATTTGAGCACAAGCCGTATTATTTATACAGCCGGAATAAATCTAGTGATAAAAATGTAATTCCAGTAATTTATTTTAATTTCAGCTGCTATAACCGATATGATTGGCTTCCCAGAGTTTATTCTAAATCAGGATCAACTAGATAAAAAATATGACAATTTGACAATCAATCAGACGGACTACTTTGGAAACAATATTCGAGTGAGCAAATTTAGCCTGTTGAAGAATTTAGAGAAATTGGATGAGCCTGTTAACAGAACCAAATGGGGTGGGTTAACTAAATAATTACTCCATGTTGTATTGAACCTGTGGTGCTATTTAAAACCCTTGACTATGTTTACATAGGTATGACACCGCCCACAGTGAATGCATACTACACGCCCACTAGCAATCAAATGGTGATTCCTGCTGGGATTTTACAGTGGTAATTAATTTCAATAAATTCTTTCCAATAACACGACTTTATAAGTTACGCTGCTGTTATGTTTGTTCTGATGACTCCGTGTAAAAAAAAACTGGTTATTTATTTTTCAGGCCATTTTTCAGCCCAGATTTCCCTAAAAGTGTCAATTATGGAGCTATTGGAGGTACTCAATCAAATATGAAATAAACTCTGGATATTAATTTACATTTGCTTTTTGTGTTGCAGTTGTAATGGGCCATGAGTTAACCCACGCATTCGACGACCAAGGTATATACTTTCCCTCCAAGTCCAAAGCATATTGTTCAATTGTTGAGCAATAGTGCTAGAAATTCTAGCCTAGAATAGAGTTATTCATATTATAATTAAAATTCTTCGCGTTTTTACACTTTTAGGGCGTGAATATGACAAAGAGGGTAACCTTCACCAGGTATCGGTTTCAAGGAAACACCATCGCTTCAATTAACAATTATTAGTAATTTAATTAATAGTATTTTGAATTTATCTTCAGTGGTGGCAAAATGCCACTATCGATCGCTTCAAGAAAGCCACAGAATGTGTCATCAACCAATACAGTTCATTTAAAGTTGAGGGAGAATTTGTCAATGGGAAGCAAACTTTGGGGGAAAATATTGCAGACAATGGTATTACACTCATGATAAGTTGATGAGAATTTTTGTTGAATGCTAACACATTGTATGCATTTATTTTAGGAGGACTAAGTAAGGATCGATACTATTTATCGTATGGCGATGCCATTTACTTATGTATGATAAAAGTATTTATTCGAAATATCCCATTACAGAGGCTGCTTTCCATGCATATCGCAATTCAAAAATTAAAGACCTTCCATTACCCGGTAAACTAACTATGCTAATAATAATAATAAATAATTTTTTTTAAATAAATGTTGATTTTTTCAGGCCTTAACATTACTCATGACCAATTATTTTTCATTTCATTCGCGCAGGTATTAAGGTCATTTAATTATGAACCGCTTACTAACAATAAAACATTAGAATAAATTGACTATAATTTTATGAACAGGTTTGGTGTTCATCTAGTCTGAAGGAAACGCTAATTCTTGTGAGAAAAAATATAGTTTTTTATATTTTATCATTTCATAGTTGACATGCACGTATGATTAAGAATGGAAATAATCACAATTTAATGTGCTGTTTCTTTTAAATTGTTCTAGCAATTAGAAAATGATCCTCATGTTCCAGTAAGTTTACCAATACCTGAAAAATAAGAATCAGGTTACAATTTGTACAATATAATTTATTTTTGTTTAAGGCTCCACTCCGAGTTCGTGGACCACTTTCCAATCTTCCAGAGTTTGCAAAAACATTCAGGTGTACAAAGGGGACGAGAATGAATCCTGAGAAAAAGTGTACCGTTTGGTGATCAGTGTACCTTGTCAACTTCCTCGTGATGGTGTTGATTGAGATTTATTTTGGTGATTACATACCTCACTCTTATCTTTTATGCCAATTTCCCATTTTATATAGAATTTACTGCAGTCATCATAGAATCCCTTTCGTTATTTAGACTATTGTTATGCTACGGTATGCTATGAATCATGTTTTTATTTTTGTTTTGTTATGATGAACGGACGGTTGACTGATACTTAATTATTTAAACTCATCCTCGTCGTAATAATATTTTTCTGCTTCGGTGATAATCACGAAGTATTTGCAAACAGTATTATATGCTTAACACATTCTTAACATCGGGATTGTACCTATGCAATTAATTTATAACGAACATACAAGCTTTAATAACCAGATTGACGCTAACCAGTAGCAGTTGAATTTATAAAACTATAGATAAATATAATTAAATAAGATGCATACGTATGAACACTTGCAGGTATTCCAACTGTCACAATAAGAATCCAAAGATCATTCTAGTTTGCCAATTAAGTGATAAGTTTATTATATCTGTTTGTACCTGACGGATTTATGGCGTTTGTGATATTTTAAATATCAAAAAAGTTTGAGATTTGGAAAAATAAAGTGAATACAACTCACAAATAATTATGAGTAAAAACCACATACTTAATATTAAACATTTATTTGCTTAGGTTAACCATATCAATTGTCCAACTTTACAAATAACTCTTCTGGAGTGAATACCCCAATTTCAGTTATTATTCCGGTGATAAGATTTGCTGGAGTCACATCAAAAGCTGGATTCCAAACTCGAGTTCCTGTGCCGAAAATAAAGTTGTACAAAAATTACAAATCATTTGAAAAAGATACCCAAACCGCAAATTCATAAACCCGAAATGGCTTGCCTTCAGGACTGATGAGATGCCCACCAATTTGCGTAACTTCGGTCCCCGGCCTTTCTTCAATTACGATTTGATCTCCTGTAGAAATGGTTGGATCAATGGATGAAAATGGTGCCTGTAATAAACGAGATTTGTTGCAGACGATTGACAAATTGAAAGTTTTAATATCTCAGCCGCAATCATATCAATGTCACCATACATATGGCTTCGAAATTCGAATCTTCCAAAATTGATAAAAGGAACAAAATAACATGCTCTACAAGACCATAACGCTATTCATACTCGACATCCACTCATATGCACATATTTGTAACTATTTAGGTCTGATTAAATTGAGCATGCTCAAATTGAGTTAAGTTGGTTTCATGTGGGGTTGAATTGGGATTAATACTTCAGTTATGTATAATAAATGGTACTACTTACCGCAACGTAAAATCCAACACCATGCGCCTTCGCAGCTATCGCTAACTATGAAGTTAAGTTATTTTTGTACAGTAATCTCGCATTTAGGTCAATATGTATTAAAGCAATACCCAAACCATAAATCATGTATGCAGTACCTGATACGTCCCAATTTTATTCGCCGTGTCTCCATTCTTTACTACACGGTCAGCACCAACAATTACAGCAGAAATGTCATGATTTTTCATCAACCAAGATACCGCAGAATCACATATAAGGGTCGAGGGTATCTTATCCACCAGCAGTTCAAAAGCAGTTAATCGTGATCCTTGATTGTAGGGGCGAGTCTCCGTAAAGTATACTTGATCTAAAAAATGAGACAAAAAGGTTTTTAAAGTGAAGATTACTATGTAGCTGTTTACTTAATTTGTATATCATTTCTATTTTGAATTACTCAAATCTCCATTGCCATGTAAAGCCCGAATGACTCCAAGCGCTGTACCGTATCCTGAAGTTGCCAACGAACTGATACCAATTATCATTAATCAGTTGAACGAATTTAAATCAATTAAAAACTGTTCTGTCGCTTAGTCAGCGATGTAAACTTAATGTGGTCTCACTCATGTAGTAGACCTTAGCAGTTATTACGACGATATCATAGGTAGAGAAAATATTTTACCCAGTGTTACAAATTGTCAGCACATTAATCTTTCCCTCTGAATTTTTCCTATACTTCTGCAAAATCGCTTCGGCTCCATGTTTTCCAATTGCCTAAAGATTTAAAAGAATATTAATTGTATGCATTTGGTGCGCCAAATAATGAATATCGAATATGCGTATAGAATTATGGAATGAATAACACAACTTGCCTTGTTTGTCTCCAGGTCTAATTTGTATAGATCTTCAATCCACACAAGCACACTAATAAAAAATTATACAGCATTTTCGAATTTCACAAACATGCTCGGTTATCAATATATATACAGATATATGTACATGTAATAGCATTATATAGCATACTCAGTTTTCAAAATGGACACGTTATCTCGACTTTTTGCTTTCTCTTCCAAAAAATCAATCAACCTTAAACCTTCCTTTCTCATGTTGACAGCCGTTGGCCGTGCATCAATGAGAGCTTGAATTTTTTCTCGAATGTATGAAAGGAGTTGAGTTTTGTCGTCAATTTGAACAATTTCCTTCCCCAACTCAATTGCAATCCCGAAACATCCGACAATTGCTTTATATAATATAGACGATACAAAATGTATGTAGTATACCTATATATAAGTTTAAATATATGGGTATGAAATACAGACCTATGAGTGGGGCTCCCCGGACCTGCATTCTTTTTATAGCGTCAACTGCATCTTCAACGGACTTGATATCCCGATAGACCAATTCATGTGGAACCTTCAACTGGTCCAAAACTTGGAAATATTCTCCACGTTTGTATTTTACAGATTGAAGATGATTTTCCATTCTGCTAAATATCTAGTTACAAGCAGATAAAATCATGCAAAAAATTGCACTTAATAATAATTCTCAGTACATGGGGTATACCTTGTGGGGTGAATGAGATTTATGTAGAAACTAGCAGAAAATTAATTGTCTTTCACCGAAAAAATCTTATCGTTAGTTCGGTAATTTACTGTCTAGAATGGTTATATACGGCAAATCAAGTGAAACCGTCTTACCCTATTAAACTCAGCGCCGATACTGTCAACTGTGTTTATATTTTAGTATATTCTGGAGATATGTATGCATACATACGCGTATGCATGTATGTATGGGATAAAATATTTTGTTATGAGAATCTGTGTGTATGGTATTATGGTAATATACCTAAGCCATAATATCTTATCCTTCATGCACATGTTAGTCTTATGCATAATTATGTCCATCATCTTGGGTGCTAACACCTAGACAAGACCAATTCAAATCAAGTTTTATCCAGTAGTCATTTAGTAGTGGGCAAAGTGCAAAGATCAGAGATATGCAAATATGTACTACGAGTACTATGAAGTAATACTAAAGTAATATGGATGATGTTCGTACTGCTTAGTGTTAATAGGTAGGTAAAAAAACGAATGACCATTTAGAGTAAAATCTATTTCCTTTAAGCTATTTTAATACATTACTTCTCAAAAAAATGTAATAAGGAGATATTGATTTTACTTCAGTTATTAAACCATTGCATCTCTAAGAGACCCTCTACATGTCCGTCTCAGATCTTGATGTCCTTTGGATATGTCCTTTGGGCGCAAATGTGGCCATGGAGTCAAACCACTTCAGGGTTTTAGTACACCCATGGGAGACTACCACATATCCAAAGGACATCAAGAGTAGACACGGACATGTAGAGGGTCTCTCCTTCTAAGAATAACAAACTAGGTTTTTCCCCAATAACAATCCGACCGACGTTTAAATTATTCCAATCAATTAACCACTTTCAATACTATTTTTCAGAACTATTGTTCTCTCCGCCCAGGCAAAAATTGAATAATAGTAAGTGATTAACCAATTTGCAGATATACATATTATAGCACGCAACTCACAAACTCACGCAATGTGAGACGCCAGAGGTGTTTTGAGACTCAATGCAGTATAAATAATTACATGATGCCATTAAGAAGTATATATAGTATTTGCTATAATTTATTATTTGGCAGTGAGCAATGGCGGAGAAAGTATCAGGAACGGTATTATCTAAAGGAGCTCAATTTATTTGAACTACTGATACTATAAATAGGTATACACCTTTTCTTATACAAGTCGTTCAGCACATGCAAAATAAATAACCTACATAATCTCTACCTCGAAATCAAGTTATTGCTGTTCGTCATAAATTATAGGCTCACGGTTCAACCTTGATTCAATTAGGGGATGGAAATCTCTATAGATTTGGTTTTCTTGCCTTGCCAAAGCAAGCATTGGCGTGGATGAACTACGTTTCTCATATTCATTTTCCTCTGATTTATGGACCTTACATCTTTGGCCTTTGATGAGCTGAGATTGTAGGGTTTTGTGGTGGAGGAGGTGAGAAGAAAGCTCGACTGAGGAGTGAAAGCCGTGGGGAAAGGAGGCGGAAAGGAAGCTAAGAGTCGCGGACGTGTAGTCAAAGGGGAGCGAACGTTGAACGGATCGCTCTCCCCACAAGGCTTTTTGACAGCAAAAAGTGCGTCAAAAAGTCGAAACTGCTCTTTCCACCACCCTCCTCTTCGCCTGCCAACAGTATTCAGCTGACAACAATAACAATCAGAGGATCAGTCGGAGAGCCACGAATGAGGCAACGGTAAATTGGCATTGGCGATATTAATTTGTTTGGAACGGTTAACAGTGGTGTGGGTTTACTTCAATTGAGAAAAGAAAATCACAAGGGTCAAGTTTGACAGTTGGCCACTGAATTGGATTATTGAGAGACAGATTGTAAACATCATCTAATTAAGGTAAGTACATCGTTTGCAATTTTGTAAAATTTACTGCTGTTGACGGCGTAAAATATGTGCAGATACGAAAGTTCCTTGATATTATGCGTGCACGTTTAAATAAATATGCATGTAAATCTGCATACGTCAACAAGTATACATGTGAAAGGGATACAAGTGTTAGACATATCCCAAAACCAAGGAAGACCTTCCAGTAATACACAAGAATCATTGGAAATTCATAGACTCGTCGATAATTTATTTTAAACCATGCGTTATTCTCAGCAAGGCAAGCATTTATTTACGATACGTGGGTCCGTCTCATATTTCTGGATTACATTTATCATAATCTCGTAGCATATGATACCACCATTGCATCAAAATAACCAGAGCATGAGGAGTTAAAATTGTGACATTTGTGACCAACCTGATGTGCGATAAACTGCAAAAAAATAGTCACATATCCATTCTAAATGGTGAAAGTTAAGCCAAGTCAAAAGTTTCCGAAACTGACTTGTGAAAACACACCAGCTATTCCATTATTGCATAGGTATGTATGAATGAGCTATTAATGAGATTTCTCTCTGCAACTATTGAAGTCCATTCACTCTTCGGTTGCAACGGGTGAAAGCGGAGAGAGACAGACTGACTATTTATCCGCAGTGGTGGTGCTTTGTCTCTCGGGTGAAAATGAGGAATCAATAGATATCTAAAGCAACAAAAAACCGGCCAGGAATTAAAAAAAAAGTTGGTAAATCAAACAATGAGCAAGCTATGTATAACACAAGTGAGAAGTCTAAACATCCGCAGTGCCATAACGGGCTTTATATTTTTGTGCATATCTAATAAAGGCGAAAATACATAAAGTCATCAGTGCAAATAATTATAAGAATTGCAAAAAAATGTATACCCGCCCGGATAGTATTATTTGGCATTACAATTTTTTTTAGCAAAATTTCAACAGCATTAATTCGCTATTCACTCACAATTTTCGATATTAGAAACAAGTGAAAACCTAGCATTGTTATCTCCCTTACTCTTCTCAACAATGAAATTACAGTGAGCGAAGCGAAGACCAGACACTCGGCACTCCAATTACATATAATTCCTCCTCCACGATTGGTTTGCATCAACCCCCATTTTTTTGTGGAAACCACGTAATCGCATGTTGCCTGCGTGGAACACTTGTTGAAGTTCATATTCAACTGGAGGTGATGTAAGTAAAATTATCTCACCGTTCATCAAGGTACAGCATTACTGCCATTATTACCGCATCAATGTGATGTGCAACAGCGCGTTTACTGTAAGAGTAAAGATCATAGTCATACCTATTCACCTGACTGAATAGGGTTGGGGCTGATTTTTTTTTGCAGTGAATTAATCACGGCTCTGGTTGGTTGGATTTTGGGTTGCAAAAAAGAGTTGCAGTGAAATTGCGTGGATTGTTGAATTGTCAAAATTGCGAGTGACACGCGGCGGAGGTATTTCTACACCTCTCTCAGTCGCCTGAATGACGAAGGAGCTCCAGTTAGAAGAGGATCTTCAAGCAGCGAGTAGTGCTTCTGCTGCGAAGAACATCGACTCGGCGTTGTACCACAAGTCTTCTGAAGCTTTAAATGTTGGTGGTTCGCAATCCCATGTTCCAGCGTCTCTACCGATAACTGCAGAAACTCCAGAGTCTTGCCAATCGTCTCAGAGCTTCATCAGCTCTCCTCCAGCGTCCAAGATGATTCGCAGAAGTAGTAAGAGTGATTTGAGGGGTGGGTACAAATGCACAATTAGATTACTGGACGATAACGAGATTTTGCAGTGCGATTTTCTGGTGAGTACACAAGTTTTTTTTAAATAAGAAAGGCTGTTAATGTTTTTCTTATACCATCTTCACTCGCACTATTTTATTTTTATTTATCAAAAAATTGTGAATTTATAAGCTTTATTCAATATGTAAAGAATATTTTGGTGTTGTGCTTTTAAAATCTGTCAACCTTAGGATTAGTTAAATCTAAGTTTCTAAAGATTTTCTAACACAAGTTGCATGACGGAGATATGGTGTTGCTAATTATATTTCTGTGATTCAAGTTTGATACCTTGTTTTTTTAAATGTGGGAATAAGTGTTACATATTACAGTAGCTTTAAAATATTTAGATTGCGTGCCTTAGAAAATTTGAGTTTTGAGTATCGTTAACCGCTGTATTTATCACGATTTTCCATGTCGTATTTTCAGACTCATCACAAGGGGCAGTATTTAATGGATTATGTCTGCCGGCAGTTAAACATTGCAGAGAAAGACTATTTTGGTCTACGCTATGTGGATTCCAATAAACAAAGGGTAAGGTATAAAACTTGTTGATGTACTTATCGTAAACTTTGTTTTGGGAGGACATTAAATCAACTGGTTTCATTCAATCCCGGCCTTGGCGTGACAGAAAATAGATTTTGCAGACCTCTGCCTGCAAGTGCCTGCCAGATTAAAATATGATGATGGGTTACGACTTACGGGTTGGGGTGTTGCTCATAGTTTATATTACCTGCGTTTGTTTCCGTTATTGTTTATTATATTAAACTGGTCCAAAAACCAGAGGGTGATGTAAACGGATACAACATCACATATGTATATATACATAGTTTAATATGCATTAATCTGCTATGGAATTAGTTAGCCAACTGCATATACGTACAAGCTGATGTTATTATGTCAGTTCTGTTATTAGATGGATACCCTCGATTATATGCATACGCATGAATACGATTTCCGGTTAATACAGGGTCACAGATCCTATTTGCACAGTGAGAAAAACTGACCAAACTCATGGGCGGATAAGGTTTTTTGTATTTTCGCAATTTTACCCTCAAAACGTAGTTCTTTGGGGTGAATTTGACGTTTGGTTCACAAAAATCGGTCAACAAATGCCAAAGAAATCGACATCCGAAGTCGACCATCTCCTTCCGCATTTTTTCGAAGGAAAATTGTCACGTGGGAAAATTGTGGAGAAGTAGAACATATCCGGATGCAATGTTACTCGTTCTTCAACATATCGTGAACTTAGTTCCGCTTTAATTAGATCAATATCTAAATTAGCGGGACTGGCATCCCCAATAAAGTTGCAGCCCCAAAAAAGTTTTCGCGTACCGTTTTTCGAAAAATCGACGCCCTGACAAGGTGAGAAAATCTTTTGACCCAAACTCAAATTGGAAAAGTTGTTAAAATATGTCAGCTGCATGTGAGTAACGTCATCAAAATCAAAGTTTAAGAACAGGTCAGAAAAAGGCCAAAGTTCACGCGAAAACAAACTTTACAACGAAAATCTCTGGGAAAACGACCCAGTATGCAGCCGAGTAAAAACAAAAGCTAGGGATTTCAATTGTTCCTAACTCTCAGATACCTGTGACAAGTCCTGATGCCACTCCTTTAGATTTTTAATGGGTTTAGACTATTAAAATCATAGCTTCTTCTCAGACGAGCTCCAGTTTTTTTTGGTGTTTCGGAAAAACCTTCAGGTGGAGTTGAAGAAGATTTCTCTCCAAAATATAGGAAAACTAATGAATTCGTGAAAACGGCGATATAGGCTGGCTAGCCAAAGGTCTGAGGAACGTATTGAATAATCGAAACAAATTCATCGACGCCGAGTGAAGGTTTGAGGTCAATTTTAAAACCTGTGCAAATACGATCTGTGATCCTCAGTACATGAAACAGAAGCAGCAAATTAGTGTACATCTGTACATAGTATATACAATCTTACATTTTGTAGAGAACAAAAATGCAACCATTCAAATATCGTTTGTAAAAATGTATGATATATTTGTAGCACTGGCTGGATCTGGGAAAATCTATCATCAAACAGATGAAAGGTACATATGCATATCCTGATCTATTGACCAATTTAATGCTTGGTTTTGATTGTAATAAGGGGTATTTTGAAACATATTTTGTAACTGTTATTTACAGATAATGCATACATCCTCTGTTTCCGGTTTAAATTCTACCCACAGGATCCAATGCTTCTCAAAGAAGAAGTTACCAGATATCAACTGGTATTACAATTACGAAGAGATGTTCTTCATGGACGATTATTTTCCACGTTGTCCGACATGGCTACGATTGTGTCATTTATTTTGCAATGTACAGTAAAAAAAATTATTTGCTTCAATACTACGTGTAAGAAATAACATAAAATTTTGGCAACTATGTTCTAGCCGAACTTGGAGACTACGATTTAAGTGTCCACACAGGAAATTATGCCGCAGAATATGAGCTAATTTCTAGGCAAACCCAAGATTTGGAAGAAAAGGCGATGGAGCTGCATCAAAAATTGCGTGGCTTAACTCCTACTGAAGCTGATACTTTGTTTCTTAAAAAAGCCGCATCCTTAGATACATATGGATTGGACCCATGTCCTGTCAAAGTAAGACACTGCTATATTTGGTATATAACAGTACATTAATTCAAATTGTTGAGGTTGAGTAGAATTGTAGGAATTATGCTTTCTATAGGATCAGCAAGGGGAACAATTATATTTGGGCATTAACTACACCGGAATCAGGTAAATAAATATTTTCAATAGGTTCTGTACATGAGTATCAATAATTTATATTAAAATTGACTCTTGACCATGAATATCACTAATGATTATTCATCGTACTGTATTTTAAGTGAAAAATTATGATATTTATTTTATTGAATCTGATTTTTCTTTATTTTTATCTCTTATTTTATAATTCCAATGGATGGATGCATCATAAATAAAACTTTCAATTTGTAGAGGATAATATTAGGAAAAGATATTTTGGTAGAAAATTAACTAATCATTAAAGACTTAATTTTGTAATTTCAGAAGCCAAGAGATGAACAACTACCGTAAAGTTACTCACTTCAAATGGACCCAAATTACAAAGCTCAACTATGAAGCCAAGTAGGTTTATATTATGCCGCAAAACTTAGTATTGCCTGAATTATACCCCGTGAATCTCTTTACTTAAAAAAATCCTTTACAGAATGTTCATTATTCATCTCTCCATTCCAGAAGATTCCAGGATCAAGGTAGGAAGGTGTTAATGCGTCTCAATTTCACTATAATTAATGGTATGAAATGCCATGTTTTAGAAAAAGGAGACCGTTGGTTTCAAATGTCTAACTTCCAGTGCTTGCAAATTCTTGTGGCGTTCTGCTGTGGAACAAAGATTGTTTTTCAAGTAAGTTTATTGATAACAGACGTGGCAGAATTTTATAACAACGCCATATTACTAGTACCCGTTTTGTCAAGAAAAAACAGCATACATAAATAATGCCGCTCTGTATTTTTATACATTGATAGTGATTGCATTTTCGGACACAGACGCATTTTATAATTTGAACATGTAATATTTTATGTCAGGCATGCATTATTTAAAAACTAGGTTATAAAAAGTTGTATACATATTAACAACAGAAGTTGAATTTTTCAACAATTTTCAAGACTTTAAAAATGATGCAAAGCGTAATGGACATTACTTGGGATATTATAGATTGCACGCATATACTTTTTAGGTACCGTGTAGATTGTTTATCTAAATATGATCTCTACATGAAAAGTCAGGATAAGTGTGAGTGCGATCTTGCATTCCTGTGAGCTAGTTGTGTTTATATGTGCTTGTTTAATGGATTCTTGTAGATAGTTTGTCATTGACGATTTTTTCCATACCGAGCGCAGGCATGTTTGGCATCGGACTTATTGAAGAGATTTAATTGTGATGGACGCACAAATCTAAGATTTAATTTAAAGATCATTAAGGGCATCCAAAATTGTGAGTCTTCACATTATTTCAGTTCCTGTATTCCTGCGCTAGTGACTGATAGTCTTCAGTAGACTTTATAAGAAGAGTCTCTGGATCAGGATCTGGCACATTAATTACTTACGGCAAAAGTGTCACACGGAAGTTGACGGCCGACACCACCATGTTCGCTTTCTGCAATTGAGTTTGAGCGTGACCTTTTCATGCATTCATCATAACTGGGTGGTGGAGGTTCCACCCTTTCCATGTAATCGTCCAATTTCTCATTTGAATTACGAATTTGCAGATGAGCTTCAAGATAGTTTGGTGGCGGTGAAAGCTCCTGTTGATAATGTTGGAACGGATGATGTAGTTCCAAGTTTTGGCTTAAATTAGGGCTAATAGAATATGGAGAATAAACTCTTGTTGTAAATGCTAGTGCCATAGGTAAATTTGCTATCATTCTCATCCCTGTACTTCTTCCGTCCTCATAAACGTATGGCTGACATATTGTGTACTCGTTTATGTTTTCATCCGGAGCTGCTATGTAACCAAGATTTTCTACACGTTGAACATTCACTAAAGTAAAAAAAATAATATATATATATGTGATCATTTAATGGTTAGTTAATTGTTTCAAAGTACACATTAGCTTTCATAAAATCCAAATAAAGATTAGTATATACCTTCTGGTAAAAGAGAAAGTTGTATTCTTCGTCTTCTCAAGGCCGCTTTGCTTTTGAAGCAGAGAAATTTCTTGTCGTCTGTCAAGTACACGAATAACCGAATGCAGCACATCATAAGCTATGCAAAATAAAACTTTAGTATCAATAACTATTTCACCATTTAATTACACCATTAAAGATAAGTTAAGTAGGTCATATTAATAGTGTACCTAAATATTTGAGAAAGATGCTCAATTTTCACTTACAAAAAATAGGAAGAATCCTCCAAAAAGAATGGCTAAAACAAACAATGGCAACTCTTCCATCAATTTGGAGAAGGAAGCAAATTTGATGAGAAAATTTTTTCAGAAATTCATTGTAAAATTTCGACGTAGATTGGATTGGCGCTTTAAATGTTTTATAAGGGAATCGTTGGAGAAAGTATTGATCGAGTTTTTGTGTGCAGTAGCTTTGCTTTCTTTCCATCCCGTTGTTCCACCTCCACATCGTAGTTGACTACTGGAAGCATGAGTGAGTGTAAGTCACCACTTCATGGGAAAAACAGTGGAAAAAGTCGTTGTGTGTAGACAACTCATTCATATGAGAGGAAACTACACAAGTTATTTAAACGGTATAGGAGAAATTGAGGGCGAAATGGTATGGCCATATACCCTTTCATATACCCTTTTCTCTGTAACGAACTAAACATGACAGCAAAACGGGAAGAACAGAAAATACATACAACAAGCTTTTGAATTTCCCTTTACAATTTTTTGCATATATTCTAATTCTAAAAAATATTAGCACTCATTGCCTCTGGCACTGTTAGGAAATAATTAAGAAATGCAGAGAATCATGGGATTCATCCTCTGCTATTTAGCATCCCTACATTTCTACTGTTTTAGATTACGGCTGCAAAGACATAATGAAATAAAATTATTTTATGGCTTTTAAGAATTTTACGAAATTGAAATTTCAAGCTTTTGGATCTGCTTGATATCAATGTTTATAACACGTAATAATGCATAACATGGGGCTATTTTATTTCGTTTATTTTCTCAAAGCGGATTTAGGTTTAATAATAATATTGTAATTAAGCTTATGGTTATGTTTTATTTTTTAGTTGTGGTTCTGCGACAGACGTTCCAAATTCTGTGCGTGGTGGCGGAATTTTTGGTTCGAGAGTACGGTATCATGGAAGGGTCCAAAGAGAGATTTTAGAAGACCCAGGCCCGTTGCGTGCATCCGATGCGGTGATACAAAGGACCCCTTTATATCGGTCATTGCAGAGAAACAAAACTAGAAGTTTGCCTCATAGCCCCACTCACCCAGGTACTACCAATTTCAACTAGTTCTGTACATTTTGAGTAAGGCTGCTAAGTAAGTGTGGTATTTCGATTGGTCAAGGTTACGATAGTTTGCCACGATCTAACCATTCTGCCCCACCAATGGATGGAGCCAGATTGGACGCAACAATGATGGGTACTTTGGGGTCTTCGACATCTCTGCCACTGTCGACTTTGTCATCGCCATACTACCCGGAACACACGCTGCCAATGTTAGAGACGCTGCGAGAATCTGAAGATTCTCCTAGAGTAGAGGAGAAAGGTAAGTCGTTGAAATCAAATTTGTTAGCCCTGCTGCTCAATATTACTTTCTTTCGATTTTGTTTTATTTTGCGAATGACACCGCACACAAAAGCTTTATATCTCACGTTTTCTTTTACCATATCAGATAATTTACCGTTTCGATTTACTTATCTGGTTATCTTTGGATAACTTGAATTGAAACTAAATGGTGTGGGTCATAACTGAGTAGATACATCTATTGGTACATACGTGCATACGTATGTTTGTGATATACACGTGTGTGACGATGTGTCTCCGTTTTTGAAACATTACCAACTTGGTAAATTGATTAGGAAAAGGATCAAAGCTTACTCGGAATGACAGTATTCGATCTACCTCGTCCATTATGTCGTCCGTCTCAATGGATGATCCTGATTTAAGTTTCCTTCAAACTCGTGTCCTGACAAAAGAAGATGCTCAATTGCTGGGCAGCAAAGAGGTGCTCACGATTATTTCCGAAGAACGTGAGGATGATCAGGAAGCAAATAATGTTAAAAATATTGCAAATGGCCATTCTCGAGTATTATATCCACACAAAAAATCTTCGCATAACCAAATCGAAGATCTCAAGGTTTCAAACGGAGTAGACCCTCTTTTATCTAATTCGCGTGATACTGATTCTGGTATGTTGTTAATTTGCTGCTTTAATAATTGTTTAATTATTTACTTGCAAAATCGCTTGTTTTATGAAGTTTTGCTTCATATTCATGCTTTTCTTATACCTATCTTGAAATTCTTATTTCTGTACATATATTTTCATTTCCACCTGCACAAGGTGTTTGGGTAGAAAATAAAATGATTTACTTTTCTTTGCAGCGTTTGCATACAATGAAGGAGGAGGGGATGCAATTGCAACTGAAGCATTACGCGAAACCAAAATTGACAACTTGTCGTCACTTGGGAAACCGAAACATGGATTTGCTGCAATGTGGAAAATCTTTATCGTGTGCTTCATTTGTGTCATTGTTGCGTTATTGCTTGTAGCTATTATGGTGATTGAATTGGATGTGGATTTGTGCAGACGAATGCGTCACATTCCAGAAGTTGAATATTTTCAGTATGAAGTCTACCAGCCCTTTAAATCATATATGAAAGCCAAACTTCATGGAATTGAACATTTTAATTAATTTTTACCTCAATCTTTTATTATCTATTGTGACAACATTTATTTTCGCATATTTTCATGAACCCTCCCTCAAGTTCTACTTGTCTTTCAATAATTTATGAACCTAGAGATTAGTTTGCTGTGTTCAACAATAATCTTTAGTAAGGTTAATTGAAATTGGATTGGTATTGATATTAACTAGCTAATATCCTTTGATATTAATCTTGTTAGCATTGAGATGTCATTGAGTTCATTAATTGTTATATCCTGTGCAATAGTTTGCATATTTTTTAGACCTAGGATTCGCGTGTCAACAAATATGAAAGTTTTGTGCAAAGGTTTTTAAACAGCGCCACCTTACTTCCTTTTCTTTCTTATTTGTTTCTTTATTTTTTGTCCGAGTACAGGAAAGAATGACGACAAGGCAACGCTGTTTAAATACCTTGTGTAATTGGCGGTCATCAACATGGCCTGCTTCAGAGTCCATGCTATTATCACGATTTCCATCAAATTTAAATTATGATTGGCTAGAAATAGTTAAGTGCTAAGTCAATTTTGAAAAATAACTGACTCAAGAAATCGGATTCGATCGTGCTGATAGCATGCACTCTTGAGCACGCTTATGTCTTGTTAACTTATTAATTCTATTTACCAGTAAACTCATAAAAAGACAAGTAATACTTCGAAGAAAAACGTACGAGGTTATCGTTCTCAGACTATTCTAACACTTCCAAGAATTTGTACTCTATGACCCAACAACTCCCTCAAACGTGCGAATATCTTGAAATTCGTCAAAAATCCAAATTTGATAATTGTTATACTTTTTAGTCCCAGTTGTATTTAATATTGATCTGTGCTAATTAAGTTCAGCTATTTTTATTGACTCAAGTATTGAAAATACAAAGGTTGACGTGTAGTTGGTAGTGGTTTTCTTTTCGCCATTTTAGGGTGCAAATTGGGCCATTGAGTCAAACCACTTTCATACACTTAAGACATATCCTACCGAAATGTAACACTGAGAACCTCGTACGTATTTCTCCTTTGTGGATTTTGCTATATTATATTGTCAGCTTCAGCAATAACCACGGTGTGATCATGACCAGCCTGTAATCATTAATGGTGAAAATATGTACATTTTACAAATCTCAGAACTTTAATCTCAGCTTTCAAAATACTTAAAATTAGCAAGCCAATGGGTTGTTACATATGTGTATATTATAAAAGACGTGTTGCAATAAGGTTGTATAGACATTATCTAACTGCAAAAGTCGAAGAATTCATAAGTTATAGTGAGGGTATTCGTTATTTCTTCGTATCCGTAGTATCGTAAAATAGTTTACGAAGATAAAACAAGGGGTCAGCTTTCGTAAAAATCGTAAGCGTAGTAACGCGATTTTCGATGAGAAAATCTTACGACGCTTACAAAATCTCGTAAGCGTCGTAAGTTATTTTACGATACGAAGAAATAATGAATACCCTCAGTGATTATAAATGTGCATGTATATACATATTTCTTCTGTAGTTAGGGTATTTTAGTCTTTGACTTGGTTTTTAAATGTTTGTTGAACATATAAAATACATAATACGTCCCTTTAGTACAAGACAGTAATAAATAAGTAATTGGATACGATTGTCTCAACGACAGCTGCATAATTTTCTATGAGAAACAACTTCAAGCTTTTGAGTGTTGAATTCTGGTGGACTCAATCAACAGTATTATTACGAATCTGGAGATTATTATTACCGAATTATTACTATATTTTTTTATATTTTAAATTCGAATTGTGTTTTGTGATATCTCTGATGGCTTTAATTTTTTAATTTGACGATCAATTTTTCTCTGCATTTTATGTTGTTCAACTCTGTAACGTGTTGTGATGCTATAAAAATAAAAATATTAAGCAACTATAATTTGCATACAAATGTTTTTGTTTATTTATTTCATTATCTATATATATATGTATGTACATGTACGATATCATATTAAAGTCATATTTCAATTCCTATAATAAATCGGATATCAGGAAACATCAAACTTGCCTGGTAATACATAATTATGTATTACCAGGCAAGCTTAAGCTTGTCCAAAATTACATGTTGCAGGTATGTAGATAGGTTATACTTTTGTACATGCATACATATACATTCATTAGCTTTAACCTAGCTACTGGTTTGCTAATACACGTCGTGTGTATCTTATACGTAAATATCTGCGTTATGACTAGTTTCCAGAGTACATACATATTTGCTAAATTATGTTTTTAGTATCAATCAGCTCAGTGTTTTTTGATTTTTATGAGTTACAGGGTAGGAATTATAGACTTTAACTCCACCCAATACATGTGTCTGTATATAAGTACATATATAATATGCATATTAAATTTAAACGTGCCAATTCATTTTCGCATATGCTTTTGTAAGGTACTTGACTACAATAAATTATCAGATAGGAATGTCTTATGTACCCGACTTACAAAATTCCTACTGCTGCGTATTTTTGTACATAATAATTATGTAATAATCAAATGCCGATCAAATTTTCTAACGCTTTTAGGGGGATGCTAAATCATATTGATAAATTCATGTTTTATGTCACTTTTTGAAGAGGTCTGGACGTTCTTTCGCAACCAGCCCATTTATGTCACACGTTAAAAGCTGCCGTAATGCATGACCAAGGGAGAATGGGTTCAAAAAGTCAATTTTTGAGTGACCTAATTTACGAACAGCCTTAGAATTATATGCTAAATTAACATTGTTCATATAGATTTCAGACTACTTAGAATATATTATCTTACTTTAAGGTAATTAGTCTTTCTGTATTTGAGGTTGTAGGTATTTTCCATAATTACTTATAAAGCATCATTGCTAAATACTTTTCAAATACTCGTATAACTATTATTACATAACTTTTGTGAACTACACAAACTTTAGCACGGCAAGGAGACCAAGTATATTATATTATCCTGTGGTGTTTGAAGCATCTTTATAATTTTTGACGGTTCCTTTAGTTACGGTTCTTTATAGTAATAATATTTAAGGATCTGGTCTAAAGTTGAGCAATGCTGAAGTTATATAATAATTTCATCTTGTTGGATACTTATTAATGCATAATTATCTATACACGAAAGTAATTCTCAGTTTAACTACCGGTCTTCAGTTATTTCTCGCTGACCACGTGAAACTTTGTAACTTTACCGAGTAAATAAAATATTAGAAATAGAAAATATTTTCTGAATATTTGCTTGGTTTGCTATGGAAATACTACAAAAGGATAAAACTATGAAGAGAGAAGCTTCAAGATGTCGAGATGACGAATCTCCATCTGGATTTTGAATTTGTACTGCAAAAAATGAGAAACAATGCATGCATCTTCTTGTATATATTGTAAATACACTTTAAAGAAATTACCAGCAGTTGTAGATTGTGGTTTCATTGCATTGTTGTGGTCACTTTCCCTACGACTCGTCTTTGTGGACTGAGACTTTGTTTTTGTCGAATGGGCTGTGCCATTTTTCTTCGCCGAAGCTGAAATTGTTTGTTTTACAAATAAATAATGCTCATCTAAGAGTGTCACATGCAAAGAACAGACACGACAATGTACTTCCTCGGTCGAATTCAAGTAAATCATGCGGTGCTCTTCGAAGTGAACAGTACAAAAGCAAAAGCAAATGATGGAAATGTATGAAACGTAATAAAATCAAGAGAAAAGTGCAGAAGGTAACCTTTCTCTGGGTTAGTAGCGCTACTACTGGACGAAGGCAATGTGGTTGGTTTGGCCGCAACCGTTGACGACACCAAAGCTGTCATTCACAAATCATATTGGATGTTAAATAACCATTGATTGATCGTTCTGTTGTGTGCACTTGGAAATTGTAGCCGTAAATCGTCGTTTGTTTGACTTCGGATTCTGCAAGTACCCTGACTTGAATTCTTTGAATAAATAAATTATCCAGGCCAGGAATATATGTATGTATTTTACATAAGTAATCTATTTCCACTTGCATACTGCATGCTAAAGCTAAGGCAGATGATGCACTATGTAGGGCTGGCCTATGATGCAAGGTTGGACTAAATATCTAGTAACGACTAATCCAAAACAAAATGACAATATCGTTTTGTATGTGAGGCATGTGTTACCGCAACGATCTCAGCGATATAGATTCTTAAATTTTAAAATGCGCTTTGAACATTTATAACCACCAGAATTTATAAAGAATGTAGACATGCTATTCTAACTTAATAAATGCATACATGCCTTGGATTGCACACCATTAAATTGCACAAGCTTAAGACAAGTCCAAAGCCAATCAGAAATCTCGGTTAAAATGAAAAAAGAAAGCCGTGGGTTTTAAGATGATGGTGTTTTCGAGGATTCATTCATCGTACCCCCGAAAAATGGGTTTCAGCGTGAGAACAGAAGGAGATGTGGTGGATAAAAAATGAATTGATGGCTGCATGTGGCTGTTCGAAAAGAGAAACGAGTGATGACAAATGGATCAAGCCGGCTGACAATCAAACGGAGAAAGTATGGGGACTGAATTCAAAGCTTTTGGCTTGCTGGTGAGGTTTGCTATTTAATAACAATGCGTAACATAGGGTCAGACCCACAATTCAACCATCTCAAAAAACTTCATCAATGACTTGCAGTTGGAAAGCATCATTTCTCAAGTGACTGGCATCCCCAGCAAAAAACACTGTTGTGCAATATTCAGAGAATATTGGGCAAATATGAGGGCGATAGAAAATAACCAACAGTGATCAAAACTATTCATAGCAGACGATGCACAACAATCTCAACTAATAAGGAAGCATGTGATAATTTGGCATCTAATAATAGTCATTCTCGAGGCACTTGCATATTATCAATCAATAGGGTAACAAGATGAAGGAAACGCTGTAGAATCCAACGACTGTGGTGGCTAGATTAGTGTCGAATCATGCAAACCATGCAAAACGAAAACTATGCGGTACAAGCAGAAGCAGTATCAATCAAAAATCAATCTTTTTATTTTTTGTCGAATGCAATTATTGTAAGTGAAGTTTTAGGTATAAAGAATTCAAAAACGCAGAGATTGATATTGATGTGCCACAATAGACTCTAAACATACCATAATACTTTTGATGTAATTAAAATAGAAAAGCGGTGTGAGACTTACGTAATATTTGGTAAATTTTAATCTGACCATCCGTAGAACCCAACGAGTTCTTGGACTAATAAATAAAAATGCTGGTTAAAAATGTCAACCTTTTAAACATTTAGTATAAAATCAAATACCAGGCAGGCATAACTTCCATAATCGGGAGGTTGAATCCCTCTAATTGTAAGTCGCATTGTCACTTTATACGCATTGTCCAGCAAGACAGGTTCGTATTTTTCTCCTTATAAACGCACAAAAAAAATATTATGATTTACTTTAACCACACATTTCAAGAAAGTCGTCAATACTCCACATATTGATATGATACCAAAGGAAAAAAGTGGGAAGGCACCTTGCCAAAAAGTAACCAGAATGAACAGATATCTCGGCTTCGTTCAGAAATTCTTTGCAGTGAACACAAAATCAACTTTTGCTACCCTCAGCGAAAAATGATATGAGAAGGAAAGTATTGCAAAATAACCACAGGTATTTTCATTTTAAGATGTCTTTTCTGTTACGAAAGAAATAGGAAAGGATATGAAAGGGGATCAATAAATAAGATTTTGAATCCGAAAGATGAAAAGAGACAGGGTCTCAAGATGCAATATTGAAATTGAATAGCAAAAATGTGAGATTTCAGAAAGTTTGTGACTGATTTAGACGATCTCCGTTGTTTTGCACATACATATAATAAAAATTTGACAAACTCTGTGCAGTAGCAAATTTTGATATAAACTTCCCCAATGCATACGTAAATGAGTGTTTCGTAAACAGTAGATGCTTAATAATAAGTGAGGAGCAATATTTACTATCCTATTGTGTCAATTTGAAAATCTATAGTCCGGAAATTGTATTGTAGGGTTGCGACACTAGCAACTAAGTTTCTGCTTAAATGGGTTGGTAGAATAATTTGCCATAAAATTTGACATTTGGCACATGACTGATTTTTATGTCTCCTGACGTAAGAATTACCGTTTCATTGCGTTGCTACCAACTCAAAATTGTGCTTTTGGATTCTCTCAATTTGAGCAGTGAGTTTGGTAAGACCCATGTAAGTATATGGTTGGCGTTTAATTTTTACTTGGGGAAAAATGAGACGTGCTGGAAACTGGAGCAATAAACATGCCCCACGATGAGAACTTACCATTATAGCTGTCAATAGGAGAACCATCAACTGCTGTTGGACAGAAGGGGTAAATAAATTCATACAGGTACATACATAAATTTGTCTGGGTGAAGAGGATGCATACTTACGAGAAACAATAATGTCCCCGTTGTGTTTGACCCAGTAGTTCTATTGAAAATAGAACAAGAAAATAAGTATGCGTACGTATGTTGCATGTATCTAAAAAAAAGTTTAATTTTACTCCACTCACGATAGATTTGGGATACGCTTCTGATTGGCACTCTAATTTAGTAATTACACATATTTTACGCACTAGAACAAACTCTTCAAAATAAACAAAAGTTGTCTCGTGTAAAAAAGTACCTAAGATAACGTCGTCCCCCTCGGCAACTCCGATCAGTTGTTGTTGAACCTGGAATAAATAAATTAATTTCAGTTTGAAGTGACATTCAGACTGGAATTAGCAAATTATTTATTACCCATATCATGGGAGGGAAGTGGACGATAATTAGAATGCGGCGGCTGACCTACATATTAATATACATTATTTGTATTATTTTCGTAATATTCATAGCTCTGATAAGGTAATTGCATTGTATTAAATATGTGCGAACCTTTGGAGCAACACCTTTTTGGAGCGTGAGACATAATAATTGATATAATTAGTGATTAGTTTCACTCATGGTGAAAGTACCAGTTTCCTTTCTTGTTACTTACCATTACTGAAAAAAATCAAGTAAACTTTTATTGTTTTGTTAAATGTCATGAAAGGTGATGTAATTTTTACGATTTACCTAGCGATGCAAAGATAAGCCCCTAAAATGAAATAGTAATTTTATCAATTTCACCTCTCATTAACTACTTATAAATGACATTGAGGGTATTCATTATTTCTTCGTATCCTTAGTATTCTTCGTATCGTAAAATAACTTACGACGCTTACGAGATTTTGTAAGCGTCGTAAGATTTTCTCATCGAAAATGGTGTTACTACGCTTACGATTTTTACGAAAGCTGACCCCTTGTTTTATCTTCGTAAACTATTTTACGATACTACGGATACGAAGAAATAACGAATACCCTCATTATAAAGTATAAGTTACCCATGTGAAGCCGATTCACTTTGCTGATATTGAATACTGAGCCCTCAATTGTTTCAACTAAAACAATCCACAAATTTTGTTTATTTACAATTTTTGAACAAGTGGCCTCGTGATGGCATCGTGGATCGTGAAAACCAAAGGTGAGAAGGAATGAGGAGAGAAAGCTGAGGCCGATTACGCGAGGAGTAAGTGGAGGGCGAGTGATGTTATCGTGAACGGATTCATTTCTCACTCAATTTCATTTCCTTTATCAATTTAGTGATATCCCCTCCGTCTCGCTTTTGGCTTACCACCTGCAGCGATACTCTGTCTGTTTGTTTGTCGACTTTCTCCATTGTGTTAGCCCCACTCTAGTTTGACTTATTATTACGAACGAACGACTCAAATTTTCACTGCCCATTTCACGCACACAGCAATACCACCAACCAACCCAACAACCTCCTCTGTCAATCTCAATCTAAAAAATACGATATGACTGATACGAGAGAAAAACAAACCTCAAGTTTAATCAAATATATGATTCTCACTTCCTGACAAGAAGACGAAGATTGGAGTTTTTAAACCAATTTTTGTTGAATAATTTGTTGCATTGTTTGTCTCGAAGAAAGTATGACGGAATTTATCTTACCTAAATCTTCCCCGTATGGAATTTTTTGCTTGTCCTCTCTCTGCCAACTTACTGGAAGTATGGAGTTTAATTTGATTTAGACTCACGTGTAGCTTTAAACTATGAGTTATCAAAAACCTGTCGGTTGGGGAAAGCCAGTAGCGGCGCAGATTAGAGAAACATTTGTTCCCTCTCTCACAACCATATCGGTGCTTGTTGGGTAGTCCAAAATATCGGGTGGGACTAGTGACGATTCAATTATGTGACTTTAATTCTTCATAAATAACGTTAAGTGTTTAAGTACTCGAAGTTGGGAGATATGAACTTACCGACAACTTGCAGGTAACCCAATTGAGACAGCATCGGGTCAGTATTCACCTATATATTTGCAGATGTCAGTTAATCCTACCTTACAAAAATTTGCATAGATTGCTTATATCACCTGACACATGTAGTAGCCTGCATCAGATTGCTAATTTGATAATAATAAAGAAACCGTTTAAATTAATCCGGTCTGGAATCATGATTAGCGATAACTTGGACATAAAACTACCTTCGCATGTCGGATGTGTAAGTTCCAAGCCCTGCTCTCAGTGTGTGATAGTCCAATCCGGTGACTGAAGTGAAATTTTTTAAATCTTAATAATTTTGCTTAGTATATATAGCTTATATTTTGCGTTGCTGTAGAGATTGAGTTAATTGCAATATGTACGAGTATCGAAAGTTTGAATAAATTGCTTTATCAAATCACCATGTCTTCCGACAAAGCCATTTTAAATGTGCAAGTATTTATTTCTCATGTTAAACTTCGATTTAAATATTCATCTATCTAAATGAAGGTTTTTACACGGGCGATACCGAGATTTTATTTATACTCGAAATTGATTGCAGTGCAAACTTAGTTATTAATCTGAGAAAATTATTATTGTTTAAGTTTTACATATGTATGTATGTTGATATATTGTGAATTACAATCTTTATTTGGGCATAATGAATCTTGCGTGGAGTGTAAATTGCTTACCTTCTCGAAATGACATGAGAGCCAATTGTTAATATAGTTTGAGTCGAAACCCTCAAAAATGCGACCTTTAAAATATCAAACATGTAATTAATAAACATGTTATCGCAAGTTTGTCTTTTTGTCGTAAAACCTATGTGTACAATAAGTCATTGAGCAGCAACATTTCACAAAAAACGTCAAAAAAAAAGAACTGGTAGAAATACTCGTCTCAAAATTATCAAGGTACTTGTTAAAGTGCTGATATCATAATGCAACATTCCGTTGTGTAACTCGAATGAGCACGTTATGGGAATAATTGTCAACTGATGATACTCAAAGGTCTTGTGCAATGTCCGGTGCATGTAGTTTTTCGAGCCTTGAAACAGCCAGTTGCTTGTTAAGCTGTCTGCATGTACCCTGAAGCCACAAAGTAGATTCTTTGGGTTGGGGAGCGTGAATTTGGAATGCAAATTGGCACAATCTTTACAACCAACTAGGCAAAAGGGAGTAAAGAGAGTGGAGTGGAGTGATTTAGCAACATAAGAGATTCAATTACTGGGAGATGAACAGAGTTCAGCCGACTCAGCTGTACTTACGGGGCAGATAAATCCCTGAAATTCCTTTTTATTATACCCCTCTGCTCCCCATGCATAGCCCGACATGAAATAAAACGAGACTGTTGTGTATCATGCAACACTTAATTTACAGATAGATAACATGACAATGACGTTTCAAAAAGACGTGTACTTAGCGTAATCCGATTTGCTACTCGGGTACGTGAACGACTGCTTATTCAGATATCAAGTTATGCATGCAGCGACACATGGACAGATCGACTAGTATGCACTTTTTAGATTTCGTCCATGTCGTATTTGGGCGTTTCAGTAACTTTGTCACAGGTTTTTCGTCATAGCATCATCACAACATGAGTCTTAATAATAATGTAGAAAGTGTAATCACATAGTTGGTTAATTGTGCATGAAAATTTTTGCATAAATTTCTGCGTACCTTATAAGATCCCAAATTCTCCACAACGCAACTGAGTATCCCTTCTCGGTTGGACACGACTGTGACATTTTCCATTGGGCCAACGAAGCGTGGCATTTCTGTAGAATAAAAATGGGTTCAGTCGCACACATGTACATACAAATCCATTTGTGACAAAATCTCGAGTGGGCTCTCAATACTTCAATTTCAATAAATTTTAAAATGAGAGAATCTCAAGCCAGCAGTTCGTCCATAACGTTACAGTCATACGAAAGTTTCAAGAGACTTGCAAGTCTTATTATTTGCCTACATGTTATTGTTTACATAAAGATACGGATATGTGATATGATCCAATGAGGGAAGTCTGGGCCAGAATAAGTGAGATCATAAACCAAATTAAAGTACATCGTCACATTCACAGAGCATCGCATGTCAGAATGGCATCATGTCCAAAAATGAGGGAAAGTGAGCAACAGCCCACAGCAAAAGAGTCCATTATTTTTATTGTAAGCAGTGTTAGTCATATTTATGCCCTCGTAAATTGCTACTGCTGCAGCTTTGTTGTATTTTTATAAACAATTCATTCAGTGACTAGAAAATAAACAAGCCCAACTTTCTGCTTTCTTTACTCGAAAGAAAATAAAATAATCCATCTTATTTTCGTCCAGACAATTCATAACTCAATTGCCTATAACTTTCGTATTTTGTACCTTTGTCAACTTCGGGAAAGCGATCGGCTAGGATTATAATTAGAGGATTATTATTGGTGGACGGTTGTTAATATGGTATTGTTTACATATCTCGAATGTGATCTGTGGAACAAATTATCCTCAGCAATCGATACAGGACCCCGAGTTCAATACTGCTATATTTTCAAAAGGAAAGCCTGGTTTCTTAACAGTATATGTCAACGATAATTAGGAATGCGCAAAATCTGGCAATACGTATTATGCAATGTAGGAAGCCAAAAGATATGCCATACTTACTGAATGTCCTTAGCTATCATATATTTCAATTAGATTAGTAACACATATTTAACTTTTTAACCAATTTGTCTCAATCTGTGACCGGTATAAACCGGAGACTGACTTTCTGACTCCATGTGCGAGTTGGGACGTTGTATGTAAATAAGTAGATATTTAAGTTGTCCCTAGTTCTCCACTTTAGTGATGCCATGTAGCATGCATACCAAGAACCTGTAAATTATCCTGATGAGCATGGGCAGGTTGTAATGGTTGCATATTCGGTGGGCTAGACGGCTGTGATTTCTTACGATGACTATTTGATGGTACTTACGTCGCGTGACATGGAGACATTCACAACCGTGCCGCTTTCTCTTTCTTCCTCCCTCACTATCCTTTGTCGTGGCCCAGCTTAATGTACCTGCTCTGTTTGTACGCGAGACTAAATTCTACAGCAAAGTCCACCCAAAGAAAGTTTTATTGGGCGAAACTGGTCGTATGTAGAAAAAGTTGGTTTTAGATTGGGCTTGTTGGCGAAATCATGTGTTTCCTCACTCATGCACAAGCTGCACAACATCACATGACTTTATCAAGTTAACATTAGCCAAGAATCCATCGTCCCACCGGCAATAATTTCAGATCATAGAAATAATGTTTCCTGAAGTTGGAAAGATTCTGGGTCTAGCTTACATTTCAGAATTTATTTATTTATTTTGTAACAAAGCGCTAACAAGGTTTTTATTAGGGTTAAATTTAATGCACCACCGAATAAGCTGAAATTTACCACAAATTTAGACTGAATTCACCACCGGATGAATTTTTTCCAACTTTGGCCTTTTTAACCATATATTAGGATGGTGGTTACCACAAATTTAGATGAGCTGCCACTAACGTATTTCGTGAATACAGGATTATAAAACAATAATATAATTACAATAATCTCAAGGAATCATGGAAATTTCCTTATCGTTTCATGTGCATATGTATATATTTGTGTATTATTGACTAGACTATGGGCATGAGAACTGACTGAATATGTATTACCATTCGGCTGGTCATCACTCTCACAGTCAGTTGTCCTGCAGTTAGAATATATCCATCTGAACAAAAATTTTTAAAACCAAAGAAATGACGTGTTCCCAAGTTTTTAACTGGACAAGTGATGCCGATTCCTCTCTTTCCGAGGAAAATTCTCCCAAATCTAAAAAAACCCAGGCGTAGTTGCGAGTGGTCTGTTCTTCGTCAATTTGATAGTAAAAAAGAGGCAGAGACTTACTTAAAAGAAGAGGGACAATGGATTTATCACTGTAAATATTCTACTGAAGAAGGAGTAACCGTGAAGTACAATTGTCGATCTTCCTCTGCATGTTCTGCCAAACGGAGACTAATTTTGAAGGCCGTATCTTCCATTGTCGAACTTCAAGCCACCATAGAACAGCATGACCATGCTTTAAAAAAGCAAAAAGGTACGTACCTCAGACTCCAAGCTATTCATGTATGTGCATTTAAAGTTGAGTAACGAACGTTTAATATTATCTTAGGCATCAGCCAAAATATGAAAGATGAAATTGTCAAACTGGTGGAGAGAGGGATTAATAAACCAAAAATGATTCTGACCGAGTTACGTAAAATCAATGTAATAAACCCGACCACAATCCAACTAAAAAACTTTTTGGCGTATTATTTTAAATTTCTATTCGAAGGCCTTAAAAAGGGAACGAAAGGAAACTTGGATCCGAAAGTGCTAGTTGCAGATTCAGCTCAGACTATCACCATTGGGTTTGAAGATGTCTTCGGAACAGACTACAAAAGGGTGCACTGCTGGTTCCATGTAACTTCAAACATCGATAAAAAGCAATCGCTAGTTAAGGATCGAACAATTTGGCAACAATTAAGGCAGGACATAATAAGGCTTCAATTAGCTCGGTCCCCTGAGGAGTTTGAGGTCGCAAAAAGTTTGTGGATAAAAAAGTACTCTGCAGACGCAACTCAAGATTTTGTGAATTACTTCAGAGATGAATGGCTAAACAGCCGAACAAACTGGTATGAAGGATACGCCCCTGGGTACCCGTCCACAAATAATGGACTTGAGTCAACCAATGCTTGGATTAAGCAGCAAAGCACCTTCAGGGCAAGGTTGCCAATGGGGGAGTTCATTTCCTTCATGTTAAGCCAAACCAAAGATTGGTCGTAGCAGAGGGACCCAATACATGAGAACCATAAAACTTTTGCAGAAGTTCCCATTATCTCACTCAGGCTGGAGACCGATGCTTTCAATTGGAACAAATCAAAACCAAGTACAAGGTATAAGACATCTGAAGATGAACTTTATGTCAGGCATTATTTTGTATCTGCTTCAAATCAACCTCCTTTGAAAGAGGATGATGTTAAAAAGTACTTGCGAATGAATACGAACAAATCTTGGAGAACTTTCGACTCGTACGTGGCCAGCACCACAAGATTATGGATGGTTAAATTCCACACCAATCAATGGACTAATTCCACATGTTCATGTCCCGTTTACTTAAAAGAACATGTTTGTAAGCATATACTTGGTTTAGCAATTCAGAATACGCTTTATGATGTTCGACCGGAAGCCAAAACCGTTCCATTAGGTGAAAAGCGTAAAAGGGGTAGGGTTGCGAAAGCTAAAAAAAGCGCTCATTGTTATTTAATTTCAGGTGTATTTTTAAAAAAAGACGTCAAAGATTATAAATAAATAAATCATATTGTAAATTAAATATTGTATTTATAATTCTATACCCATGAAATACGTTAGTGGCTGCTCATCTAAATTTGTGGTAACCACCATCCTAATATATGGTTAAAAAGGCCAAAGTTGGAAAAAATTCATCCGGTGACGAATTCAGTCTAAATTTGTGGTAAATTTTAGCTTATTCGGTGGTGCATTAAATTTAATCCTTTTTATTAGCCATTGGCTGGACTTGTACTCAAGAAATTGTTTACCAAAAATGCTAAGCATTATGGATGAAGATCTACAGTTTACATATATCGAAATATCCATCGAATAAGTGATATGCATATCATTTACATCTATGTATCACAATGCATATGCTTTGTATTGTTAGTAAACGTGGCCCCTGCAGACAAACTAATTTTTTAAATGGTAGATATCCAATTTTGTGATGTGTTTAATATAATGAAGCAATCATGTTAGAGGTTCAGAGATGGTGCATGTTGTTACACAGAATTTTTCAAGCAACAAGGAAGTCAACAAAATTTAATAGTAAAATCAATATGTTGACAGCAATTACAAATTCGTAACTTTAATAATAATATAAAAATAACTGTATTTGCATGTGATGTTCATCGATAAGGACAGTAATTTGATTGCATTAGACATGACGAAATGAGCAAAATGACAATCAGAATACGCAGAATAATGACAAACAATAACATTTGTAATAGAAAAATCCAATTCATTCCATTCCATCGGAAAATGGAATTGAAATCTGTAGCAAACAATCCATCTGCTTATATTGTCATTGTCCTTTATGAATAGATACGAATTGATTTAACTAACTCCAACCATTTTCACCTAATTTTTCAGGAATCCTGGTATAAATGACTTCAGAATGATTTGACAGGTAAAAAAATTGAACGCTTCGCTCAGGCTCAATGAAACTTTAATACATTAACATTTTGCAACAAAGGATTTTCCTATAATTGAAATGTCATTATTACATCTGTTGTTGTACACACGTGAACATGCAAACACATGACATTTGTTAAACTAATTTAAAACCAACCAAAGGCAAGAATACATTCAACTCAATTTTATTCTAGCGACAAAAATGTATTTGACGAACTGTTCCGTGACAGAACAAAGCATTAAATCCTTGGTTTGACATGTGAAGGAAGGGTTGGCCAAACCCTCCCTTCCCAAAATAAGTAAACCTACAGGGTAGACTTGGCATAGCCCGAGCAATACATTTTTGTTCCGTCTGCTTAACAAAAAAAAGTACGGAGAAAAATTGACTCCAGACCAGATTTATCGTCAAGTTCTAACTCGAGATCATTCGTGGGAAGGACTAACACCTCTGGAGGGCAGTTTCTTTGTACTGTGCAGATAAAGGTACAGATCCAGCAGATTTCTTTGAGTTTCACTTTGCACCTCTGTTGAACCAAACGGACCG